CACAGCTATGACAGACCAAGACCACTCCTATCGCCCCCAATCCCCTGACTTTTCGACCTTCCAATCCCCCATCTCTCCTCCTCCTCCTCCTCCTCCTCCTGTCGCTCCCCTCCACCATCTTCCTCCCCTCTACCAATTCGGCAATCCCCTCGCCCATCGCGCTTCCTACGACGCCTCGCCCTTCTTCTCCCCGCAATACCAGCAACCCCCGGCCCCGCCGACCAGGGTTCCCCAGCACTACCTCCCTCTAGACCCGGACATGGCTCGCCGCTCGTCTCGTATCGCCCAGGCGGCCGAGGTCGCCCCCCTGCCCCCCGCCAAATATGTGGATCCAGTGGTGGAAGAGGAGCCTCCCGAGGAAGAAGTTGTGGAGGAAGAAGAACCTCCCAAGCCCGCACCACCCGCTCCAGTCGAGGTCAAGACGAAGTTTCCGGTCGCGCGCATAAAGCGCATCATGCAGGCGGATGAAGATGTTGGCAAGGTGGCCCAAGTCACCCCAATTGCAGTCTGTACGTATACCTCAGTGGCAATTCAACACCCGAATGATCCTCACTAACCATTAACTACTCACAGCCAAAGCACTGGAACTGTTCATGATCTCCCTCGTCACCAAAGCCGCGAAAGAAGCCAAAGATCGCAATTCGAAACGCGTCACCGCCTCCCACCTCAAACAAGCCGTCGTGAAGGATGAAGTCCTGGACTTCCTCGCCGACATCATCGCCAAAGTCCCGGACCAGCCGGCCGGGCGCAAACACGACGACGACGGCAGTGATCAAAACGACCAACCGAAACGAAAGCGCGGCGGCCGCCGACCCAAAGATGATAGCGACTAGGGGGGGTGTAATGATGTTCTCTTCTTTTTCTTTATTTGCTTCATTTGCATACTGCTTGTTCACGGAATTTGATGGCGATATCTTTAGACCGGGCAGAGAGCGGGCGCATACTCTCAGGCGTTGCGGTGGTGGGCATGATATGATCTGGTTGGGCTTGCATCACGCGATGTGAATAGTTTGGTTATTCTTCTTTCTTTCTCGATGCTTGATTGCTCGATTGTCGTGATTATCTTAATGAGATGATCAGTAACGTGACTCCTATTCTATCTTCATTCTCGCTGCGCGTGTCACTTCTGACGCGTATACCCTCACTGCTCCCCTCCCTACCTACCGATAAAAAGTAACAAACAACAGAGGTGGGTCCGATTTACGCGTACTCGTATACTTCAGTCACTAGTCATTACACCGTACTCCGTACTCCGTACTCCGTACTCCGAGGTACTGCTGTAATCATGCTCCCAGTAACTACCCTTCCATACCAATAGACTACAACGACGTCCTACACATATCTCCACAAGCCCCACAGATAAGATAATGATCACGACAGAGCTCGAAAAAAACAATGACTACTACACAGTTCTACCCACCTACCAAACGCATACTCAGTACGGAGTAATCTAGTCTCGAAGATAAATATAACACGTGATATCTATATCCGGTCTAGCCCCATCCAACGAAGCATAACACAGCTGCAGCCAATCATGATCAAGGATGACGGGGGACCTAAGGCAGGCATGGCATGGCATGGCATAGATATCAGCCCAGGCCTATTTAGAGAAGGAGAATAGAACTGAGATCACGGCTATCGGCTAGACCGTGCTAGTTGAGTGACTTTGAGCATTTAGGATAGATGACTAGTAGCTTTGGGGCAGATGGAGTATCATATATATATTATATATATATATATATGTGTGTATACTCGATCTATACGAGAGACGGGAAGTGGTTCGGGATGGGCGGGATTCAGCGTCTTGCCGCGAGTAGAGAGAAGAGGAGGGAATAATACTATTAGATTGGTGGGTATAGATTAATATAAATACATATAGTATGAAACAAACAACTCATAACTCTCACATCTCATACTTCATCTCATCAAGATCGTAGATGATAACTAACAATACAATTTAATTAAACTAGGCGTGACCACCTCCCCCGATGTAAACGAACAATGTGCATGTTCTTGCTTAGCCCCCACGGGTATCCCTGGTATCTCCCCCCACATAACCGGTCGCTCCGCCGCACCCTCATCACCCACCGGCGGATGACACGCGGCACTAATCGCAGCGCTGCAATGCGTTGCCAGCGGCATATGGGCCCGAAACGGACGGGCCCCGAGACCCAGAAGGAGACCAATGCCCAGAATAAGCACCCAGAGGGCAATAAACATGGGCATCGGGGAGTAACCACAACTGCGGGACGAGTCGGCGGGATTCTTCTTACCGGAGATGTCGTACGCCTGGATATTGACGAAGAAGAGGCTCTGGGAGAGGAGCCAGTGGAGGATGGTGGAGAGGGTGAGGAGGGGGATGCTGTATCGGTAGGGCAGGTTGAGATAGTAGGTGGAGCGTTGTTGGCCCTGGGGCCAGGAGACGCGGAGGGGTCGGCGGTGGTGGGCGTAGCGGTTCCATTCGGCTGCGACGAGCATGCAGGTGAGGAGACTGTTGGCGAGAAAGTAGGTGATTGAGAGCACGAGTTGTGGGGTGTTGGCGAGGAGGATTAGGGCGATCATGTTGGCGGAGAGGTACTTGATCATTGTGTCGGTGCGGGTCTGTGCAAAGCCGAGGCGCATGGCGGCGGGGAATGAGTGGCTCTGTCTGACGGCGTAGACGAAGAGATAGATCGCGGTGATGAGACAGGCGAGAAAGCTGGGCAGGGTTAGGAGGTGGGGTTGGATGGGATAGTGTATGAACATACATGCTTAGGACGACGATCCAGCGTTTCCAGCTCGCCGCTTGATACCATCGATGGCGAGGGGGAAGAATAGTCGGGTAGATTTCGTGGGAGGTGGGCATGAGGGGCCTCAGGGCGTATTCGTTTGGCCGACTCAGCGAGATGGCCGGCCGACTCCAGGCTTGGGGTCCTCGGGTCATGTCTGCGTGGGAGAGGAGACATCGACCACGCGTGGTTGGATCCGGGCGAGTGAGAAAAGAGGCGAGAGCATCGCCCACCGTCAACATGAGGTCCGTTCGCTCCACCCGAGCGGTCAGCACCATGCAAATCACCTTGGTCAGATTGCAGAGGATCACGGCGATGGCAATGGGGGGGCTGAAGAAGAGCTGGCAGCGCTGTTCCTCCTCTTGCACCAGACAATGGGAGATTGGAACGTCTTGAGCGGTGGTATTATCGACCCAGAACTCTCGGATGCCGACGTTCGTCAGGTCGCCGATGCCGATGTACTCAAAGGTGATTTTCGCGGCCCAGGTGCTGTTGCTCCAGTGCGAGGGCGTGTCCAAGTACTCCCGCAAGGCTTCCTGCGTCGGATTGTAGGCATAATTGTACTCCACCAGGGTGAGCATATCCGAATACACCGGGCTGTCGGAAATGTAGTCCCACCACCCCGAGTTCAATAACTGGTAGAGTGAACCATCCCCCAGGGTGAAATACCATGGATCCCCCAGGGCAAGAAGGTTCGACTTGATATCCGGGGGAGTATGCGGGGGAATATACGAGATCAGATCCGAGGCCAGATCGGGCAAGGAGTAGTTCCACACGCGATAACTCCAGTACTCACTGAGCAGGGTCCAGTTCCCCGCCAGGATCTGCTCCTGGGAGACGCTGGTACCCTCGAGGCCTTGCAGATATTCATACACGGAAAACGTCAGCAAATCCGTGGGACGAAGACTGCTGGTGTTGTGAAAATACTGCCGATCAGCCACAAAGATGAGCGTGCCCAGCTGGGTATTGAAGCCCACATCGTACTGATTCACACACTCCTCCGTCGTCATGTTGGTCAACGACCCGTTGAAAATCTGGGCCTGGACGACGGCGGGATCCGACCCGATCTCGGTGAGGAAATTGTCCCGGCTGGTGGTATCGTTGCCAACCAGAGACTCACTTGGAGATAGATCATCGGGGATGATGAGCATGCCATAGTCGATGGTGGAAATGGACGAAAAGATGACCGAGTTATAGATCATGTGGATTGGCGTCGAGCTGAGCAACAGGAGCAGCCACAGCGTCTTCCGGCGGCCATCCATCACGGCAAAGTTGCGCAGACTGAAGGTCCCGACATCCAGCCATCGGGACTGGGCGTGCGCGCGATCGATGTCGATGCGAGACGGTGCTCCCAGGCACTGCATCACATAGCTACTAGCGCCCAGCAGGATGGTGCTCAGCACGTTGATGGCCACATGGAGGCCCGTGGCCCAGTGACTCGAGCGCGTGCAGAGGCCTCTGTATAGCTCCGCGGTTTGGAAATGGCCTGAATTGGCCGGTCGACGATACGCGAGGATCAGGGCCACCATCATCAGGATCAGGTTGATGGTCAGTATGAGCCCGGTAATCCAGGTGCAGATGAGCGCCCCTTGGATCCATTCGTGGCCTTTGTCAGGCTTGCGGAACAGCCCGTGGGGGGGCCAGATGGCAGACCATCGCGATCGTGGGCGGGGGTTTTGAGCATCGGGAATGGCGGAGTAGTGAAATTGCTCTCTTACTTCCCTCATTGTCACAGTGATATCTGAGTCTTCAAGGACTGGTCGTGCCAAATGAATGATCCGGGGCTCAGAGACCGCATAGCAAGCGCTCGATTGAGATGCCAGTGCGGCATCTTATATCGAGATTCGTGACCGATGAAACAGATTCAGCCTCGCGGTTAGGTAGCAGGGGATCGAAAAAGGGATCGAAATCCGAGCGGGCGTAAGACCGAAGGCCCCAGCACCGTCAGGTCCCTTCCAGATCGGTCTTGGCTGCCTCGAACTGGTCACCAAGTTGGGACTCGTTACGGCCCCCTGCCAGTGAAGCCGCGGATGTCAGCTTACTCTCACTGATCCCAACACACCGATCGAGGGGAATACTCACGATCCATCTGGTAGATCGATATGTATAGTACGGCGCATGTGCGCTTGCCGGCATGGTCCTTAACATGGCTTAGATCAAGTGTTTAGGTAGCTAGTATGGACTGGATCTGCAGTGGCTGTACATCGAGGTGAGTAGTGGGTTGGGTTGGGTTGGTTGCAGAGGAAATGCTTAGTTCAGGGAAACAACCCGCTCCTCACTTCATAGAGCCTCACTCTCAACCCATCCAGCCTATTATCATCACCCCCCGCTCCTGCAATTCATTTGGGATTTTTGTATGTTTTTAGAGACTTCGTGATGTTCTTGTCTCGGGTTTTGTTGCACGCCTCGTAGGCTTGTTGGCCTGAAACCTTGGGGTGATTACACAAGCAACTGGTCTTGGATGCATGATGTATCGGGACTAGGGATTGTTACTGTACAGCTAATGACCTCACTGACTTCAAGTCAAAAAACTATGTGCGCTATTAATGCAGCACAGAGTAGACATGCCGAACGGTCTCATGCATATTATCACATATCAGAGAAACTAACCATACATTGACTATACATATCCATCCTCGTAGGTCCCGCCCACGACGCCATAAGCAATAAACCGACCATTACGATGTTTCTTCAAAGGAAGCTGCACCGACATCTAGGTCGAAGTCTGGACTGAGATATCCAGCCTCTCCGAATAACGTTCCCCGCGCTTGCACGACCGCCGAGGTTTCCAATAGAAATTCGTACAGGATGACCACGTTGGTGAGGACGTGACCGAGGGTTGCCGTCCGGGGCTCTTCGTCGACCACCGCGGTGTCTCCTGCGTCGCTGGGTTCGTCCGCAGGTTGCGCTGGTTCGATGTCAGAGCTCGTTTCGGGGGTCGTGCCATCGACTGGGAAAGGTTGTTCCAGACGCTGGCGCAGTTCTTCGGCGGCAGATCTGCGTGCCGGGGAGGGGTCACGTGGCGGGCGGAAGGGAAGGTCGCGGACGGGGGAGCTCATGGTGTCTCGACTGGGGGAGGAGGTGACGGTAGTAGAGAAGTCAAGGGGTCGGGTGGACCGGCCGCGAGGCGATCCGTAGTCGGAGTCGAGTTGGGACAATGGTCGTTGGGAGGAGGAGCGGGTTGGAGGCTCGGAGTTGCGCTGGGAACGGCCAGAGGCCTTGACAGGTTCATCGTCCTGGTGGAGGAGATCGCGACGCGCGGCGACCAGAATATCAAAGTCAGGCACGTCCTTGCGCCACTTTTGAATCCGTTGCACGAGCTTCTGCAGCACCGACGTAAGGGCTGGTGTGTCATCGCTGGCCCACGATGGTTCCTCGTACGCTAGTTGGATGTGCTTGAGAAGGTTGGTCGAATGTCCTTCGCTTGAAGAGTCCGTCGTTGAGCTGCTGTAGGTGTATTTGGAAGGGTCCACGAGAAGCCAGCCATCAAGCGAGATGAGATGTGACGAGGCGATGCTCCCAAGGACCTCCGTCAACGCCAGGTTCACAATAACACTGTTCGTGAAAAAGTTCTCCAAGCAATTCAGTAGTTCGCGCACCATAGGGTCATCGTGTCGCAGCTCAAGCGGTAGGTTTTCTTCCGGGTAATCCTCTGCTGGAGGAATGCACAAACGGGCCTCGAGGATTGCCATGCCGTCTTTCAGGTAGTTGTCATATGCATCGCTCAACGTGGGGTCGTCAACGATCGATGTGGCCATGCCCATCAGCTGCTCCAGCTCCACGTTCAGCGCCCCAACGGTCCGCTGCTTAGCATGCTGCCCCGGAATGGTCCGGATCAACGACCGTGCAAAGGTGTGATGCCGCTGCAGGACGATGCTCATCAGCCGCAGGGTGGCCAGAACAGTCTGACGATTCGCGGACTGAAGTCCAAGTAGGGCAAGGTCTCTCAGATTGAAAAGAGACGGCGAGGGCCTGGCAGCTTCTTCCGAGAATGCGGCCAAGACATCGAGCGACTTGCGTCGGCTGGCAGACATACCTGCGTTCTTTCCGACTGTCGCAGGCTCCGAGTCGGATGGAGATGCAAGGAGGAAATGCAGAATCCGGTGCACCAGATCCTCCTGATGTACCGACTCCAGAATGCGATATAGATAGGTAAGGACAGCGGCAGTGGAGCCCCCTTGCACGTCGGAAGATTCCAGCAAAGACGGGTACCTGCATAGCTTGTGAGCAGTAGTTCAATAGGCTGACAATCAAACGTACAAGAGTTGCTCTAGGAAGAGGATCTGGAAATGGTCCAACAGCGAGCCGTTCACCTCAGCCGACTTGCAATGATCGATAGTATCCTGCCAAAACAGCAGGTACGACATGAACGAGTCCATAGACGGGCCAAGCAGAGGTGGCAGAGCAGTATCCTGCTGCGCATGGTCCGAGAGCGCAATGATGTGCGGGATCGTCTCGTCCGTGTTCTCCGGAAATGTCAAGCTTGCACCCAGGTTAGCCCAGTCTCTCACCCACATCATCTAATACTCACTTGCCCAACTGGCTATACAGCGCCCCCAGTCCAGTAGCCATCAGTGTAGCCAGGTCACTCTCGATCAACCACCGCTCAAGATTCTTAGACCGAGACGCCGTCTCAATCAGATACAGCAGACCGGTGCGAGCAAAATCACCCGCCCGGCCAGCATGATGCACATACTCCACCAGCAGATAGAACAACGGAAAGTCGCCCTTCCTCATGGCGCCAGCAAACTCCGCGCCGGCCTTACTCTGTTGATCGCGATCCTGATCGTCCGACCGCGGAGCGAACCATGCCGGAAGAATACTCGGCTGTAGACGAATATTGTTGGCCACACCAAACAAGAGTTCCACCAGTCTGCCTTCCACATCCTCCGAGTGCTTGTCCGCCAGTCGAACCAGATCCACCAACGCCCGGGCAAAGAGACGATTGTCGACGACACCATCGACCTCGGAGTCGATCAGGGTATTGAAGAAGACGGTCGCGGATCGGAGCATGCCATCGTCGTAGGAGGAGAGGGCGAGCTTGGTGACGGTGACGAAGATTTGCGAGGAGGAGGCATACGCCAGACATGGATGAGGAGCCGGGCCGCGGGATTCGTCGCTCAGGACGGAGATGAGCCGATCAATGCAATTGCGCGCGTGGACGGTCGCGGACTGCTCGCCGGAGGAGGTAGAGTTGCTGGAGCGCCATATTTGCTAGGGGGGGATGAGCGGTCGGATCGCGAGGGATTCTGAGGATGAGCCACGCACCTGAAGGGTATTGCAGGTCCGTTTAAAGGACGCCAATCGTTCTGTGGGAGTGGCAGCCCGAAAGCCTTTAGTAGACAGCGAGCGGGAGCCCCCGATGAGACGAGACCACTGGAGGGGTTAGCGGGTGGTGGGGGGGTAACGACACGGGGAAAACAGGCCAACATACAAAGTCCATGATTCTGTAGGAACCGCATGGTAGTGATAGTCCGCGGGGAGGACGAGAGACAAGAGGACGAGGAGCAGGCGGTGCCGGGGCGCATTTCCTCGATGGACGAAACCCCAAAAAGGGGTTAGTGTCGCCGGACCCGCTCCCTGCCCCATCGGGCCTAGTCGGAGCCTAATGGACTGCTATTTACGGCTTTCTAGTTTCCAGTATCAATCGACTCTACGGATTACTCCGTCCAGACATCCGCATCAGCCCATCACATAAATCTAGTCTCAATCTACATCACACGCAAAGCCTTGCATGTCCTTTTCAAGTGACGGTTTACTAAAACCCCTCGTTCGCCAGCGTCATTCTTCCGGGTCGATCCCCCGACACCAACCCCTCGAGATACTTGGTCATGGTATCATCCAACACCCCTCCAACAAGATACTTGGAAAGGAAATGACCGGCCAACTGACCCTGTGCAATAAATCCACATCGGATCACGTCCTCCACAAGTTCCGTAGTGGTGTGTTCTTTGATGGCTCGTTTGATGCGTCCTGTCGTAGTCGTGGTTAGCATCGAAACTACGAGAGAAATCTAGTCTGCCTGCGGAATGAAGGCACAGGTTGACATACGTCTCATCGAGCGATGCTCAGGCTTGCCGATCTCAATAACCCATCTTTGGACCGAGGAAATAGGGTATCGATTTTTGAGGCCGATCTCGTAGCCCCAGCTGCGGACCGTGTACGAGGTGCCGTTATCGAAATGTAGTACATTGACTGAGGTTGGTTAGAGGGCCCTTTCCTAGGTGAGATGCCGTGGCGGAGACATGCCTTTGTCGTTATCAGAGGAAATTTCAGTCTCCCCGATCCGAACGCCCTCCTTCTCGCCTTCTTGATACATGGTCGTTGACTCCTCGCCCGGACAGACAGGCTCGGAATCCGGGCGAGCTTCCTCGACCTTTCTGAGAAGCTGTTCGATGTCATATTTCTCCTCTGGAAAGGGTCAACGTTTGTCAACGCGGAAAGCAGCTTCGGCATCACATACTGTAGACGATGATCCCTTTCTCGAAACGCGCGTTGGCCGAGTAGGAGATGAGGAAGAATACGTCCACAAAGCCGATAAGGCGAATCTTCCCCGGCCATTGTTCGTTGTTGATCTTGATTTGCCATGGATGGATATCGCTAACGGAGGGTTAGCAGTGGTAGTTGCCGGTCTTCTTGTGAGCAAACATACCAGTCGCACTCCAGGGCTTTGTCATGGACAGATCTGCCAAAGACGGCCAGAACTCGGTGATAGGAAGCCATTTGGGATCGAAAATCTGAGAAGATGGGGTTGGCAACAAAAGGGCGCGCCGCCGCCAGTGTTATTGGGTTTTCTCCTTCTTCCTCGCGTCAGGAACTGGGCATCACCAGCTCGGCTGAAGGGAAAGCGGGGTAAACGTGGCGGCATGTCCACCGCTGAAAGCTGCGGACGACGGCTATTGCCAGGTGAAGCAGCGATAAGCAAATGCGGTCTGGACTCTGGATGGTGGATAGGTAGCTAACAAACCAGCCCCGACATGCATCCGGAGGCGAGGCGATATCCGCTATCCGCCTATCAACAAAACACATGCCTTCGGGGACCAGAGTTCTTGCCCCTCGGGATTCAGCCCCCGAGAGCCTCTGATTCAGCTGAGATGCATCCTGAATGCAGCCCTGTTTCATTTGGGATGATGTGTCAACTGCCATCCAGCGACACGCAACCCGGCGTGTGCTTACTGGTGGGCGGATCAATCGGAAACCAGCCGCTGCATGCGATGCCCGCAGATCGACGGCCAGACTGGCTGGCTGGTATCTCTCTAGGCCCGGCCCGTTCGACGCCTGGATATCCCCGATTCCCGCCCGTCAGCCTGCAGCCATCTTGGAAGGGATGGAGGCGATTGGGCAGAGCTGGCAGCATCACAGAAGCCGGCCTCGAGGGGATATAACTTGATACAACTTGGCACCGTGGCTATCATCTTCCGCTTGACACCAGGACCTCTGCTCCAAGCTTGTCATTTCCCACTGTATCTTCTCAGCGTGAATCTTTGCAAATCCTTGCCTTCTTGCAACGATGTTCCGTCATAAATTTGAACTGCCGTTGTTGAGGGATGGACATCGGTCCGAGAAGCACCCAGTCGTATCCATCATGCCACATGCTGATGACGACTCCGCCGTCGCCGATCATCCATCAGCCACCGAGAAGGCTCCTCCCCAGGGATTCAATCTTCTCGGAGATCTGCGCGATGCGGCCCTGAACTCGACCCTCGTTGCTGGCGCCAAGGATCTGAGAGACTCCACGAAGCGCGAATTGGACACAATCGGAGCCATCGTGAAGAAAGATGGGAGCTCGCGGGATGAGAAGCTTCGAACTCTCCTGCACCACCTTGTCAGATCTCGCAGGGAGGCCGAGTTGTACAATGATTTCGCAGACACGGCCGCCACGGAGGACTCCGATCTCCTGCTCAGCTCATTTGCCGCCCAGGTGAATGAGATTTCGGTTCCCCTCCGCATGTTCGACCTGGACACGATGAACATGGTCGATACGGGCTATTTTAACGAAGAAGACCATTACTGCATGCTATCCCATAGCTGGAAAGGAGGGGAGGTTGATTACGCACTCGTGTGCGAAGCTCAACGGGACGAAACAGCCCCCGGATCAAACGATAGCGACGTGACTGCGGTCCTCAACCTCTGCAACAGCAAAATCAAGAAAATTGCCGGTAGACTGGTGACGTTACTACAGGAAGGATCGGCCCCCGGACAGCCAATCCGGAAGCTGCTCGAGAAGTCTCTTGAGGCAGCCAGCTTAGAACGAAACCTGAACCAAAAAAAGAGGGAGCGAACCATTGGAGTCACAAACAAGAGACAGTCGGATCTGGAGGAGAACAACTATCAAAAATTATTGGATTTCCTTGGCGAGATGAGAATAATAAACAGTCTAGAAAAGCGCAAAGGCGAGGCACAGGAGCAGGAAAGAAAGGCTTTAGAAGCGTGTGCCAGCGCTGAATCATCTTATGAAGCCAGCAAGTCCGAGATGGGAAGCTTCCGGTCAGACCGCAAACTATCCTATGCGATCGACGACTTGTCAAAGGCTCTGCAGCAACGAAGATCGGCACGTAAGCTGGAAAAGTCAATCCAGCGTGCGAAGGAGGTGTATGACACCCGGCCCTTTTCAAAGACGGGTAGAAGATACATCTGGCTGGACAACTGCTGCATTGACAAGCGACAGGCTGCTGAGCTATCCGAGTCACTGGCCCGCATGGGGGAGTGGTACGCAAACGCCGACTTTTGCCTGGTGCATCTGGATACCAACTGGGACAACAACGAGTGGCTGGATGAATGGGATTCGTGGTATGAGAGCCAGCCCGAAGAGTCCCGAGTGGTAGATGGTACAGCGAATTCAGATCACTCCGAAGATGACCAAAAGGGGGTCAGTGCCGACCAAGCTGCAACACCTAGACGCCAGCCTGTGGCGCAATTTGAGGACATCCAGGACTGGAAGCCAGTATGGGCTACCCGGGGCTGGACACTGCAGGAACTCGTGCTCAGCAAGATGACCTTTTATGTCAATGCAGACTGGAAATGGCTATCGCGGCCGATTGATGTTTTGGGCACCTACTACCACTTTTGTCCTTTCGTTGACTTTTATACGCGAAGTCTCCATCATGTTCAGAATTGGGAGCAGCGAGACATCGGAGCAGATCTGGACGAAGTGAACGCTTCGATGAACAGTGAGGACATCGAATGGGAGGAGGAAACCACGACCGCAACAGAGGTAAGTTTGACTGCCTCTTGTTGAGGTACTATTGTCTAACCTTGATCAAGGGGATCAATGTAAAGAGCATCATCGGAGCTCTTGAGCTTTTCAATTTCGTGGTACCCAAGCAATTGGAAAAGGAAACGGCCAGAGCTCGGATCAGCTACTCGGTCCAAGTTGCCGTCAAGGCAACTATCGATCAATCGACCGACGAGGCGTCGGAATACCGCAAAGCTATAGACCTGATAATCGAAACGATTTTTGCTGATGTGCCCTATGAGCAGCTCTACGTCGGCGTGTCTCGGGAAAAGCGAGTGAAACAGACGATAGATCGTATTCTGGGAGCCCTTGCAAAAGCAACGAATGAACTTATTAGACAGGACCGCCGAAGTATCGCCAAATTCAGTAACGTCGAAGGCCTGAGCACCTGGGCTGATGGCACAGAGAGGGACCGTTTCTCTGCCCATAGCGTGATGATGTTGGCATCACATCGGGAATGCACCAAGCCTATCGACAAGGCATACTCGTTGATGGGTGTCCTTGGGGTGCAATTCCCGTCATTCCATGCTGAAGGACTTACCAAAGCCCTTTCCCGACTGCTGGATGAAGTGGTGATCACCTCCCATGATGTTTCTGTGTTCAATTGGACGGGCAAGTACAATGGCAGTCCCTTGCGAGGACGGTCTCTCTATTCGTCAAACATTACCGCTTTCCAGACCGAAGGCGAGCGAGATCAAGCGCGTCCTGATGTGGATGGCGAAGTCGTTCGTTTCTTCCGGGCTAATCGCCTCAAACTGAATAAAGTCGCCAGAGGCGTTACTAAGCTGCTGCGTGAGGCCATCGAGTTCGTCACCGTGTTTAGGCCAGAAGAGGCTATGGTCAACGTGCTACTGGAACTGGTTCAATTCGTCAGGGATCACGACCTGAAGACTCTGCAAAGCTGGTTGGGCTCGCCTGAGCTTGTTGCGGCATTGGCAAGAGCCGGTGAGTTTGCCCAGGCAAAGACCAAGAAAGAGAAAGAGCAAAAGCAAAAGCAAAAGCAAGATCTGCCGAAAGATCAGGGAAGGTCTTGGGGGAAGTTTACCGCGCCGCTACCAGCCCTCTCCAAGGTGCCCACCTGGAGGGAAGATCGTGCAGATGACGACGACACCAATAATGAAGAACTGGGAAGCCTGGGACAAACAATCCAGGACATTGTCCCTCAAGCCTTAAGAGGAGACTTGAGATGTGCCGATGAAAACAATGCCTTCTTGGCTGCCGAGCTTGAACCCCGTCCACACACGATGAAGAACATCACTAGGAGTGACGCGCGCGACCGGCCCATAATTTGTCCCAACCCCATTGTCATCAACAGTTCCGGGATCAAGGGTGTGTTCGATATTCAGCGTGTCGTGGTGAAGCTGCTGCTGCCGGATGAGCTTCGCACGAAGGTCAGAAACGCGGCCAGCGACGACGAGAAGATCGACGGGTGGTGTACCATCAGCACAGGATTTGCTCTCACGATGGTAGCATTTTCCTGTGAGCGACACATCCTCAGCAAGCAACTGGACCTGGGGGATGTAATCGACCGAACCGTCTTGGACGAGCCGGATACTCAGGACAGAGAACTGAACACCCCCAAGCAGAATTCGGCTCCAGGCGATGCTTCAAACGAAACACCAAACACCGAAGGCACGCCATCAGGTGCCAATGGTGGTACCCCGACAGACAAGCCACGATCAAGTATGCAGGACGCAGACAGCTCAGGAAACGGCACCCCGCCCAAACTCGATAACTACGGCCGTACGCTCGAACAGAGGAAAGTATCTCGAATGATCGACTTTGTCACCGAGGCCAATCTACACGCGATAGCCGGTGAATGGGTCCTAGCCCGGTTCTCCGGTGCAATAGGAGCCAAATGGTTCCTATGCCGACTGGAATTAGGATCCGGCAACGAGTACTACGCCCGTCGCATCGCCACCGACGAATTGAACTTCGCCAACGCCATTCCCGAAAAGGGCCTGGTTGAGTTCTGGGACACCTTCCTGCACGATAAATGGATCACAATGTGTGACATCCTGAAACATCACTTGGATGCGCGAAAGGCCGGCAACTACGCATCCTGGCTCCATGACAATCTCATGGGAACTTCCGACAGCAGCGAGTCCAGCGACGACGAGGACGAGACGAACCAGAACTCCATCAAGTATGGCGGCTTAACCTCCACCGGAAAGTTCTTCAAAATGGTCGGTTGGGGTCTCCGGTCTGCGTTTGATGAGATCTGGGCTCAACATTTGGATAAACATCTTGAGGAAAAAGCTTTGGCGAAGGTGCCGCCGATCCTTCATGCCGCTATAAAGGATTTGGATGCGGATGAGGATCTTTTTCCTGTGATGTTTCACTCGGGGAGAGATGTGCATTTCTTCTAAATTGGTCTCGGTCAATGATCTAGCCAGGTCGGTGCCAGCCGTTAGATATCAGTGTTCCGTCGTAGATAGTGTGGTAGCTGTGTGCTTGGAATTTTGTAAACTTTGAATCCCGTTTAAGTGACGAACGCAACTTTCATGGTTCCTTCTTTAGGGATGTCGTCAGTATCCTATTGAAACTCGCTAAGCATACAACAATCAGGCCAGGGCCGAAATAATAACATCTATTTACTCGCAGTGGCCCATCAAGTCAGAACAGTTGACAATTCACCATGTCCAGTTATATTTCCTGTACAGTTTGACAAACTCCTCCTTCTCTCGCACATCCAAGGCCACCCGCCTGGCCCGACCTAGTCGAGCAAGCGAATCGGCCACATGGTTTGGCACCTGCTCTTGAAGGACCAACACGTGGTCTTCCCTAAAGGGTTGGCCATCATTGCCATTCATGCCGCCAGGCGCGTCCCCGTGTGGCTCTACGACAGGCAAATCTTCCGCAGTGACGCCAACGACTGCCTGTCCAATGCGGACCCGAATGAAGTGACTTGGCCGACCCAGTAGACGCCACAACCAGGTAAAGTAGGTCCCCGGTACCGGAGTCATCAGCTCCTTAGGATCATGGCGCAAGGTCACAGGGAAGATTTTGGTCCTGTGAGGAGCGCTCAGGAGGGCTGGGCTTAGCGGCAGGACGCCCTGCCCGTTTGTGGTGGTGCATTCTGGAAACAGGGCGATAGACCTGTTGGGGTATTTCTGTATGATAGAGAAGAGGCTGACCATACGGGCATTGGGCTTCGGAGTCGGTTGTGGGTCGGCAAAGGCGCGAAGAATCGCTTGCCAAAGAGACAGGTGCTCCACTTCACCGGTGTACGGATAGCAGGCCACGAAGACAGGATTGAAGACGGCCGCCAAGTAGAAGGGATCGATCGGAGAGGTGAAGGAGGAAGCAATGACAGAGCCGGGGCCAGGTAGACGATTTTGGTGCTGTGTGCTACCGAGGGTTCTACTAACAGACGGGTCAGTTCGGATTCTGAGATAAAGTCGGACACTCTTCGGAGCAGCAAATGCAGGCCACTAACCCTTTTCTGACTCCGTCTACTTGGAGATCAATCCACCAAAAACTGGGCACAGCCAGAATGAGCCATAGAAAGCCTTTCCTGACTAGCGATGGGAGGGGTAGCCAATGAAAGACCATAAAATAGGCGAGGCATATGGGTATGAAGATGAAAAGACGGAACCAAAACAGGGTAACCCATACAATCAACTTGGGGAAGCCAAGCGGCGGAGGAGGGGGAGGGAAAAAGGGCGCGACTCCGGTGCCTATAGGTGACTCCTTGGTTAGTGGGAACGACAGCTGAATGAGGGGCGGCGGTGCGTACCTCGATCACGGAACTGCGTAAATCTCTCCATGGCAGGTAAAAATTGGAGTCGGGTCAAGCAGAGGATTAGTGAGCTCGCAAAGTGGACATGACCAGGCTATGACAGCCGACTGCCGTGGGTTTGTGTTGGAAGTGACTGGTGGGGAAATGCTGATAGATAAAAGAAAAAGAATGACTGGTAGATCACGAACACGCTATCTTATCAAAGCCGATAGTACCAGATGAAAGTAGACGAGCGAGGTGGTGACCGAGAATGTGCTCCAAGCTGGTGCTTGTTGACGGAGGTTTCACATGCGACTTGCTGAAGGCAAGAGCTGCAGCAGCTGAGAGCTAGCCTGATCGGGCAGCCGAGGTTGCTGAATCAGCTAACTAGCTCACCGCCCGCGGCAATATACATCCAGCGTCGTCCAAGTGAAAGTGAACTCTTATTAACTCCGAACCATCTATATCAATCCTATTTACATCATGTGAAAGTGAAGTCGCGTCGTTTATATATACAAGTCCCAATTCCGTCGTCATATCTCCTCGTCACTCTCCGTCTTATCCGGTTGACGAGGAGGAAGTCGGAACATCCATACGGCGACGCCCACCAGCGTAAAGGCAGTCGCCGTCATCATCCACGCCAGTCCGATCCACGGACCACCGATTTCCAGACCGATCTGGAATACTGTCGTGATGGACAAGCTCGCAATGACGTTCCCCACCGACTGCAGAACCTCAATAATGGTGAAGAGACGCGCCGTCTCATCGCGGTGCACCAACGTGGTGATTAGAGCCCGGGTCAGGAAGACAAACCCTGACCCAGAAGTTTGAACTAGAAGGCTTGGAATCAGCACGGCAATGCTGGAAGAGAGCCCAATGCCCAAGGTTCCCACGGCCAACAATCCGATACTAATGCGCATAAGCTGGAGGTCCTTCTGAGTCGGCTTCATGGTCTTCAGCAATTGCCGGGAAATGGCCGGCAGAATAAATAGGAACAACGGAATGGTCAATGCTGGCTTGAACGACATGAGAAAGTTCGCTTCGGCCAAGGTCCACTTGAACCGCGTGGAGATGTACTGGACCAAGAACCAGGACGAGCCACGGCTGAGCCGGTAGACAAGAAATGCGGTGAGAAGCAGCATGATCTGCTTGTTTCTCAAAATGAAAGAATAGGGCGCCAGATAGGACCGGAATCGGTGTTTCACCATAGCGAAGAAAGGTCGTTTCGTTGTACTTGTCGTAAAAGCGGCCTCGCCGTCCTGAATTGTCTCTTCGTCGCTGAATACCTCCCGCTCTTGTTCCTTGCTCGGGACATCCTTATACTCGGAGTTCCCCGGGGATACTTGGCTCATTTCCATGCTCGGTTGCTTCCAAGTCGGCTGCGATGGTTTCACCGGCATTGTCTCCGGTAGCGACAATGCAAAGAACATGCCAATAACCGCCAGACCCCATCCCAGCAACAAGGGTAGCCATGGGTCTAAGGACATCATCCAAGAGCTAGCAGCGCTGGACGCAAAGTCGGCCCCCATGCTAGCCACACCGAATCTGAAGAAGATCGCAGCTCTACATTTTGTGAGCAAGGGCTCGAGCGGTGCTGACATGGCACACATACCTCTCCTCCTCTGTCGACACATCCGACATCATCGTCCAGATGATAGCGAACGCCACGACAGGGCCACCACCAAACAACCACGCCAAAGATGATGCCCATACGGTTCGCAGCGGGAAGACGTTGGGGAACCACATAACGGTAAGCTGCATAATGCAATTGAGGGCAAAGCCGGGGATGCTCAGACAAATGGTGGACTTTCGTCCTCGTCGATCTGCCAAAAGACCATATGGAATTGCTAGCAGAGCACCTGGATCAAAAAAGGTGAATAAACGTCGTCGCCCGGATGTCAAGCAAAAAGAAGCGCGAAAGGGAGGCCGCTGCACGGGCAAGCTAGGACATAGCCTGGTCCGAAACAGTGGTGTCGTCGGCACCTACTCAGAATTCCATCGAAAAACTCCATATAGCCCTTCACGGCAGCCAGATCCTGTTGGACCGCCTTGACCTTGCACATTTCCTCCGGGACCTCCCCGTCCGCCCCGATCTGGGTCGGGTCATATTGCGCGTAGTATTCTCGACAGGCGATGGACTCGTATATGCGGGTGACGGGACCATTGGACATGCAGATGCCGACTTCGACGGCCAGGATCATAGCGAAGAGGGTGACCATCAAGCGAAAGCGAATTTTGCGATTGGCTTCTTTCTGGGCGTCATACTGGTCGGGCTCCTCCTGGACGGGCGGCGTGGTTTCACCCGAGGCGAGAAACGGGGCATCCTCGCGGTCAAGGGGCTCATTAGACTCGCGAGGCATGGTGCATTGCCAGTCGAGGGAGAAGCGAAAGGGAGGAATATACGACGGGATTACATATGGGCGCCAGAACCCGATCAAATACGTTCATTTAAGCGGTGAACCCGAAGTCTCGCCATGAAACCCGATAGGGGAGGGGAAAGGAGATTGGAATGAAACCGGGCAGGGGAGAGGCCAATATAAGAGGGCCGGGCCCGCCCCGAAGATTAAAAATGGCACTCCGCCTGAGGTAGTCGAGACTCCACAGGCAACTGAACCCATTAGTGAGACTAGTCCACGGGGCCAGTCACGTCCCCTATTTGAGACAAGGAGCCTGGAGGGTTTGATTTAATTCTGCCCTTCTTTCTCCCTCGCCCGTTCCGCACGCATCCGGGGAGTGAGAGTGAGAGCCACCACCTAGCAGCATTCGACACTTCTGCCTACAGCGCCTAGGCAACATCCCAAATATGTACACCACCAAAGTGATGACCAAAAGGCCACGCAAGAGAATCTTATACACGAGGACACCACCAGCCTAGGGCTTACTTTATGCACTGCCGACCCAGTAAGACGTCGCGCCAACCACTCAACCATCCTAATGATCGGACCATCGCATTCGATTGGTCTTCTCGAACCGGACTTCTGCAATTGTCAGCGGGCGGTACGTAGATGGCCAATAGCCAATCGCCAATCTCGGGCGGGGATGGGATATCCGGTCGTCAGCGGGCGGGCCGGTCTTTCAGGGGGAAGGGAAGGGACGGGAACTCCTGACGAGATGGCGATCTGTTCGATCCGTCTGCCTGGAACAATACGGAGTAACCCAACCCTTTTTCTGGAATACTTACTGTAATTAGATGGGGAGTTAGGTAAACTTTCCAAATTGGCGCAGTGGACAGCACTTATTCATTGTTCTTAGTTGAGATCCTCCGGGAAGTGAAGGATAATTATAACTGGATTCTAGTTCTCTGTACACGGAATCAGGATAGATTACATGTCCAAGTCACGAGTCACAAGATAATATAACTTAGTCGATTGGAGATTAATTTCATATACGGAGGATCCCTTCCTCTTGTTCGTGTTCATTTCCGTCCATCCTTCCATCGATCCTCATTTCCTCGTTACATCACATCACAATTGCAAGCAAGGAACACTACTCCGTACTTATCTGGCAGAACTTCAAGTAGAGTGGAATAGAGGAGAGAGGAATTTCTTAAGGCAAGTTAACCGGGCCCTGGTCGGAGAAATTACGAGTGAGCGAAGTAAGATAGAGACAAAGGAAACATGAGAACATCTGTGACAGGATGGGCCAGACACAACCAGGATCACAACTCAACCCAGCCTGACCCGATAATTATATATTGGCGCAATGCGCGTGTAAAGAAAGTAAGAAGGTGAAAAAGAAACCAAGGAGGCAAGGAAAAGAAAAAAAAGTAGATATAAAGTATGGTCTAAAAGAAAGGTAAGAATGGTACTCGGTAGTACCTGAATCGAATGTAATGAGTAAATCGTAGAGACCAGCTCTACGGCACTTCCTTGTCCCCCCTCTTGAGTTCGCCGGGTACGTCGATCGCCCCCTTAATCCAGTCCATCGATGCGATCTCGTCCAGGCTTTTCCGTTTCGTACTCCGTTTCAGTAGTCCCTCCACGCACTCGCGCGCACCCTCCAACTCCTTGCCCTTCTCGGGGTCCCATTCGCCGTCGCTATCGGCGTAGCGGTACCAGGACCACTCGACTCGTGCGATGCGGTGGGGCGTCCGCGCTCGGAGTTTGGCGGGATCGCCTCGGGTGCCGGGTAATGCGTCAAAGGGGAGCCGGTTCTCCATCATGGCGTACAGCAACACACCCAGCGCCCAGGCATCCGTGGAGCGTCCGTCGTAGGGTTGTCCCATCAGGATCTCAGGGGCCGCGTAGTCTTCGCTTCCGCAACGGGTATGGAGGAGGGGGCTTTCGGGAGGCTCGGGTATTCGTCGGGACAGGCCCAGGTCGCTGAGGGTGATGACCGCTCGGTCGTAGGTGCGCCAATCCGTGATGGTTTCCATCGATTGCATCGGGAGGTTCACAAGGACGTCTAACACAAGATCCTGTCAGTCTGGTTCAAAACAAATAATCACTACACTCACTCTCAAGTTTGATATCCCGGTGGACGATAAAGTTTGCGTGAAGGTAGCGTACAGCCGCCACCAATTCGGTAAAAATACGACGAATGGCCTGCGGGCTCATTGGCCGTGGACTCGATGAGGCCACATCAAAAAGGTCTCCCCCGGGGCAGTAATCCAAAACCAACAGGGCGCGTTTGTCGTCGCTACCAAATGCTTTCAGCTGTACCAGTGACGGGTGATTGACCGATTTGAGGATTTCGACCTCGCGCTTGAGCGAGACCTCGAGGCGCTCCTCATCCGCACCACCAGCCGGTCCGTACTCGATGATCTTGACGGCAACTAGCTTCTGGGTAGCCAAGTTCACGTCTTGAAGACTGGAAATGGTGCTGTTATCGTCACTTTCCCGTCGTTCTATGCGTGCAGCAAGGCAGACCTGACTGAAGGTTCCATGACCGAGCTGCCGCAGCTTGCGATATTTGCGACGCTGCTGCGTGCGTACCGAGCGCACCGAGTATACCTCGTCTGGACCACTTGTCAAGGGCGAAATGACGGGTTCGTTATCGCTGTCGTCATATCCACTGCGGCTGCTGCGTGGGGGCGTCGGGGGCCGAATCGTTGGTAATGCAATCCCACGATGGATCGCCAGATACTCTTCCCGGTGTAAGTTGTTGCTCGAGTCGGTGCTGGAAGATGAAGTGATCCCCGGTGGCACACCTGTTCCGGAGACCGCGATGGGTCGCGGCTTGACGGGAACGGCCCGACCGGGGGGTACGTATTCACTGAGGCTGCGGTTGCGCGCATGTTTCGAACCGGATCCTTGGTGAGGTTTTGTCGGGGACTCGATCGGTGTTTCCGACAGCTTATCCGGGATCATGTACTGCTTGCTTCGTGGTCGGGCTTCGCAAGGGCCGAACATTTGTGATGAGTCGCTGAGTCGCAAACCGAGGCTAGAGCCGCTTCGAGAAGCCGTCGAGGGTGTCCGCGACAAGGATTGAGAGTTGCGCCGGGGAAGTTTCCATGGCGACATACCGCCGATTGGCGATGGCAAGGGGGTGATGTCTCCCATGGCCATGAGCTGGGGGGAGGATATGAGGGAGGCAGGAGACAGAGAACCCCCGCTGGTGGGAGGGCCGGCGAACAGACCCCGAAGGCTTGGGGTGCGACGGGGCAAGCTGCTGGACGAGATACTGTGGTGCACAAGCGAATCCGGTTCCCTCGGAGGACTCATCTGGCTGGCGTTGGACAGATCGGTGCGAATGTGAAGCGACGGTACGGGATGATGTGGGAAGGAGTGATGCACAGTTGCATCGTGCAGTGGACCTGTTGGATATTGACCGATATATAGCGGAGGAGTCTGGAAACTCCCTTTGCCAGGGATTATAGAAGAAGCTGCACCAATTTCATTGTCACCCGAAGCCGTTGGTTTGCTGGCTCCGTGTAACTCAGGTGGATGGACAGTCGATCCTGACCTGTCGGTCGGTTGGGCCGAATCCGAATGGACCATCGAACGAAAGAGCCGGACTATCCTGGATTCCTGTTTTTTTGAATTTTTATTTTTCTATTTGTAGCACCAGAGAGAGCCCGGGGTTGGCAGCACGGATAGTGAACTATGATTGCGGGCGAGTTCGGGCTAATCCCTCGGGTCAACCTTAAGCAAACCGCGTGGGCGTACTTGGCACTAGACGAGGCCCTGGGGCCAAAGGGAAACAGGAGGCGAAGGGTGGTGATTCAGTGCATCAGCCGGAAGAAAGATTCGGGGAGAGAGAGAGACGAAATGAACGGAGAGTAAAGGAATGGAAGAAGGGGATGAGAAAGGCTAGAAAAAGGATCGGACGGCGGGAGGGGAACCGCGCAGTTCTTCCCAGGCCTTAAAAGCCAAACTGAAAACAAGTCGAGAGTACTTCCAGCTCGGCGCTGATGACGCTGCAGGAAAAATCCACGCGGGGTCAGCTGATAAACCGACTGCTTCGAGTCTAGCCGCCACGAGGAAAGGCGCTACCCCGCATTAAGTAATACCGTTGGCGGAAGGGCCAGAAGAGGAACGGATTTTGCCTGCTGCGGTTAGCGACGACGGCCTCGGCCCTATCGCAGCTGTCGCTGACTCGCTGGATCACGGTCACGGTCAGATACGGGACGCGCCACCAGCTGATAAGTTCGTCTCTGAATAGATTAATATCCTCGCAGCACGGCGTCAGCCGTGGGTGCGACGAGATAGTGGCCTTTTTAAGTTCCAACGTGATCAATCTTATCACTGAATATTAAGGACGGTCCAATTTACATTATTTGCAGGGCCAGTGCCTTGCAGGTCGCAATGCATGGTTGGTAACGGGGCTGATGATCTGCCAGGACGCCTCTTTCCTTGCCTCTCAACAGCCACGATCGCTTCCTAACCCAAAAAGTGCCAGTCGTGGTTACCGAATCGGGTCCGATTGAGGCACTGCGCTGCCGAAAAGAAATGTGGTGGTAGAATGCGGGAGGTGACGCGACAATCATCGGATCGTGGTATTACCTGTCACATCAGTGGCGATCCGATACAGTACAGAGTAGAGCACTTACGATAGCCCATACTCTATAAAGATATACGAAGTACTCCGTACACAGTACGAGAACTGTCAGAAACTCTAGGTATGGCAGCCATCCTCTTATCAACCACATTTTTCATGTTGCCCGGTTGCGGGCTGCTACAATCCAGACAGCCTGGATCCGCCGGTGTTTGAAACTTTGAACTGCTAATAGCACCCTGCAACAAACCAATTAGTGTGGCCAGCTTAATCTCGTTAATTTCCTATCTGCTCGCGATCATTTGACGCACTGTGCACATCGCCGCCCACGCTACTGTAGCGCGTGCACTAGTCGCCCGCTCTGTCGTCCACTCGAAATTGGACCGAGTCCATCCTGATGTCCTGTTTCAGGGTTTGGCGACGGATCGACGCGCTGTGCCCGAACCTACGTAAGCCATCCGTATTATCATTCCGGGTTACTTGTTTCGATGTGGGTTGTCAGTCGTACACATACACAGTACACAGTAGCGATCGTTCCAAGCTCATCGCCGGATGAAATCATGGATAAGCCCGACCGCCAAGACTAAACCGGCTGTCAGGACCTCAACAATCACCGGGCGGTTTCCCGGTCCTCGGGCTTCCGTCCAATCTTCTGTGACCTGTCCAGTTGAGAGAGAGGCCTTGCATGTGCAGAATCTGCGGTTGAGCAGCTATTCTCCGGACATGGAACCCATCTCATTTCCAGGGTACTCGTCCATGGTACGGATACATTTGATTGACGGGATTTGATGGCTATCATTCCTTGACCCCTGTGTTGGATGGTGTAGGTTGGTTGGGGATGCGACCGGTTTACTCCGAAGCCATGGGAGGATCCGTGTGCCCAGACGCTAGCTGATTACCTTGTCGGATCCGTGAACGCAATTCTGCGGCATGCCAGCGTTTGCGCCTTCTGGCAATATGCTGTCTCGGTATGCGTGTCTCGTGCTACAAGGATGAAGTCTCCGTATATGGGTATTCATCTCTATTAATATCTTGCTCGTCTTCCTCCCGGTTCCATCAGACTTTGCCTTGTTGCGCTCGATGCCTAAGTATGAGCCCGGAATTTGTGCATGCGCGGCACCCGGGCAACCTGCACTCCTGTGATGACACTGCATGCATGTCGCTTCCCCGATGCATGGCATTGCTTCCAGTTAGGCATCACTCGGCCCTTACTGAACTTGCAATACGAAATGGGCTAGCGTTCATTATTATTGATCGTCCGTAAACCATGTATCTACAGGATACTTTGAGTTCATCGCATTCAAGCTGTCAGCTAATACACAGCCGGTCCGGAGCGGTTGACCGCACCAATGGCCTGTTCAATCGTGATAATATTGACCGGCAGATTGGGAAGAATGCCCTCCAAGATGACCTACTGAATCGAAGTCGCATAGGTCGAGGGTGACTCGATCGTGTTGTTGGCAATGACGCGTAACTGGCATCACATCAGTCATTGATTACTCCGTACATCCTCTTGGATCGCCCGGTTACACATTGTAGTTGAGATCCAACAGACGGAGCGCGGTGCTAAGCACCACCCCCGAAGTACGAATTCCGGACTTCATCTGATCAGCTATGAACTTGATTGGGTTCGATCAGCTTACCAGTATCACCGTGTCGATCTTCTGGCTACTGAGGATCTCCTCGAGCGGATTGCCAGCCCCGGCGTAGTAACGGGCTTTTTGCACCACCACATCCCAATTGTCGAGGGGTTTGAAAGCTGGATAGAGTTGGGATACGGGACTCGACGCTGTCAGGTTGCCTAAGGCAGCGACGGCCAAGCCGAAGGGACTGTCGCCGATTTCTGGGCGCTGAACGTTGGAATAGTAAACGCGCGAGAAGATGCTCAACGGAGGAGGCTCCTGCTTGTGCACACTGTCAATGCGTTGATAAGGTCCAGTGACGCGATTGCTGCTATGCTTACGTGTTGATCCAGGTCGCGACAGTGTCAATCCATGCCTCTCCGACCGTGGTGGTGTTCACCGTTGCAACCAATTCATTGACCAGATCGAGATTGAGCACCGCATAGTGCTGTCCGAAGCTGAATGAGGCATTGGTGACGGTGAGGGTGATATTAAACGAGTATCTGGGGGAGGTGGTGAGAGCTTTGGTGGCGAGAAGCGCCAGACACACTTAACGAGGAGAACATGGTGATGCTTTCAATTAATATTTCGCAACACAGCAGATTGATGAGACGGGCTGTGATGTTGCGGTGTTTATGTACATCCATCTATCAGTGAGCACATCTCACTCAGCGAACTATTGGGACCAGCACATCATTGTCTTTTCGACCGATTTCACTAGTGACTGTTCTTGTTGCAGTAGTGCAGGTGGCCTGCTTGAAAATTGACTGTCGCTTTGACCATGCTCATCACAACTCTTGTTTGTTCGTACCAAGGTGGATGACGTTGCCATTTTTTACTGCAGAAAGGAAATATGAATAGCAACTTGGTGCAACTGCATCATTCTTAAGGGGTCGGAATGGAGCCGATCTCCTGCAGATCCCAAGTGGGCCGCTAAAGCTTAGGCTCGTTACTATTCCCAGATGCCATGAAGATAGAATGAGCAGGATTATCATCGGATAAGGCTCGATGTATGTTGACAGGCACAATGGTCGACTTTCAGTGCGAATACAATTCAATCGTGGATGTAGGAGTCAGCCGGTAAAGTACGGAGTACCGAGAATGTGATAGGAGGCAGGTAGCAAACACTACTCTCAGATTACTCAAGCCTGACACTTAGGCAACCTTCTCACGACCTGCAGCTATACCACAATAATGGTTTATTCCAAATCCTGCACTATCACTCTTCAAGCCACCCCCATATCATTACAGTCAAACCCAACACCGAAACCAATCTCCAATCCCTCCCACACATACTCTACTAATCCTACTACTGTATAGTCACCACAAACTCATAACCAAAAAAATTTCCCCTAACAATGAACGAACCCAACCCCGGGAGCACCTGTGGGATAACTGTGGGGAGCAGCCCTGAATAGTCTTTATCCGCCCTCTCCACAGAGCCACACCACACCACCTCAATCAAGGCTGCCAGTTGCCACATCCACCCACACCCACACCCGTCCTGAATTCTTTCCCGGTGGCCCGCTTTACTTTCCCCGGTGACACCCAGGCCTATTTAAAGATCTCATCACGTACCATGTATAAGAATCCATAAATTGGAACGATGGCTGTGCTAATCCCCTAATGGGTATGGATATGGGTATGGTTCTTGGCTTACCCTAGCTATAAGCGATGCGGCGATCAACCTATCTATAGATTATGGTGGTATGGCAAGGCTGGGAAAAGTTATATCCTTGACGGTTGACTGGTGAGAGGGGGGTTTGCCAAGATTGGAGCCGTGTGTTGGTCGTCTTCGTTGTTTCGCCTCGTTGTGAGTGCCTGAATGCTGGCGGAGTGAGCCGCTTCCGAGGATGGGTTGATACAGACGTGCCTGGAAATTGGATATTTGGCTACCTGATTGCTTAGCTTGGTATGCATTAGCAGGACGAGGATGTACTTTCCTTCAGGATAAATGTTCCTGTTTTGTTCCTATCTCTACACGTCCTAGTCTAATAATCCACGAGACCCTATTCAAAACCTAGTTGATTATATAGAAGTAAAATATAGATCATACCAGGGACTGCCTAACCACCCTCTAGCCCCAACCGGGAAGATAGATACATGGACCATGGAAGTAACTTCATCCCCAGCCCCATCTGCTCCCCTTCCCTGGCTCCCCGAGTGGATAACAGCGCATCCACTTCGGTTGTGATTGTCTCACTCACTAACTTGCTTTCTGATTCGGTATACTGCTTAATGCCAAGATGATGAGATGGGATCATGTTTCGACGCGTCAGCACGGAGTATCGTTTCGCATTTTGGTTTGGTATAATGGAGATGAGTATTGCCATGCTATGAATGCTGTTGTTCTGGTATTGTAGGTATATGCACCTCGCTATGATGAGCTGATCAACTCAGCCAGTTCAGCCAACGTACTTTGTGTCATGTAGGTACTTTATCAGTCCAATAGGTACTAGGTATAGCTCAATGCAGTAGCCCAATTAGACGAAGGATTATCCCCTTCAATCAGAGGACTGCACTGGACTGAAGCTAGTACCTACTGGCTAGGGTCTGTGGAGTGAGATCAGGGGCCAGACCAGACCAGACCAGCACCACGGTTAGGCATCGCGGTGAACTTACTATCCTGCGTACGGAGTAGTGTTTTCTATTTGTGGCTGGGAGGTGGAGTGGCGTGGCAGTGGATTGATAGACCCATAGTGGTCCGTAGGGTGGTGCCTACTGCCAGTGTCTAGGGTAGTACCGGGTTATAAGTAGAGTAGCAGGTACCCGGGATTCTAGCTCAGACCAGCATTCATACTATTCTTACTTTCGTTCATTGCTATTTCTTGAACATTCATCTTCTAAACACATTATCCCAATCCAATAATTCAACCAACCATCCTTAATCCAAGCAACCACCACAATGTCCGTGACATCTACCGCCGCCTCCGCCACCTCAACCTGCCACCAAAAACTCTACGAAATCCCCATCAAAGACGCGGCCTGCGCGATGCCCATGGGCTCCAACAACTCCGCCATTATGAGCAGCTGCTGCGGGTCCGCCTCGGTGGTCTCCTACTCCAGCTGCGACTACTACTGTCTGGCGGAGGACCAAACCGTCGGCACGTTGGCCGAATGTCTGATCAAGGCGTCCGAGGCGGGGGAGGTCTGGTGTAATACGAATGCCAATGCCACGGCCACGGGGAGTGTGCCGACTACTGGGGCTGGGACGGTGGTGTCGACGGCGAGTGCGACGTCGTCTGGGAAGGGGTCGGGGACGGGGACGGGTACGGCGAGTGGGGAGACGGCGTCGTCGACGAGTAATGCCGGTGTGGCGGTTAGTAAGAAGTCGGTGGGGGTGTTGGTGATGTTGTTTTTGGGGTCGGCGGTGGGGGTTTTGTTGTAGGCAGTGGGAGTATAGGGTGTATGATTGAGGGAGGGGGTATGTTGTGGATGGTAGACAGGATGGTTGATAGGGTGGTTGATAGGGTGGTAGGGTTGGATTGGATATTTAGCTAGGCTATGCTGTACAGTAACTGATGTATCTCGTGATCATCTTGCGGCGAATATCATTAGCTGTATTGATTTAATATTAAATATTCGTTCACTGTTGTGCACAACGTAAATGGGTTCGTGCAGTTGTGAGGTTCACGCTGTATACATAGATGGTGTATCGTCGTCACCGACAACCAGGCTGAGGTAACATGTATTCACACACGAGCATTCACACGTGTCTATCAACATGACTATCTATTTCGTGTTGGTGCAGTGAGATACATGATTCTTCTGTTGCCTGTGAACAGTTGTTGAGCATCTTGTATACTTCATATCATCCACCTTTTCTACTCATCTACAGCAAACATTTCAAAGAGTTGAACTAAAGGAATGGCACCATTCAACCTCTTCAAACTCCTCTTCCCATCAACGGTTAAAAAAACAGACCTCAAAGATCTCCCTCTCGAGATTATACTCACCTGCTTGAGCTACTCCACCCTCGAAGAACTCCTCTCCATCCGTCTCGTCTGCCGTAAGTCTGTCCACCAACCCTAAACCAAACTAAGCATCACCCAGGCCGCATGAACGAAACCGTCCTCGACAACCTCTCCCACATCACTACCGTACCCGAGCACCTAAGCGACACTCTCATCTCCCGACTGCTCTACCACGAACTCCTCAAAAAGCCAAGAAACCCAACGCCACATCACCGCCATCGTCACCCAACTTCAACAATCCGCCCAAGGCACCGAACTCACCCAATGCACCATCCCCAACTGCACCCAAGCCATCAGCACCGCCCTCACCATCCACAACGGCCGCGCCTGGGTCATACAGAACTACAAAACCGCCCCCTCCTGGCTCACCACCACCACCACCACAACCACCACAATCCTAGTCCCAATCCTCTCCGCCTGGTTCGGCCTCCACACCCTTCTAACTAACACCCTAACTCACTACACCAACATCAACACTACATACCCCCACCTCGGCACCCTCCTCACCGCAGCCACCTACCACAACGACCTCCCCCTCCTTCAAACCCTCCTCACCCACAATCTAAACCCCAACATCCCCAACAACCTCCACCACACACTCCATCTACCTCGCCGCGCGAAACAACCACCACGACATCGTGGCCCTCCTCCTCGAACACAACGACACGGACCCCCAATACATCCGATGCGATGAACTGTTCCTCGCTGCTGGTCGCCGTACAAAGGGGTCATGAAGATGTCGTGAGGGTGTTACTTGCGTGTGAACGGGTGAATGTGAATGCGGCGGGGGTGTGAAGGGGGTTATGCCGACGGCGTTGTGGGCAGCTGCGGGGATGGGGAATCTGCGGATGGTGAGGATGTTGAATTGGGGTAGGGTGGATGGTTTGATGTCAGTGGATTATGATCTTTTGAGTTTTGTTATGTTGTTGGGGTTAGGATGGGAAGTATTACTCTGAGGGGGTGGAGTAGATAAGGGGTGGCTTAGGGCTGGGATGGCCACTCTAATAGTAAGATGGAAGTATGTTCTTATGTTACTATCACGATAGATAGCCTTTTGGCGTAAAGATATAAATAGACCAAGAAGAGAGGCTACATGCCGAACTAGATTATGGTTATGTAGAAATCGAAATATAGAATCATTATCATAACAGTCAAATTAAACCAACGTGTACAGCTGGAGCCTTGAGCCATGTGTCAGAGGTATATAAGTACTAGTGTCTGTAGGCAGGTTTTCATTTCCTTCTACTACAGTACTAATCTATCCTCATCTCGCACTACTTATGGTAAACATGTGAAGTACTCTGCATCGCCTACATCCGGTGTTGATCTGCTCGGTAGTATACTAAGTTAGTATGAATACTATACGAAGTACGAATCAGAGCATAAACTTGAAGCACTTAATGATACTATCTTCAGAGCAATTATTATATACTAAACCACGTCCGTCCTCATCTAGTAGTCTAGTCGACTATACACTATGCACACTGTTGTCAACACTGTCACCAGGGTAATGACTGATCACCGCAGCACCGGCCATCCGTCCACGTATTTGATGATGTTATAGCCTAGTCGGGCGTCCTGATGTTGGTATCTTATTAGCATTATACTTAATGTCTTGCAGTCCAATATAATCTTGATAACAGACAAGAATAGACTGGGCAAGAGAAAGGACGGGAACGAACCTTAAACTCCAAACTAACCGATTTGTTCACTACCAACCCAGCAATCGTCAGTAAGCACAGTAACCACATACAATCCAATCCATTGCACCAAGAGGGATGAAGAGAGAATAAGAGAGGAGGGTATACAGTAATGATAATAAAGAACATCCACCCCCCCACTTTCATCAGTCAACACGCCCTGTCCACCAGGCGCATAGACGTCTCCATTCGACCCGTAGATGATTTCGCCTCCGCCATCGACGAGGTCTCGGCCTTGTTTGTCGACGAAGGGGCCTCGTGGGCTGGCGGAGCGACCGAGGCGGATACTATATCTATTTGGTTGTCTTTAGTATTTCCCTCACCAAGAATATGGGAGAAAAATGGGAGGAGGGATGGAGGGAGGGAGAAAGGGAGGGAGGTGTGGACATACTCCATCCCCGGCGCCGGCAACTTCTCCGGATCAAAATGACAACACTTCCCCCAACTAAACCAGAGATAATACCACGGTTTACGGTATGAGATAAACGGTCCCTCGATGGGATGCATCCCCGTCGGATCCCCACAAATCCCATCGGCTTTCTTCCCCGGTGGATGCACGACAGTCGGTTCAAAGGCCAGATGACGGGCCTCTTCTCTCCGCTTATCGATCGCTAGTAGCCCCGGCTGTAACGGGACCTGCCAGAGGCCGGTCCAGAAACTGCCAAAATTCATGTACCCTTGGTCCGTGGCGTGGTCGAGGATGACGCTCACGTCGATGGCATTGGCTCGGTCGAAGGGATACAAAGTGGACTTTTTGCCCGCGCCGGAGAGGGCCAGAGGTCCGTGGTCGGTCCAGTCGTTCGGCCCTGGGGAGGAAGAGGTTGCCACGCCGATGGCGCTGTTGCGGCAGCCGCTGTTGCTGGTCGCGTAGAAGCAGTAGTAAGTTCCGGAATAGGAGAGGGTGGTAGGCGCCCAGGGGGCTTTGAGATCGCCTTTGGGGAGGATGCTGGGCCCGTCTAGGACGGTGCCAGCTTTGGTCCATGGGCCGGAGAGATGGGGTGCGGTGTGGATGGGAATGTGCGGGCCGGAGCCGTAGGAGTAGTAGATGTCGTTGACGCGGATGATGCTGGGGTCGTGGATGTGGAGGTCGGTGATGTGTGTGGGGGGGAAAGGGCCATCATATTCAGGGAGTGTGTCGTCGAGGAGTTCAGTGTCTTGAGATGGTGAGGGGGTGTGATATCTGGTGTAGAGGGCGTAGGTGAGGAGAGAGAACAGAGTGAGGAGTGAGATGGCTTTCAGGATGCGCCGGAGCAATGGCCGGGTGAGCGGCGACTGAGAGATGGAGCTGTCGTCACTGGCAGTGAAGGATAACCATGGTAGCTGAGGCCATTGTTTAGGAATCATGCTGGATGTGATGACTCTGACTCATTGCTTGCGGTCAAGGCAACTGAGATAGCGCCAACTGGCGAGTCTGGATGTTGCAATCCTGAGTGAGGTTGAGCTCGACAGGCGACGTGGATCAGATTAAGATTGGTGTGTTGTGCTTCAGGGATGGTGGTCATGGATATTGCCGTTCGCCGTCAACCCCTCAGGTGTTCGTCTATAAACCACGTTAGTCGCGCCGCTGGCTCGGGAGGGGAGATCCTACTTGGATGCTGCGGAGCCAGAAGTCAGATGCAGCATGATGGGATGCAGTGAGCGATACCTTAGCAGTGGCAGTGGCAGTGGCAGTGGCCGGTGGGACAGGCTGCAACTTCGCTGGGCTCGTCGATCGCCCAGCCGGCCAATCATCTGCCCAGTTCCCGTGGTCCACAACACCACTACTATTCTCAGCTTACTAGGTATGGTCGAGGTAGGTATTTTCAAGCTGGCATGCATCTAGTCGGTGGAATCATAGAACTGAATAGCTCGAAGCATCATTACGCCATAGCATACAGGGTACTCGATCCAGTCCACCTGCAGTCGGATCTACATGGCCGAGATGCCAGTCAACAAGTGAACCAACGCCCAGCGCTCCAATATCACATAACAATATCATAACTACCGAACTACGATCTTGTCCACCTCATCCTTGGCCTCCGTCCAGGTCTCCAGGTTCTTGCGCGCCCAGTCCAGGTGGCACCGCGCGTATGCAACCTATCCAGTTAGCTGAGTCCACGAATCGGGTATTAAACTCACCATATACCGCCGGAGGTCCATCTCTTTGTCTTTCTGGAAGCGCTTGAGATCTTTCAACACACCGGCACTGGCATCTTTGACGTCTTTTTCGGACACCCCAAGGGCTTGCTCCAACTGCGTCTGTTAGCAGATTCCGGACACAGCAAGCGACACATACCTGCACCAAGCTCTCTTTCGTCTTCCCAATCTGATCGCGCCGTGTGCGCTCTGGATCAACATCCACAAAGCCATGGACCGCGTGGCTGATCCGACCGAAGATCTTGTTCGCCACAAAAGTCCCACTCGACGTTTTGCGATGTGCCGGAGACGAGGACCCGAATTCCGGGCGTCGCAGCGCGGGGCTTTGTGGAGGATGTGAGTTAATATTTTCCCCGTGCGTAGGAGGAAAGTCCGAGTCAATGGATGCACCGTCCTCAGAGCTAGCCGGACGGGCCTCGCCCTCGGTGCCCCCTGGAGCGCTCACGGCCGAGGACGTCGACAGCGACCGCTGGGTCCTCGTGGGCGGTCCCGGAGGGGACGTCCGGTTGAGATACTGCTCGATGCGTTTCGCCTCCATTTCACTGCGCTCCAGTGAGTCAAGTAGCGTCTTCTTCTTGACTAGCTCATCGCGCGTCATGTCTTCTTGCACCCGTTTGAGCACCCGATACCGTAGCACGCTGCGCACCACGCTGGCAAACTGTGCGCTCTCTCGCATGGGCTCGGCAAAGCTGGCGCTCAGCGAAGCGGATAGTTCCTCGGTCTCAATGTAGGATGTATCGGCGGCTTGACCCACTCGTTCAATGGCCGCAGCCACGGTCGGAGATGGTTCTGACAAGGAAAACCCATTATACCGTGCTCCGAGTTCCATCAAGTCGGCGGAGAGGGATGAAAGATGGGCCAACGTGCGACGGTTGACTTTCTCGATATTTCCTTGCAGCAACAGCTCAAGCTCACGCGTAGACGCCTCGAAATTGATAAAGTACGGATCCAACTCCTTTTCACTCAGTTTCTGCGACTCCGGCGGGAAGCGGCCAAGCAGGTCCGGGCCTGGGGTTTCAGTGGCTGCAGCTGGCGCGGGACCCCCGGCACCCCCCGACTTGAGCTTCGCGGAGGCCGATGGCACCGGTAGCCAGGCATGAGCGGGGGTGGGATTGGCGGGGTCGAGAGGAGGGGCTTTCAAGTTGTTCTTGGGCACCGACGACGCGGGGTGTGAATGAAGTACTTCGCTCTAATTGAATCAGTACACGTGAATCAGTACACGGCTGTCGGCGATCATCGGCACACCTACCCAGCTGACATTGGGGTCCAGGAACCTCCACCAGACCCCATCCTCGCGCACCTCCTTCATCCGGCGACAACGGTTCAGAAACACGGCCAGCATTCGCTTGCGGAGGTCGATAATGGAGGTGTCTTCCTTGGCTTTGGTGGGCTTGGCGGCATAATCGGCCATCGTATGCTTCTCGGGGATAGGCGGGACGATGAGGGTTGGGTGGAGATTCACGAGGGTTTGTCGTAGCGACGCGAACTCGGAATACCGTCTGCGGACCTCCAGATCCTAGATTCAATTAGCCTGATTGCTTCTGCAGCTTAAGCGCCATTTGGACATACCCCCGTGCGTATCGTGTACACGATGAAGCTGCCGCCGCCTTCGTGGTTCTTCCCGGCATCGGTGATGAGGATCGGCATCTCCGGGTTTTCGTACAGAATCTGCTCTATCCGGCTGTCGTAGACATTTTTGCGGAGGTAGCCATGACCCGCTTGCTGGTTGACGTATGGGGCGTCGTCATCGTCGCTGAGATCCTGTTGTTGTGAGAGAAAGTCCGGGGGATTGTCGGTGGATGATCGGCTAGAGGGAGAGGGAGGGGTATATTCGCGGTCGTAAAGAGCTGCACAGGTTAGTGTAAGACACAGCGACCGGATGGAGATGGGCTTACTGGGAGAGAGAGTTGCCGAATGCAGGGACTCGGAGAGATGCGCCTCGTTATCGAATGCGCCGTACGGGTTGTTATCCTCGTCGTTCCACATGACGGCGGGAGGCTGATCAGCAGCCTGGATCTTTAGGAAGAGAGAGAGAAAGAGTGGATCATGAATAGGGGAGAGAGAAGAATGTATGGAGTAGCCAAGTTGAAGCTCTGAGGGACAGAACCGAGGGAGGAATCAGCTGGAGCACCAGCCCAGGCAGCGCCGGGACTCTCGCGGGGATCAACGTCACCGCCTCGGGCGTGCCGCAGCGACCACCTCCGCCGCCTTATAAATAGATCATCTTCCACCACTTCGCATTTTGCTAGCTACAGGCACCATGACAATCCAACGCTATCTGCCAATTTACCACCCACCCTGCGGTTCCTGCGCTTCCGCTCTCTGCTGCAGAGCCGCTGCTAACGCACCGGGATCCGGCCCTTGCTGCATCATTCCACCGTGAGGCTCCCGTCTCTCCGAACCCGCCTTACTTGGACCCCGCGGAGCACTATGGGGCCTGTAGCTCTTATTCGAACCCTGCTTGCTACCCCTCGGTGCTGACGGAGGATCAAGGGGATGGCGTGCATATCCTTGTACGGAGGGAGGGTTACCAGGAGGTTCCGGCACAAGTTGAGGAGCATCCCATTCATTCAGCCTAGCCATTCTGTCAGGCGTTCTAGCAGCTGCAGACGGAGCAGCGGGCATGCCGTTTCTGTTCGACGGAGGCCGGTTCGGAGACTGCCGAGCAGGTTGCTGATGTTCCCACTCATCTTGAGAAGGAGGTTTGCTGGGCAATCTAGCCGGAGGTGGGGGACCAGGCATGCCGTTTCGGTGTGAGGCAGGTTTGCTAGGAGGTCTTGACGGGGGCTGTGGAGCTGGAGCATCCCATTCGCGCTGTGACGGAGGCTTGCTAGGGGGACGTGATGCAGGCTTGCTAGGAGGTCGACATGCAGGCTGTGGAACTGGAGCATCCCACTCGCGCTGCGAAGGAGGCTTACTCCCACCGCCAGCAGCAGCAGTACCAGCCATAGGAACCCCACCGCGATCTGGCCCCGGCGCAGAAGGACCAGCTCCTGCAGGCTTCTTCTGGTTGCGATGTTTACCTACCTCTCGACACTCCACCCAGTGTTTTTTGCCGCGTCGGTCTGCAAGTTCGATCTTCTGCACGGTGACTTCGGGTGGACGGGTCCGACGCCGTTCGAAGTGGTCGTTGTGGGCGCTGGTGCGGAGCTTGCGGTGCCACCAGAGCCTGAGGATGTAGACCATTACGCACATGAAGAGAAGGAGCGCGACGAGGATGATCACGATGGTGGTGTTGGGAGGCATGGCTGCGTGTGATGTCGTAGGACTGAGGTGAGTGTTAGTAGTGTGTGATTCGTATGGGAGGATGTATTACTGGCTTCACTGATGCAGGATTGTAAAGTACGCGAGGTAAGTGAGGACGCGTCCGACTTGACATGCAAAGCAGTGCTATCGCCATGCAGCGTAGCAAGAAAAGGTGGGCATAAACAAACCATCAGCCCAATGCATACAGCAGTGAATGGTAACATCTACTTGTATGACCTGTTTGTTCTACTACCAAAGACCGAACCACCGTTCATAATAACCAAAACAGTAGCGTAAAATTCATCTCTAGACTTTTCTCTATACCTAGCCACCACCCTCACAATCAATCACAATAACTCCAAAGCACCCCTAATCCTCGAAACCCAATCATCATGCACCAAACACCCCTCCCCACGCACAAGCAACGCCTGCAACTTCCCCTTCAGCTCCTCAACCCGTTCCTGACCCAACAGCGTAGCAGCAGCAGAATCCCTCGAAACCAACACCCCCGCCATCGCGAACAGCCGCACACCCAGAGTAAACGTCTCCGGCTTGGAAGTCCAACCCAGGAGGCCATCCTTCTCGGACTCGGTCGCGAAGATCTCCCCGAAGGAGGAGAGGCCAGTGGACACCCAGTTGAAGAGGGCGTCGAGGGAGACTTCATCGAAGGCGGATTCGCCGAGTTGACGGAGTCGGGCAGCCCAGACGTCTACTTCGCGGACTTCGTCGATGAAGAGGTTTTGTTTCTCTTCTTCGAAGAGGATGGTGCTTTCTTTGCGGAGGGAGGAGAGACGGGTGGAGATGGGGATGTATCTCGGGATGGAGGTGCTGAGACGGGGTTCTTGGTCGGCAATGTAGGCTGTCATTCTTTGGTAGAGGAGGCGGGAGGTGGTGTAGTTCGTGGTGATGAACTTGGAGAGGAGGTCGCTGGCGTTCAACGGGGATAGGGCGACGGCCTTGGAGGGAGAGACGGAGGAGTAGGAGAGAACCCAGCTGGCGGTGGAGGCGGCGAGGTCACGCAGCTCTTCGTCGTCGTCGTTGAGCATGTCGTAGAGGACTAGGTAGATCTCGAGTAGGGCGCTGTCGGTGCGAGGAGGGTTGCCAGCGGAGCGGAGGGCGCGTGCAAATGCCGCCACGGAGGATACGGCAGCAAGACGTGTGGTGAATTCCTGGTGGGTTAGCAGTGGTTTGAGATAGGGGGTGGGCTGAACGTACTGTCTCCTCTTGCATGGCGGACTGGAGCCGTGTTGCCCATTCGAGTATGTCCAGGTCTGAGCTCTGGCGGCCTGCGATTGTCTTCAGGGCAAGAAGGCAGCCTTCGAGGGTGAGTTCGGCGTCCGAACGATCTCTGTTCCAGATGTTCTCGCTTGAAGCAAGCTTGAGGTGCTTCTCGAGGGTCTCCCATGGGAGGTCCATCTGAGTGACGATTTCATTGTGAAAGTCTAGCACAATCGACAGAGCAGAGGCCAAGCAGGAGATTGCTGAGGCCTTGACTTCCTCAGGATAGGCACCGAGGATCACGGCGTAATAGAGTTTGATCAACGCTGGTCTGTACTGATCCTTCTCGCCGAAGATCTCCTGGATGCGCTCCAACAACCACTGACCAGCATTGGGGTCGAAGCGCGAGACAACACCGAGCAGCGGCTCTACCTCGCCCAACTTATCTGTCACAAACATCTGCAGAACAGTGACCCACGAGATAGCGCGGCGGAGGAGAGAAGGAGCGCGGGTAGTGCTCAGAGTCTTCCAGGATGGGTGCGACGAATCGAATACGAACTGCCGAATGTCGGCAAACGAGTAGAATTCGGCCAGGTAGTTAAGCGTAGAGATCATTTGTCCTGCAACAGGTTAACCAGGCATCTACAGAGGCGATTCGGCTTACCCTCTGCTCCGGATTCTATGCTCTTCTCGACGACATCGCTCAGGATTTCCAGTAGAATACTGGCAACGAACGGGGACTCCGCAAATGGGAAGGATGAAGCGAAGATGAGTTTCAGGGTAGAAGACACCTCATCAATGTGCTCTGCAACTAGTTAGTAAGAAAATGCGGATCCTCGGCACGACATACCGGTCCAGAAAGAAAACGAGCTCGACGCAAATCTCCGAAGAGAATACTTGATACAAAGCGCTTCTCCGTGGAGATAATCCTGCGTCATAGTGTCCCTCTGTACATCCAGCAACGCCTTGATGCTGGCCAAGACATCTGAACGGCTCAACAGCGAAGCATACACTCGAGCTGCATGTTCTCTGATACCCCAAACCGGGCTCTTGAACTGTTCCCGGACGAGTCCCCGCAAGGCCTCGTCGTCGACGCCAGTGACATTCGGGACCTTTTCAGCAATCAGCTCCAAGGCTGGGAAAACACGCTCCGTAACCCTGGCGTTGTCGCTCTCGCTGGCGTTGTCGCTCTTTTCGGACGGACTGAGAAGGGTCGGCAGAAGTTCAAACAGGCCGGGATATTTCTGGAAGGAAACTCTGGCACCTGGCTCCGAGCCTGAGATGCCACCGAAGCCCAAGCCAGTGCCAGTGCGGCACATGCGCGTCAACAAGGCGCGGAACAGCATCAGCCCAGAGTTGCGAAGGGCCCATCTACAACGGTCAGAACGGATGACACAGAGCTTAAGCAGCACTTACATAGGCGATCCCAGGCGTTCAGCAGAAAGTCTCAACGCGGGCATGATAAAAGGCTCCGTATGGGGTCCCAACTTGGTGTTGGTAAAGATATCTTTCAGACAGTTCATCGCATGCACCTGCGGCAGGGGCACGTCCTGTCTCGACGGGTCATGCTCGGCGGGCAAGTGAGAAATCTCGTGAAGGTCCTTGATGACGCTTTGGAACAGCGGTCCGCCGGGCTTGGAGGAGAGAATGCCGACAACCAGGGCAGGCAGACCAGCCGAGCGGCGGGTGAGTTTGGACGCGGACTCGAAAATGATCTTCTTCGCCTCCTGGTACCACCGAGTCGGCAGGGCAGTGATTTCCTCGCTCTTTGACTGGCCGCACCGTTGGCAGCAAGTAGCGAATGTTTGGGACACGGTTGAGAAGGCTCCGCGGTGCCGGAGTTCAGCGAGCTGGATGAAGCTGAGCGTTCCGATCTTTTCGAAATGATCAACGGATAGTCCAGACTCGCCTTCTGGACCATATGCCTTGTTGGCAAGCGTGGCATGCAGGAGAAGGCTAGCAAGTCAGTATAAGTAGCCAATTCGAGGATGGAACGCACCTGGATTCGCGAAGAGCACGCCAGGAGTAAGACAGGATATCTTTAGGGCCGACACCAAGTTCCTCGATGGGGTCATCTGTATGGCCTTCCGGCGAGTCGATGCAGAGCACAGGCTTGACTTCATTCCAGATCTGGTCGCAGACTTGCACGATCCGTGCATGGACAGATTTCCAGTTGTCGTACGAAGGTTGCCCGCTCGATACCAACGAGTAGAAGTTGGGAGTCGCAATGATGTACCTGTTCCGTTAGTCTACACTCCGCAAAGCTGTGAAGATCACATACCTTAACGCAGATACATATCCATGCAAAGGTGCGTCACGCATAGAATAATTGAACAGGCCCCCAGCCAGGGAGAGCTTCTGTTCTAGCTTCTTGAGGAGAGTGTCAACCACTGCGGACTTGGTCTCCCACCAGCGCGCATGTTCTCCCTCCACGGCGGCTGCGCGGAAGAGGATATGGTACAAACGAGCCACGGTATCTGCATAGTCGGCTCTGCTGGTGTTGCTGGCCAGTTGTTCTGCCTTGGCAAGGCCTTCAATGATCTGCGGGATCTCTCCAGCGTGTTTGGCGCTATCGAACAGGACCTCCTGTGGGAACAGATTCAGAAGGTAAAGCGACGTGGCTCGCACTTCCTCGAAAGGATCAAGCAAAAGATCCACCAATAACCTGAGAAGGGTAGGCTCAAATACGTCCAAGCTGCAGAGCCATTTCGTCTTGATGCCATCTGTTGCGTCGTATCTACTATCCAGACCAGACTCCAGGAACAGTATCAGCGTCTTCAACGCAGACACATGGCGAGGGTAAGAAGCCGTGGGCCGCAGGTCCGCCTTGAGGAAATCCAGATACTCTTGCATGCATGCCCGAGTGGTCGTGTCATTCCGGGCAAGTTTCGGTTGTTGCTTCTTGTTCGCCGGGGCTTTCTGGTCGATGGGGCCGTCCTGGTCTTCCAAAAGGCCACCCTTCAGGCGGATAATCAACTTGCGAATCATACCCAGGATTTCGCCTCTCGAATAGGAGTCCGACTCGGTATGCATAGACGGCAGTCCACTCAAGACCGCTTTCATCGTTGCCGAGGAGACGGGTCTTGTCGTCGATGGCGCAGTAATGAGCAGAGAAAGGGCAGCAATTCTAATGCTAATGTCTTTATGGAAGAGGAACTGGCCAATAACTTCGCTCTTCAAAACAAGCACATTGTCGGTATTAGTATTGGAGCCTGCTTTGGCGATGTATTCTACTCCTGTCAGCATGTCCATAACCAGACCCAGGCAGTCACTTACGATCCTCATGAATGAGGCCAGCCTTCTTCGCAATCTGCAGGGACGCGAACAAAAGCATAAACTCCGCCCGCGGGGCATCGCTCATATCACCAACGAGAAGGCTATTGAGTGGCAGCCGTTCAATAAACGATTTGAATCCGGCCGGGTCATTGGAGAAGGATGGCTGGAGAACATAGGTGCACATATACTCCAAGTTATCCAAGTTCCTCAGCAAGATGTGGCGAACAGGTGCTACCCAAACGGACACCAAGTACTGCGCATCAGGTGCAGCCTTGACCTTCTGGAAGAAGGCTCCCATGGTATCACCCGAGGCGGCGGCAAGCTCGGCCTTGGTAGCCCGAGCCAGCATACCCAGGACCAGAACCTCGGTGGCTGTCTGGTACCGATCCTTCGAGACATCCTTCTGAAGATACTGCGAGATGTTAATAGACAGAGCCTTGCAGTCCTCCTTGAAAAGCGCCGACCAGCTCTCATAGTGATCTAGAAGCCACTGGTCAGTCAGCGCGATCAGCTCCAATGGCGTGACCGCACTCTTGCGAAGCAGCATCTCCAACGAGGCGAACGAGGCCTTGAGCCGCGCGCGGGGCTCGCCGAGAATGATGCTGGGAATCGTAGCTTCAACAATCTTCTTGCGGAGTGCTGACCGATCAAACTCCTGGCGAGTCTTCACCAGCAAAGCGACCAGCGACTCCAGCACCTGCTTCATCGGCTTAGGCTTCACATCCTTGTATCGGGCCATAAAGACCTCGAATACTGACAGCCAAGTCTCATCGGAGCGGGCGAGCTGTCTCGTGCCCTCACAAGTGGAGGTCCGCGCCGCATCCAGAAAAGCACTGAGCGCATTACAAGCGGCGGTAGTATGTGAGTGCGCGAGTGAAGCGGTAGAGTATGTCTCCAGGAGTGACTTGAACACCCGATTCACTTTCCTTGGAGATGTCAACTCCCAATGAATTAAAATGGCAGTCGGAAGCACTCTTACTCAATATCATCACATGCGTTGGTAAACTTGACCAGCGGTCCCTTGCCAATGCGCACGAGGGTGTCTTCCGGCAAGATTTGTATAGTCTGCGACAGTTGCTCCATTTCTAAGGCGAGCCCGGCACCCCCAGGGGCACCGGATGCTGGATTTCCGGACATACTTTTTTTACAGAAACGGCATGGCAACCTCCAGGGAGGGGGTTCAATTAACAAACCAACGCAGATAAAAAATCCCAAGCTCCAGCCCGCCCCCGCGTTTCTGATCGTGACTTTTGCCTCTTGGTGGATTTTCGAGAGCGGGTCCCCGAATCGGGTTAGCCTCGGCACTACCATAATCCGACGCCAGAGTCCGCCGAGCGACCGACCGCCGCAGTCCGCCGTCAGGAAAGTCACGGGGCTGAAGTTTTTGTTTCTCGGACCTTGAATTACCTGCTCCGACCTCGCGACCATCTCAGCTATCCGGGTTCGCGACTCATCCTCTTCTCCTCCTCTCCCCCTCTCCTTTCTCCTTTTGTATTCGTATATACACCTTTAATTTTTCACAATGTCGAACATTTGGGACTCCCTCAGTGGCCGCAAACAATCCAAGGGCTCCGAAGCCACGGCCCCCGATGCATCCAGCTTCCTTTCCGACCTCCCCGACCCTACTCAACTGCACCCTCTCGCCGGCCTGAACCAAGATACCCTCGACTACATCACTCTGGAAGATTCCGCGCTGGACCAAACGCCCGGCTCGCGCTCCGTGCTGCCGTCCCGCGGCTGGACCGATGACCTGTGCTATGGAACCGGAACGACTTATCTGGCCGCGTTGACTCTGGGTGGTGTGTGGGGTTTGGCTGAGGGATTGCAGAAGACGCCTGCGTCAGCTCCGCCCAAGATTCGTCTCAACAGTGCGTTGAACTCCATCACGAGACGAGGCCCGTTCCTGGGCAACTCGGCCGGTGTGGTTGCGATGGTGTACAATGGGTTGAACTCGGGTATTGGCTATGCGAGGGGCAAGCATGATGCCGCGAACAGCATTGTGGCGGGTGCTTTGAGTGGAATGGTGTTCAAGAGTACGAGGGGTGTGAAGCCCATGGTGATTTCGGGTGGTATTGTGGCTACTATTGCTGGTGGCTGGACTGTAAGTGATTGATTCCCGCGGCTATATGGGATTTAGCTAACAAGAATTAGGTCCTGAGCAAGGCATTCCTGTAATTCAGCTAGCAACATCACAGCCCCATCTACTGTATTTTAGCAACAAGCGAACCGAATCGAATCGAACCGAACAAGTCGAGTCGACTGTCCGTCCACCGCGTCCGGAATCCATATGACATGATTGTATGGCCTAGCAAAAGTGGAGGTACATTTGGGTTGGTTTCCGCTGTATTAGAACGGTTTCTTTTTGTCGTCTGTCGTCCTTTTCGTCTCACATCTTCCCTCCGGCGTATGAAGCATTCTATGTGGCATTATCCATGGATCGGACCGGCATGGTAATGGGTTTATTTTATTTTTCACTTTTCTGTACATATAATGGTACTTGTTTGGCCGATGAAGAGACTGGATGAGTCTTGGTCTGCGCTTGATGTCATAGTGCCAATGAAGATTCATGCTATATTCCATTAATTCAAACAAACCCCTACAGCTTATGCTCAGATACTCATCAACACCCAGCTTTCTGTCTGCGGCAAACACGGCCCATGCTAACAGCTCGACCATACCCTCGTGACCGTTTACCGCCGCTGCAAGCAGAAGCAGATTGCCAAGATCTGGCCCGATCACACGCATAGTGGCAGTTACAAAACAGTGCATAGGTCTTGTATTTTGAGGTTTATGAACCTTTCTGACCCAGGCGCTATTTCTGGATAACCAGGCATAATGTGTCCCATTGCTGAGTTATTCTTATAATTGTAGAAAGTGAGCAACTCCACTATATATCAGAGTACCAAGGTGAGAAACTCAAGCGGTACCTATCCACACACGAAGGGTATCCAACAGAAACACCTTTCCTAAAGGTGTTGGTTTACCAGATAAATACAGGGGGACCGTTCCTTGTATGTACATAGAGCTATCACAACTACCATAAAATTATGTGGGTGGGGAACCTTATTCCAGAGCGCTTCTTGAATAAACTTAATATATTAGCGTGACCCATACCGTCGTTAGATGTTATCCAAGACACGTTATGAGGTGATGTGAATGCTATATATACCTTTTACTATAATGCGGGTACCGCTGATTGTAAGCCTAGAAATTAGAAGATTTAAATTTGACCAGTTAATGTAGGTAATAAATGTGGCAGGTGTCATTGAAGCAAATTGGGCAAGGTCATACACTCGGTACAGTATCTTGCACAAATACCATGCTTACCCTAGAGTCTGTCTGCATGCTTCATAATTTTCTTCTGCTGTGCATCGCTGACCAGCCATAAATATGCCAGATACATGGCGTACGGCTTCCGGAATTCACGGAAAACCAAGTAGGATGTCAGAATTTACCATCGACTGAGGCAATATATATATATATATATACATATATATTCGCGTTTAGCCTGAAGGATGGAATATCCCAACATCAAGTATCATTATCTTATACGGGAGAGATAATTCTGCGTCTTCCCGTCTACTCAGCCGCACGTAGCAACAATTCCAATCACTCACCAGTCAAACCGGCACGAACGCCTTCCGTCTTTCCACTAACGAACTGAATATTATTCGTATGAACGATATACAGCATTCAGTTGTCGACATATAGGCATATCTGGAAATGACCTCAATGGTGTTTTCATTCTTTACCTAAATAAGATTAGCCGCTGATAATCTGCTCCACTCACGACGCGGCAGGAGCTTTGGTCTTCGCGTTTATGCCAATCTTCACCAAGACCAGATATATTCCTGTGGAGCAATGCATGCACCAAGGAACCCACATGATCCTGAGTCCGTACTCTACAACTCCGACACAGCCACCATGCACGCATCCATGGAAACAGTCACTGCCCTTTCCTCGCCGCTGTTGTTTTCGTCCGCTTCACCGAGCAAGACATTGATATGCAGCTCCCTTTCCATGTTTTCGCCGGGCTTTATTCGGCTTCTCTATGGTGCACAAAGCTTGAGTAGCATCCTGCGACCTTCGTTGAGAAAACCCGCGTTGAAGAGGGGCTGGTAGCCGAAACGGGACACTATTGGCGGCAGACAGTTGCATTCAATCGGGGTTAAGAAGAAGTAATCCCGTACGGGAAAGATCTGTGGTGCCGACGGGATACACCACGTTTGCGATATTCAAGCTGCACTGAAACGGTATGATCTGCATGTACAGGATGTGGAGCTATACCAATCACAACAATTGCATGATGGAGGGTTCCAATCCATCAATAGTGAATGGTATACTTCTTATTGGCCGTCTTCGCTTACGGGGCCGATGAATCAACGGAACGAAGGGTCGCCAATAGATTGAGGAGGTCGGTTATTTTGATAGATCAGTTGATGAGTTGTGAATTAACCGAAATCGACTCTATATAAATTCTTGGACAAACTTGGTTGAATTCTCAGTATATTGCCTCCTAAGCTGGCAAACTTCTGATTCTCTACGGTCTTCTTTTTGGCAAACATCCTGTCACCATGCATTTTTCCTTCCCAACCTTAGCCATCCTTGGGTCAATGCCCTTTATCGTTCAAGCCCAGCTCACCGGACATGTCGGACCTACAACTTCCGCTACAGATAAGGCTGCTGTGAAAACATGCAATGTCTTGGATTACGGAGCAGTGGCAGATAATACCACCGATGTTGGTCAGCCAATTATGGACGCTTTTACTGACTGTGCGTCCGGTGGGCTGGTATACGTGCCAGAAGGAGACTATCTTCTTATCAATTGGGTTGGCCTTGTGAACGGAACTGGGGTTGCAGTCCAGCTCGACGGCGTTCTATACCGTGGATCTGATCCAGGCTCTCAGGGGTATATGTTCTCGATCAGTGATAGCTCTGACATCGAATTTTTTAGCTCTACTGGTAAAGGCGCCATTCAAGCCAGCGGATACTTATACCATCTCCAGGGTACTCGCATTGGACCGCGAATTTTGTCAGTTGGTGGTGTTACAGACTGGTCAGTTCATGACCTTGCCTTGGTGGACGCGCCGATGTTCCACTTCGGTATTGGTGATGCTTATAATGGTGAGGTTTATAATATGGCAATCCGAGGTGGGGATTCCGGTGGCTTAGATGGAATCGATGTTGCTGGTAGCAATATCTGGGTTCATGATGTAGGGAATCCTGGCCCATAATATCAATGCTAGCTAACGATTATAGGTTATGGTCACCAACAAAGATGAATGCGTGACTATAAAGGTTCATATTCCACCCCTTCTCCTGTTAATTCTTATGCTAACACAGCCCCTATTAGACCGGTGCCGCTAATATTCTCGTTGAAAATATTTATTGCAATATCAGCGGTGGCTGCGGCATGGGGTCCCTGGGAGCCGGGGCTAATGTCACTGATATAACCTATCGCAATGTGTACACATGGTCTTCGAATAACATGTATTTGATCAAATCAAATGGAGGAAGTGGCACTGTCTCTAATGTTCTCTTGGAAAACTTTATTGGTACCCACTATCCATTGATCGATCACACTGGAAGAGGCTGGATACTGACTCTATGTCTACGATTTAGGTCACGGAAACGCCTACTCGCTGGACCTTAATGCGTACTGGTCGAGCATGTCAGCCGCCGAGGGAGATGGTGTATATTATACCAATATCACTTTCTCTAACTGGACTGGTACCGAATACGACGGCGCTAGAAGGGCACCTATATTTCTTTCATGCCCTGCTGAGGTTCCCTGCACAGATATCACCGTCGAAGAGGTGAATATATGGACAGAGGTTGGAGACGAACAAACCTACTTTTGCGGAAACGCTTATGGCACCGGTGTATGTCTTAATGAGGCTGCGACACCAACATCCTATGCAAGCACTATCACCGTAACATCAGCACCATCCGGATACTCAGCAACCAAAATGGCCGAGGATCTTTCTTCAGGTTTCGGCTACACGTTGTCCATTCCAATTCCAACACTACCAGCATCCTTCTACCCTGGAGTGACACCGTACAGCGCGATTGCAGGTAGTAGCTGAGCGGGGTTTCAGCTGCACACGCAGATCTTACTATCGATATTGATGAAAGCGCTGGGACTGAGGTTGTCAGCATTTAGTTGCTGTCCCACAGAATCTGTAGAAAACTTCGTACTCTTACACAATTCTTTTCCTTCTTCTCCCAAGTCTCCACTGTGAAAAAAACATACTGATACTTCTCTTCTTCCTTGTGCTTTTCCGTTGTCGCTGCAGAATGTTCTCAAATTCTTCAGAATTTATGCTTCGACGCTTTCTAAAAATCGAGCATTTCTGCTGTCGTCATATGTGATCAAGTGTCTCCTTTAAAATTTTTTTTTCTCAAGCATTCCAATTATCCATAATAGTTCTACTTGGGAATGAGTAACGCCCAGCTGGTTTCTCAATTACTATGCTCAAATAAGCCGCGAAGCTTTTGAACCCACTGAGGACCTTCGGCAGATTGTCCAGTTGTGTTCAGTGATGAAGGAGAGGTTGCCATGGCAGAATCACAATGAATGGAACGACTCTGTACAGCTTCTATCCCAGGTTAGAGAATACTTTGCTATTTGCTGTTTCAACTGTCACATATAACCATAGGGTGTAGAGAATAGGGCTTCCCGTCCGCTCAGCCGTACTTAAACTATATTAATTAAACATGGCAGACTGGCAGGTGAGTCTTTGCATTTCACATTCGTCCCTTGACGCTCGGCGCACTGGACGAACTCCATCTCTTTTCTGCACCCACAGGTATACTGTATGTAAAACGAAGTGCACATTGTGAAACCTGAGAGATGTTAGGCATAAGAGTTACATTAATCATAAAATACTGTTTACCGTGATTCGTAAGTTTCCAACGAAAGACGAATTAGAAAGTCCCTTAGCAGACGGTGGAGAGAAATCAGATGGGCTTGGTATATTTTGGGCGCTCTGGGGTGTACCGGAAGAAAAGGGTCAACTGGGAGGAAGCAATAGAGAATGAGCAGATTGAGCTTTACTACGTTCTATTTGTGAACCTGCAGGCGCCTATTTATATACATGAGCAGGGCTGCTGTCAGATTGCTGTTTTGCTGCTGACATGAGTTGCGCTTAGGCTGCCCACTAACTATCCAATAAAGACCAGTAATCTGTCAGTAGGATGCATCATGGTCACATCACATCACATGGATCACACTTCACTAGATTTAACCTATCATTGAGGCTAGAGGATGCACATGTACCTATCTTGGAAAAGATCATCGGCGCTGTTGCTTTCACCTATGTGACTCAAGAACTGTCTCGACCTCCGCGGTTAAGTCTTTGCATTTTCTTGCGTCTCTTGATTCCCTTAATGTCCTCCTGATCTTGCCACCTAATTAAAAAAAAGATCTTCTCCTTTGCCTTTGTCCAGATGAGTCAGATATCCTCACCTCCTCGCATACTTTCGATGGAGGTATCGAGCAGGGATGACAGCGAGTACAGAATATTAGTTCAAAATCGGGTCAGATATTTGATCATCAGCGCTGGTACATTCGAACGGTCAACACTTTCCATGCCCCTCAGCTCATTGCCTGAATTTCCTAAAGATTATACCTGGAATGTTGCATACGTCAGTCGAGATACATCGAGCGGTGAGGTCGCAATGAACCTACAGCACAGAAACTTCATTGGCATAACAGACCTTTGGCATCCTGTGCTGGTTGACTGTCTCGATTTAAAAAGGATCAAACAGCTCACCGCTACCACTTACGAAGCAACTTACACCTGTAACGGGTCGTTGGCTACTACGAGATCGCCAGTTGTCATTGCGAAGGTTGCCCGATTTGAGTGGGAAATACCTCGTTTATTGCTGGAGACTCTCATGTATAGGAAATTGGAAAACACAGGTCTTGCCCCAAGATTCATTGGCCATGTCCACGAGCATGGCCGTGTAATCGGCTTTATGCTAGAAAAGCTCCAAGGGCGTGAAGCAAAAATCCAGGATCTTTCGTCTTGTCAAGCTGCCCTCCAGCGCCTACATGACATTGGCATCCTCCATGGGGATGTCAACAGATACAACTTCATTGTTCAAGATGGGACGGTGCGACTGATTGATTTTGAGAAAAGCCAATTTTGTAATGGCTCTACTGCAGCTATGCAAGCCGAGATGGATAGTCTATGTGATCAGTTAGTGGAGGACACCGGACGCGGTGCAGGTTTCGCTCGGTGAAATTGGCCTGACTGGGAAAGCCGTCAGTTCCTCTCGGGCTGCTTCCAGGACCATGTTAACCAACTAGTTAGGCAATCCTCTGTTACGCCGATCGCCCTTGCTTATAGGTCAGAGAATGATCGCGATTATGCTAATTGATTTGTATTCGCCGTGTAGTATAATAGTTATTGCAATAAAGAATCCCCACCTTTCCCCAATTTATAAGGAGTCAGCACTATTCGAGTGCTAGTAGGCAATATACCAGTCCGTTGGAAGGAGCGTGTATGTTGATTCCGCGTGCTATTTGCTGTCAAAAGACATAATAACATCCCGTTTTTTGAACCAACCTCCACGCCTGACGAATTCCGAGACGTTAGCGACATCGACCCCTTGATTACTCAACATCCATAGGTTCTGGGCTTCTCGACATTCCCAGAAGTGTTCCATGAATTCTTCATAAGAGTACACTTTGTCTCGTAGAGCACAAGCATTGGACTGAACCCTTGATGACCTCAGAGCCCTTTCCAAAGCAATTTGGCAACCACTACAGCATATCCCATTCTGTACATCACCGCTTTTAATATCGAGATACGGTAGGGCGGTAGTCACCATATAACGTAGTAACGCCTTTTCCTTTGATTGTGCCACTCGCGCCCTCTCATTTGCTTCACGTAAGGACAATCTGCTAATAAATTCTGCCGGCATGATTTGGGTTCTTTTCTTTCGCACAATCTCGTCCATTGAATATATGCCAGGCAATGATCTTATCGTAGGCACCAAGCTGTATAGGCCACGCGGGCTCGAGTTGAAGCGGTTTTTCACGACAGATGATGGTAAGAGGGAGGGAAGAGAATCTTCCCGAATGCAAGAGAAACAACATCTCGTGAACGACAGAAGAAATATGAAGCCACCAAAGGAGCCGCAGAAATGGCAGTCCCTCGTACAGAGTACTTTGAACAGGTCAGAAAGTGTGAACCAAGACGCAATTTTGGTTTTTAGTATAACACACAGAGCCTCAAAGGCATGGGTAATTGTCGCTTCGTAGCCACGGGTCGTTCTAACGATTTGGTGCGCACGGCGATTGACATGACGCAAGTTGAGCAAAGATTGAATATCAAGGAGGAAGCATATCTCATAGACAATTTCAAGGGGCAGAATCTGAAGATGTCCAAGTCCTGAGGACGTAGCATTGATAGATCGAAGCAGCGAGCTGCGTACTTGGTCGTGGTCACGGGAATTTGTTCTGGCAACCGCTAGATCGAAGTCATGCCGATGATATGAACAGACGCGGAGGATCTCCATTCCAGGTGCTCTTTCGAACTCGCAAGGTGATGCGGCTACTTTTCCTGATTCCATAGCTAGACATAAGTCACCGTTTGATATCTGACGCTGCTGAACTTCTAGACACGGTCGGTATTCCGTTTATTCCGTCGCTTTTTTAGGAAGAGAGCTTTAAATTGCGGTGAAATAGTACCGGGATGCGTTCGTTTTGTTTCCAAAGAGTGGGATAATATTTAAATTCCGTCGAGTAGGAGATAGGGCAGAAGGGAGATGATGATTTGACTCTGTAATACACAAGGAAGGGGCGCACTGGTCAAGAAATCCCGTGATCCTTACTGCCTGGGGCATCAAAGGGCCTGGACAAATGCCTAACTGGAGCCAAGCCTTCGATTTATGCAAACATCAGAGATGTAAATAGGTATTATTGACCACCCCTACTGCTCACAAACGGTGGGGCAGTTCCCGCATAGTCATCGCCTATGATAGGCTGGGACGGCAAATGAATAATACCGATACCGACCCCGCTTTTGGAAAACGCCCACACCGCTTAGTGGAGCAATTGGGCACGTTGTTTAACTCTCAACAAGTGTCAATCTCAATATTGGATAACTTGTGCTGTCGAGTTACCCATGTTTGGCATAAGATATTTTCAGAGCATTGTATTCCATAGGCGAAGGGTTTTTATCGGCAAAGGTCAGCCCCTCGTGCAAACAATGACACCGCTATTTCACCATCAAGCAAACATTGTTACCATGTCAGCGATATCTCATGGCAGATCAAATTACGCCCCCCTGGGAGTTTTGCTAGCTCTCCCCTAAAACCGCCGACTGACGGGAAAACCGCGTCTAATATACGCTCAATCCTTGACTGATTTGAAAGCCATTACTGAGGATCCCCCCGACTCCTTGGCTAGTTTACCCTCTTAGACAGGAGAAGTACGAGAACGTACTGCAGGTCTTAAGGTCTGATCCGGGCCTATTAAATAAATTCACCTCGTATCCCACGGCCATAACTTATCCGCCTTCTCAACCGTCATATTCTCATCCCCCCTCTCCTCCGCCTCTCTAGCCGTCTCCATCCACTGCTCATACGCAGCCCGATGGGCCTCCCGCGCAGCCTCCCATGCCTCATTCGGAACCCACCTATTAGAATTCGTATCCAAGGACTTCATAAGCCAGACTTTTAACTTCTGCACCGTCTCGAAGTCCTCATAGTCCCTGGAATGCCGAGCCAGCTTTTCCTCTGTCGGTATATACGGACACGAGCCCTGTAATCCGAGCTCTTACTAACTAACTAGTTAGCTAGTTAGTTAGTTAAATTGAGTCAGCGAGCCAAGAGATGTGAGATCTGGAACTACTACTAGGTATACATATACTCAACACATCCTACTAACATGCATATGATAGTACAGTAGTATATCAATTGTCGATGTACAGTAACCAGCCATACATCTCATACCTAGCATATCATACCTTACCATTGGCTAGATATCTTTAGACTGGAAGAATGATAGCCCAGTATTTAGATAAATGGCTGAATCTCACGCGCGATCTATTCTTCATAACCCTCAAGATTCCCAAATGAGCGCGTAGATGATATAGACTATATCTCTTCTTCCTGAATATAAGTAACTAACTTGTCAAGACAGTTATACACTTCCAACGAGATCCGTGAGAAGATCTTAATAAAAGCCATGTATCTATTATCTCTTAAAGGCCTCTCCCTGCTGACGTCTTATACGCCCATCCAGAAAGTGGGAGAAACCGATGAACCAGAACCCTTGTATGGCTGACGAAGGAAAGACAAATAGCCAAGTTATCCTTCCTATATGATCCAGTGAAGAGAAGAGGCTGTAGGCAAATGGTATAGACAAGTGATTGTCATCTGCTTAGCCCTTTTTACTTGGTCGAAAAGTCCAGGGGTTGTTGTTGAACTGTGTTATATAGTTATCAGAGGTCATAGTATTGCTACCCGTTGGTGCATTCTCTTTATATTATAGTAAGATGAAGCTAGTAATGCTAGTTTTCAGGATAATGGTAAGGTACCGTGTGTTTGGTATAAAATAATCTCCATCAGTTCCTAAAAGCATATTCAGCTATGAGTCCTTTGGCCGGCGTCATCCCATACTATCTAGGTGAATCACAAAGAAACCTTGTATCTCGAACTGTACTCAAAATCCAATCTATCCAATAGCATCTCTCCAATGGATCTATCACTGTCGACTCAGCATCTGCCATCTAGGTCACGATACCTTTGAGGCCCCGCTCGTCCCCACTCGGACCATAATAGTAGTCTTATGGTGTATTGAAACTAGACTTGGTAATTGAATCAACTCTATATTCTGCCGTCGTGTACAAGAAAAGAAACAGATGTTTCACCATGTTCTGATTAGAGATATTATTTCAAAGTCATCCATACAATCCATCTGAATGCAATGTTGGCATTGGATCAGATGGTCTCTTTCCGATCTATCCCATCCATCCACTGTATCAGGTTCGGCCTAACAACTATCCATATCATCCTCGACCCGATTCTCCCGATAGGTCGTCAAGCTCAACTTGGCAAACACGCTCGCTTCCCGGATCCGCTTTCCATAGCGTAGGAACACCACCGGGGCCACACAGAAGAGCGTGGCGATGGCCGCTAGGATCGAGGTCGCTACGTTGTAGCCCAGATTGACGTACATGGCGCGCGTGAAGGGGACGATGATGGCACACGTCGAGGCGCGCGCTAGGATCAGACCGGCAAAGCCCGAGGCCGCGTAGATGGTGTAGCTGTCGGCGAGGTACCCGGTCAGGGTGTAGACGTTTTCATTCAGCGCGAAGCCGACGAAGAATTGGGCGATCATTGGCACCATCCAGTGGACGCTGGTGAGGGGGGGGATCGTCCAGGCGAAGAGCCAGAGTCCTGTTCATAGTCAGTCTGGATGATTCAGGTTACCAGTACGGGTGGGAGGGATATGACTTACCACCGGCCAGGCAGGGTGCGGCCAGCGCGAACCCTCTCAGTTTGTCTTCGGGCTCCACGGCCCGTCCGCCTTTGATGATCGTCGCCAGGTGATGGTGGTCATAGAATCGGGTGAGAGAGCTAAAGAGACAACCGAGCAACACCGGCACGAAGCCCAGGGAGGCCGTGGCGGTGGACCAGCCGTAGGCTTCGAACACGAGAGGAATGGACTCGGCCTGCAGGTAGAAGAGGGCGCAGGTGATCGACCCCATGAAGGCCACGGCCATGATGATCGGCTCGGTGAAGAGGAGTCGCAGGGGTCGGAGCAGCGTCACGACGATCAGGGTGTGGAAGTCCGGCGCCACGTCCGGGTTGAGGGTCTTGATGTCCCGGGAGGGCTGGTGCTTGCGCAACACACTGACCTCTCGCTCCAGCAGCAAGCTGGGACGAGTCTCCCGGAGCGAGAAGCAGAATCCCAACAGGACGCCCAGACCGATAGCGGCCATGTAGAACACCCACCGCCTGAGCCAAGATTAGAACGTATACATCGCTAGAGGGGGATTGGACTGACCATCCCACCGACTGGGTGACATAGGCGCTGTAGATGGGTCCAACACAGACGGCAGCATTGCCAATGACCGCCCAGATGAAGATCATCCACACCCGGGCTCGCGTGTTGAACAGATCTTCCATGCTGCCGGCCACGACAATCGTGGGCACGGCGGACGCCAATCCCGACAGAAAGCGCGCGATGATGATGGCGGGGAGGGCATGGACGCTCGCGGTGATGATCGAGAAGATACAGTAGATGAAGGTCGAGACAATATACAGGGTCTTGCGGCCAAAGATCTCGGAATACGGAGGGAAAAAGACACCCCCGATGCCTTGACCGATGAGATAGGTGGAGGTCAGACAAAAGATGGAGAGGGCCAAGTCCACATCAAAGTCATCCTGCATGGACTGGGCAGCGGCGGTGCCAGCCGTACCAACAGCACTGGTGATAAACTCCAGCAGGAGGATAATGACGGCGTTGTATGCCTTGGCTTTGCCGGACCAGTTCCGGGGATGTTTCGGATTGTCGTTTCCCCATCGAATGAATCCATTCTCGTTTAAGCGCAGGCCAAACTCGGCCAGGGAGGTCTGAAACTCATGATCGGACCGGTTGGCCCCAATGATGTCCGCCGTCTTCTCTTCGGTGGAAGAGACTGCGGCCGCCATATCCGTACCTTAGGGAAATGAAATGGTGACTGGAATACTGGCGGGCCTCCGAGGGAGGGCTTTTAGAAGTAGCCAGACACCGGAGCACTACCGGGGGGGCAATCGGGGGAGAATTGAGATTTCGTAACAAAAATGACCAAGGGAGTCACGACTCGCTACTCGCTACTCGCTTAATTCACTATCGGGCCCGGCCCACTCTATAGGAAATCTCCCCGAGTCCCCAGCCGGCCCGGGGAAAGGCTCAAGCCTACTCCAAGATTAAGTAGTCCCACCGTGCTAACTAGTTCGGTCCGTCTTCCTCCCGCCGAATTGACCCAGTGGCTGGCAGCCTGTCACAGCCCGTTATCTTTTGACTCATCGTCAGTTTCGTCTTCGATATCTAGGTAGGATGGGAACCACGTCCTCCGCACTCCCGAACCCGAACGACAAGCTCAAAAGTGAGTCACGGTGCAATGGCAGCCGATGAGAAAACCCCAGGTGTTCATTCAGTGTTCACGGCAAAAGCAGAGCTGCCAGCTGCCCAAGTCGGGATGCAGTGCGGCTCCGGGCGTTAATTTCCGACTGTCGAATGATACCGTCAAAGAGTGCCTATCATAGTCTGCCAAGCATCACGTTTAGGGGCCAAAACCGTACTCGAAAGTACTGCAGAAGACTGTAGACGAATCGGAAGACGTTCGCAAGCCCCTCGCTTAGTCCTCATACGAGAAGACACCGCCGAGGTCGGGTCGCTCACAGACGATCTCACTGTCGCGATGCATATTCGCCCCCTCGCAAGACACCAGGAAGCGTCTGGAGGCAATTCTCGACATGCTATTACGAGATATCCTCATTAATCGACGGAGAGCACTTGGCCGCGATGGAGGACCGTAAGGTATAAAGGTCGACAACTTCGACGGCTGAGTCGGGAGGTTCAACAGCAATTCCGCAGCTCTCTTGGTCCTGGATTCGCGCTTTTGTATCTTCAAGATGGAGTCCTTCGGAGCCATGATGGTTACCCATTCCTTTACGTTCTTCCTCGGTCTGTCCATTTCCAAAGGCCAAAAGATTCCCGATTTGGTCACCTTCATCTTGAGCTGCCTGTCCCTGCTGTACTCGCACCTGGCCCGATATGTCTCCCCCGAGAGCCACCGTGCTGCCAAGGCAGCTCAGATCCTTGATCAGGTCACGGTGAAACTTCTGGACCGGTAAGATGACCCATCTACCGCTCGGTCACGCATCACTAACCCTCCGATCTAGGTACGAAGTGGAAGAAACCTATCCCGTGGGGACCTGGCAGCGCCAGGCCTACGACGACTTCACCGGCGCTCTGATCGCCAAGGACAAGATCTTCCCCTGCATCTACGGCACGAAAGGCTACAAAGCCAACGAGCTGGACTTTCTCTTTCTCGACTCCGAAAACCTGGACGATCTGGACATTGCCAAAGTCGCAGCCAAGTCCATCGTGGAGTATCACAAGGTGCTGCAGAGCCGGGGACGCAACATCTCGCTGGTCCTGATGTGCCCTCCGCCGTCGCCCACCGCCACACGCACGGTCGAGGAATACCATCAGCTATTCTGGTCGTTCCTGAAGCGACTCCGCCAGCTCGATCCCAAGCCATGGCCGACGAAAGTCCCCCACGACACGTCCGACCGCCAGTGGTGCATGAACTTCGACGGCCTGGAGGCCTTCTTTGCGGTGTTGACGCCCGCCCACAAGCAGCGTCGGTCCCGCAGCGCCCCGAATTTCGCCATGGTGTACCAGCCCCGGCTGGTGTTTGATGTCATTTTCAAAGATGCGCGCTATCGCGAATCGGCCACCAAGACGGTTCGCGGTCTGGTGGATAAATATGACCAGATCCCGCACAGTCCGGATATTAGCGACTATGCGGTGGAGGGCACCACGGAGAGTCGACAGTATTTCCTGCTCGACCGGAATGAGCCGGCGGTTTGCCCTTACGAGAGCCTAGATGCGGCTGCTAAGAAGGAGCCAGTGATTTAGAGGGGATCTTTGCCAGGGTTGCCGGGTTGCCATGGTGGGTTGCAGCGGGTAGGGTGCGGACAAAAGTTTTGTTTCTGTTATGAGCAAGTCACGAATTCAGTTACACAAATACCACTTCAGACTAAAGTCGTAGAATTCATCTCTCGCCCCTGGATTGTCCCCAGACAGGTGGCTATGATACCGATATCGGCCTGGTATCTTTCTACGATAGGAGAAGAGAAGACTGCAGAGATTTCATCTAGATACTCGTAGCCCGTAGATAATCCCTGTCTAGCGTGGTGCTAGCTACTTCGTATGCAGAGCGATCTTGGCATCTGTTTCGTCTCATAGCCTCATCGCCTATCAGCCGCCCTGACTGCTGAGAGGAATATCCTTCCTGTGACTAGACAGGATAGTGAGACAGGCCTTGGCATCTACCCCTCTCCCCCCAGGCCCCAACATCCCCAATTCCCCAGAATTATTCTGGTTCTAAGAACATACCCTACCCCCTCTGGAGAGCTTGTTATATGTCTCGGTTTACCTGTGTTATCGTATTCTATTGAAGAATAGATTCAAAACCTAACTCATCCTCATAAGATCAAATTATAGTGAAATATGGGTGAAGTTGGATCTATGACTTCCTGTATACAAAACCAAACAAAGTACTAAATAACTACTACTACTACTACTACTACTACTACTACTACTACTACTACTACTACACCCCATCTGAACCCCTCGGCAATCCACCAATAACCCTCAGACATTTATAAACAAAAGCGTGACCACTGGCCAAAAGGGTAAGTATACCCTTCCCTGCAGCGTGCAGCGGGTTAGAGATCCACTTAGCTGTAGGTAAGATTATAGTACGGAGTAACTTTCTTCTATACGCTATTTATCTATCTATTTTTTACGGTAGCGAACAGCACTAATGTAGTAGTATTTGTACTGCCAAGATCCGAACCAAACGAGCTAGAGCTATCAACGCTAGACTCCAACCTCTCTCACCTCAGGTGGAATGAAAAATCGGCTACTAGTACAAAGGCCCAGACCAGGATTCCCGGCCGATCTCGCACTTGGCACTGGCAGGAAGATAGGCTGATCTGCACGCCCTTGACTTGACGAGTTCACGTGATTCGATGTTGAAATCCAGACTTCAGTGATTATCTGCCAAGAGAGATAGGGAAATATGATATCTCACAGGTGTGATTGTCATTCCTCGCGAAATCCTAGTTCTCTGTCTGTCCATGCAAAACATGCCATTCCTTTCGATCTTCTTATACCGTATTCGCGAGAAAACTCAGTCAATGCAATGCTTCAATAGGATGGTATTTTCAACACCAGTGACTAAGCGCCGCTGTTTCGTCGCCTCATTTTGTCAAGCCGTTGAAGTGCCGCGAAATGCAACGCCCCAGCCGAGACGGGCGGGAGGGATTTCCACCGCGGCTCAGCGGGTGGAGTACTAGTAGGGTCCGTGCACGGTGCCGGTACTACATAGTACTGTGTACGTATCTACTGGACTGTGTACTGGTACGGAGTCTCCGTCCATGGTGAAAATTGTATTCTGTAGTGGGCGGCAACAAGATGGCCTAATTGCCTGTCTACTGTACTTCTTCATAGTAAGATAGGAAGCGATGAATCTGAACACTGCATCCGGAGTACTCTGTATTGTCGCAGTATCAGATAGCACTTTGCCGAATGTTGCCTATTGGCCTAATTGCCTGTCTATGTAGTGCTAGGATTACACTGGCATATATCTGCCGAGAGAAAGTCGGAAAGAATGTCATCAATCAATATCATAGAACAAAGTCACATCTACCTAAGAACCAGCCATAAAGAGTGCTATGCCCATGCATTCCTCATTCAGTCTAGATGCCTCGATTACGATCCAATTCTCAACCTCAGGCAGCACCAGGCAGAGAATCTACCGATCGATGATATCTCCGAGATCGTCCCAACTTCTCTCCAGCGATCTTCCCCGGTCCCCATTCCGATCACTTTCGGTGCTCTCCTCCTCCTCCTCTCCCTCCACTTCCACCTCCACCTCGGAGCTGCCATCCATACTTTCATCCCAATGAAAGACCGGACGATTCGTCCGCCGATTGATGAGTCCCCCGTCTCTCCAGACCCAGTCCCGTGGGGTGCGTGCCCTCCTTCTCATACCGCGCCGGAAAGAAGGCGATGGTTGGGCCCCCTGCTGTTCCCCATGTCCGCTTCTCTGTGTGTCGGCGATACGGCTTGCAGGAGTATCGGCACTTCCGGTCCTCTGCGTAGTGCCAGTCGTCTGCGCGGCCGTAGTGCCATCCACACGCGAGTTCGTAGGCGAATCTGCCGGATCTAAAATCCGGCTCAGATACATACCCGGAGGCGTCACTGCCGGGGACGGGAAATGGGTGGACGTGGGCGAGTTACGGTTCGACTCCGAGTCCGACTCGATGATGGGGCGTGGGGAGCGGTGTCGGTAGAGGAGGTCGTCGAGCTGGGGTTGCTGTGGCTGTCCTGGCTGACCGGGGGGAGAGGGGGAAGGGGAAGAAGGCGTGAGGTCAATGGTGAGGTCAGGGTTGGAGTCGGTGTCAGGGCCACTAGATGGCTGGGGCCGGATTCGCCGGCTCATGCTGGATTATGGAGTTGGGATGAAAGAGTGTAGAGGGATAAGTGATATAGCAAATAGATGTCTCTATAGAGACAGCGTATTGATAGAACGAGTGAATGGTAGACGGTCTGCACAAGTAAAAGGCGAAGCTACGGGGTAGAGAACCAAAGAAATAAAGGCGGCGGAAATGCAGAGAGAAAAGAGAGAGAAGGAACGACAAGTGACATATCGACACATGGATGAGGCAGGAGCAGGTGAGTAGTGGTAATATATGTCCCATAGACTGGACTGATTGCGACAATCTATACATGTGCCGGGCTGCCATCCATGACAGCTGCAGGATGGATGCCAGCTCCCTGTGCTGTGCCTACAGATAGATACACTTCGAAACACCCCCCGAACCCATTCATGCACATTCCCCAACATGCTTTTCCCTCAACATAATGCAGGCAGTAATGCAAGTCCCTCAATGTATGCAGCCCCGCCAATCCTGGCCAATCCCCCCCCCTCTATTCCGGGCTTCAAAACGAAAAACACCATAACTAGCAAGGGTCATCGACTTCATCCCGCGAAATCATCAACCACTCTGCGAAAGATCATTGTCGCCTCCCCGGCGATCTAAACACCTGTATCATTCGTTGCACATTTCCAAAAGTGATAATAAAAAAATGCCACACCTCGCTCGCCCTGAAGCCGAGCTGCAGGCTTATTCATCGTCATGCACTTGCAACTCCACCACCGGGAGGTCATCATCCTCGTCGTCATCCCCGGCCGCTCCAAAGGCTGAGATGTCTTGGAACGACTCCTCCTCCATCGGGGTTCCCGGGTAGGCCGCCCCCCGGGGACTGTCCATCAATGAGGCCATCCGAAGGTCCGGGTCGCTAACATCGCCGCCGCCAACCGCCTGGTTGCTGGCATCATCGTCAAGGTCCTCGTCGTCACTTTGCGTGGTCATCTGTGAAGGGCCGTGAGCATCCGTGACGCGACTGAACGACCACGAGGGCGTGTCCACGGGGCGGAACGAGTTAAGTGGGGCGTCATCGCCAATCTCCTCGTCTTCGAAATTCATACCTTCCAGTCGCGGGGTGCGTCCAAGGCTCCGCTCGCCGAACGCAGGGCTGTTGGAGTAATCCGGGGGCGAGCCTTCATCCCCGCTCTTCGGTTGGGTTCCAGTTGGCAAACCACCATCTCCCGCCTGGTGAGCTGCTGCGACTCCGGGTAAGGCGCTCGACGACCCATTGCGGGAGGAGCCGCCGAGACGCCGACCTTCCCCCGACGGCGACGGCCCGCGAGACTCACTCTGCGACTCCTGATCGCTGTTCGGCCGCGTCGACGCCTCCGTGATCTCCTCCAGCACCTTGCCTCCCAGAGGCCGGTCCGACCGACGCCGGTAGAACAGCAGATACGCCGAAGAGGTCACCACACTCTGGGGATCAATTGGACGCGACACGGAAGAGTCTACCCATGGGGTCAGTTACGGCTCGAAGAGGGGACACGGGCTGTCTTACCATTGTATTCGTTCCACTGGCCGGTCATAAAGTTCTTCGCGTACGCCGTGTAGTGGCCGCCGCCCAGTCCACCGTAGTGATTGTCGACCGCGAACAGGTCGTAAATTTGGCTCTTGCCCTCCTCCGGCGCCTCAACGCGGCCCGTCATATCCAGTCCCTCCACCGGGAAGTCGACCAGCACGTCCAGCTTGTCGCGGAATCCGCGGCTGGCACTGAAGCGCTTGAGGTGCATGACAAGAATATCCGGCGTCTTCCACAGTTCGAACTTCTTGCTGGCTCGACGGTGCTCCTTGCAGCGCGGGCAGTACCATGCGTCGTTCTCCGACAGGACCTCCTCCTTGTTGAACTCGTCCAAACACTCATAGAGCGTCACGCCCCTCTTCTTACGGTTCTGGCGCAGAGAACGGCGCTTGCTCAGTTCCGGGTCGGGAACCCTCTCCACGTCCGTCCACGTCGGCACTCCGCGCACGGGATTCTTCTCCCGGCTGTTCCCGCCGAAAAGGGCGTCGTAGGCCTGCTCGTTCCAGTCCACCACAATACCCTCTCCGGGACGAATCATCGGGCGCTTGGGAACCACTTCGCCGGTGGCACTGTCCGAGCTCTTGTCTCCAGATTCTTCGCCCTTCTCAGTAGGAGTGGAGCTTTCCTCTGACTGTACCAACAATCAGCCCGTGAGCAACTCAAAAACCATGGGAGACTTACCTGTTTCGCCTTCTTAGGGGCGGCCTTGATCCGGAACGACATCCGGGGGTATTCCTTGTGGTCATCTACAGATGAAAACCCAGTGGGGACCACCTCGTTCGACTTAATGAGCTTCATCTCGAAAAGACCGCGGAGATTGGCAGAAATGTTGCTCTCCGGACGAGCCGGAGTGTCGCTCGAGGTATCTTCTGCGTCACGCATCGAGACGTCGACCATGCCATCCTCGCCGTCCACGGACGCAGTCTTGATCTTAGAGTCCGCCGACTGTGCGTCATCCTCGTTCATGACGACGGTGTCGGAGTCTTCTTGGCTGACCTCGTTCGTGCTCTCCTCATTAAGAATGTCTCGCGAGGTCATCGAAGCGACCTGTGACAGGACCTTACGGAAAATCGCATCATAGTCGCCAATCTCCTCCCGGTTGATAACCACATACGACGGGACACCAAAGAGCGGCCTCTGCGCATTCTTGGTGTTGTTACCCCGCGGCTTCTCAACCCGGTTGAAGATCGGGACGAGCAACCGGTCTGACCGTGGCGAGTCCAGAGACGGGATCTCCTCATGGTCCGAGCGACTGAAGGAGATGTAGCTCTTCTGGACCTTGTCCGGATTATAGTTGGTCGGCACAGACTCCACCTCGTAGATGCCAATGTCATCATTGCCGCTGATCTGGCATTCCGCGATGGAGGCCGTGTTGTCAAACATCTTGTAAAACTTGTTCTTGTAGATTTCAGCCATGACCAGCCGTTGAGGATCGGAGCCCATCTTCTTCGCAACCAGCTCCTTCAGCGACTTCACGCTGGCGTTCTTGTCGAGCTCAACATCAACAAGGACCGGCTTCTTGTTTAGGGGGAAGTAGAAAATCTCCTTGCTCCAGAGATTTTCGATCGGAAGCTGGAGGGTAAGGTTGTTGAAAGGATCGAAGATAATGCTGACCTTGTCGCAAGCCGGGCAGACCAGAGTCGACTTGTACATACCGGCAAAGAGATCGGTGATGACCGAATCGTTGCGGGCTTTGTAGATGTCCCAACACTTGTCCGCAAACTCCCGGAGCGCCTCCTTGTTGTGCACCATTTCGTCCGTCGAGTCCGGCTTCTCGATGTATGGCTTTTTCATGATCCGATTCAGATCCTCCTGCAGACCATCCAGAAGAAACAGAAGGAATTCCTGGGAATCCTGCTGTCCGTAGCCGGAGAAGGCCGGACCGTAGCGGCCAATGGTGTGCTTCAGCTGCCGGGGCGCAAACGAAGACTGGCCGGCCTCGTCATAGATCTGGCGCAACAAGTTCGCATATGCCTTGGCCACATCGCCATTGTGGGCCAGGGGATTGCTGGGGTTGAGATCCTTCTTATACACGTCATCTAGGAGATGGTTAGCGAGATGCACATTAGTTTTACAAGACCACTCACTCAAGAAATAGTAGGTTAGCTCTTCGACACTGCGGACACACTGCAGAGCTGAGTTCATGTAGCAGGTGTTTCCGAGGTTGCTCAGACCCGTGCAGCCACGGGGCTTTCCATCCTTACGTCTTCCCCGAACAGGCTCCGAGACTGGGGACGACCGTCCGCTGGTCGCAGGACTCTTAGTCTTCGTCTTGGAAGCAACAGCGTTCTTCACGTTGCCCGAGGGCACGCCCAGGCGGCTTAGTGTCTGCTTGGAAGCTTCCGACACCCACTCTCCGCTGGATCCCGGAAGTTTCTCTTCAAGCACGACCACTTCACTGCTATTGAGTCCCGCACGGCCCAAAGTCATCTTCCCGTTGTAGTTGGGGTTGTTCGTTTGGTCCTTGGCTTCGTCGAGCACCTCGCGCTGAGACCCCTCGGACAGCGAGAGGAAGGTATTCAGATCAAGCACCAGGTTGCTCCCAGCGTTGGCGATGAGAGAGGCGGACGGGGCGGGAGAAGCACTGCGGGATGCGGCCGGGGTGACTGCTGCCGATGCAGTGGCACTGCCAAGCCCACCAAGAACCCTCCAGACACGAACCTTGGTTGACATGTCGATGTGGGCCAGTTCTTTGGCTTCCTTCAGCCACTTCTGGAAATTGGTTTGTCTGCTCGCCAAGGTTCTCACGGGGGGCAGGTTCTTCTCCTTCATCGATTTCATAGAAGTGCCGGCAGACGGGTTGGTGAGCTTGAGGATCGTGAAAATTGGAGGGTTGATCTCGTATTGGATGTTCGCAGTGTCGCCGAGCGATGCGGTGTTATGGGCGTAACGGACGATGGCTGGGGACTGTTCGGCAAGACCATACCACTGCATGATCAAGTCCCAGCCCCCTTGAGGGATAACCTCAAAATCCTCCCCGATATCCAAGCCGGGCCGCAGAGGAACAAACGGCTCTCCGCATTCATCCTTGAAACCCGTATTCGCCGGGTCAGTCACCAGGACAATATCCGAGTTGTCGACCGGTCCGATGTCTCCCTCCATGGCCGACTTGTCTGCCTTTTCTGCGTGGGTAGCGCTCCGCGAGTACACCCGCTTCAACCACGATGCCGACACCACATATCCCTTCTGCTTCTCCTTCATCGGCTGCATCATGAATTGGGTGACCTGTGCGACCTGGTCGTCATAGGACGGCCGGTCGGCTGACCCTACGCCGGCCTCGGCTTTGGACTGGGCGCGGGTCTCGGTCGGGGCCGTATACGTGGACATACTGGAAGGAGTAGGATAAACGCTGTCGGACGCCGAGCCGTTCTCATTTCCGGTCGAGTTGTCGTCGCCCGATCCCGCGGTGTCCATCGAGTCTGGGATGGCGGAACGGGACTGGCCGTCCTTCTCTGTCGGGACCAAATCCATCTCCACGTCATTATCCGCTTCGGAGGTTTCGCGAACATCAGGGCCGGAGAGCGGGAGATTCGTGTCTCCCTTGTCGTCGGAGCCGGACATGTCGGTCGGCGGGTCACTATGGAGGGACAGACCAGCGCAAGCGGCCGAGGGATAGTCGAGGACACTCCCAGCGGAGTCAGGAGTGGGCGAGCGAGCGGAGGGCTGGGATTTGGAGCCGAGGACTTCGTCCTGCAGGTGAGCGGGAATGTAGCGTGGAGGCGGTGAGGTCGAGGAGCTCAGGCTGCGATGCGATCGGGAGGAGGATGAAGGGCGACGGGGTGAGGCCTGGCCGGAGCTGGATTGGCCGTGACGTCTTCCGGCCTGCGAGGCGAACGACAAACCCGGAAGCGACCCTGGTTTGCGAGGCTCTGCTACCTTACGGCGCTTTGTGGAAGACGTCGTGACGGGGAGCTGCGCACGTTTCGTGGCAGCTCGAGGTCGCACGGGGGATGGGTTCGAAACTGAACTCGACACTGGAATTGATTGGGTTGGTCAGACCGGGGGGGGGAATGGAAGGTGGGTTTCTGAGTTGGGAGAGGTGGATGTGTATTGGGTGGAGGGATGGGAAGGGGGGGAGCAACAAGTATGAGTGGATGTGGAGGGAAGAACCTAGAAAAGGCGAGATGCGAAGGGAAAGAATGAGTCGCGGTGGGCGATTGGAAAAGAAAATCCGTCTCCGTCTTTTCTGGGTGGGATTTTCTCTCTCGCGCTTTAGTCAAGGATTCCCGGGCGCTGACTTTCAAGTTGGAAGTGACTGGTGGGGTAGAAAGACGCAAAGACAGACCAGAGGATGGAGAACCATCGAAAAAAAAAAAAAAAATGACAGGAACTGAACAGACACTAGGATAGTACTAATCTAGATAGGAAACGGCCGACTTACTTTTTTCTGTGGGTGATGCTAAGTTCGGAGAGGGTGGATGCACTTCTGCACTGACTAGCGGCCAGGCGGGAGGAGTCTTCACTGGCTGCAAGGGCTCCTCCTTACCACCACCACCACCATCATCAATCCCACCACTCACCCACCCCCAACTCCTAGTATCAGCAATAGGCGTCGACCACCAATTTCCCATTGGGCTGACATCACCGCCTATCTAGGCAGGGAACAGATCAATTATGCATCAATGCATTAATCGATCAATGAGAGTGGGGATTTCTGTCCTTGATATACCCGATACACAGCCACCTATCAATCCCTTCAATACCGGCTGGTACTGCCCGTCCCCATAATAGGCACCTTCCTCAATGAAGGCGTTATATAAAGGCAATATGATTCCCCAGTGAAGTGAGCCACGCTTACTTCCCGCATTGTCTCAACCCACCGACAATGATGGAAAGTCTAACTGGACAATCACTACTATTCCACGCGGGACGTTCCTTCACTGAGACCTCTTCCAATAACAATGCCAATGACGACCCATTGCACCTCGGAAGACAACCCCAGGGGTCTCGACTCAATCGAACTCCCCGAGACGGAGCATGTAACACACGATCAAGTGATACTGATGCCTGAAATAGATTGGGTCCTGTCTCGGAAGACACCTGACGGTAGCCGGAGTAACACCAGGTCCTGCAAGACGGGCTTCCGCCCTCCCTCAACTGGTCGCCAGTCGAAGCAGTCCTTCCGGTCTCACCATCTCCCTGCAGGGAGCCTTGTCACCTGGACATTCATGGCAGTTGCCATCTGCTTGAAATTTTCCGGAGCAGCCTCCCGAGTCACCTCTACCGACTCAAGCTTATTGACCAGGTCATTCAACGCACTATGCGAAGGCACTCTTGCGCATGGAGGCCGGCTCAAACAAGGTACACAACGTCCACGTGGTTGCAATTGTTATGCTCGCTTATTCATAAGTGATACTGTGTTTCATAGCTGAAACAGAGAACTACTTACTACACCCTCTAGTGCCTGGCGTTGCTAGCGAGAGCCAGAACCAGTATACATGTGTCTGAACTCAGTCTATTTCTATGTCGTAGTTACTAGGATGGATCCGCTCAATGTAACATGTCTAGACACTAAAACGCACCTGGACAAGCAACAACATCTTAGTTGATGTCTCTGCATTTCTTCATGCTATATGCTCCAATGTTAGTGGCCACAGCCCCGTGACTTGAAGAGCAGACTGAACACCATGGTATCCTGCTGCGATGGAAATATCACAGATGCTTGAAGACTACGTAGAGCCCCATCAAAGTGGTGGTTTTCAACAGGATGACAATAGAACTTGTCGCCTTTCGGTTAAAATCATCACTCTTGCTGTGAATGTTCTCCATACCAACTTCAAAGCAGCCTGTCCACCGAGCGAATGAAGGTCCGATCACTTGTGAAGTGAATCACACAAGTGTCGAACGATGGATCCAAGTTCGACTCTAACAAGGGCAGCGCAAGGATCCTGCGCCATTCAATGCTGCCGGGAAGGTGGAACTCGAGTTTGGATGCTTCAATCAAATCAAGTGGCTTGTTCGTTGGACCAAGCACAATAGGGCATCTCGCAGATGGCTAAGTTCTCCATTTCTTGGAACTACTGGCTCAATGTCTGTGATTGCCAGAGCTTATCCTCTGGAGAGCGTCGGAGGAATATAGCATTAATTTCATCGATGAATTGAATACACGGAGACAATTTCTTGGGAGGGGTGAACTCAACTTTAATCATACTGTATCTCGCCAACCCATTTGCTCTTGATATTTGCTGGGCTGATGTCTTTCACTGCCTTGAAATCACTCGCGATCGCTGGGGCCATCTGAGTCTTTCCAGTCTGCTTGATACCACAAGGCTGGCGCATAGCTTTTCTTCCCACAATGCCCACGATTGGAGGGATGCTCAAACTATATGAGTGTTCGGGAGCTCCCTGTCCCATAGAAGTCCAAATAGATCGGGAAGAGTGTTTTCGAAGGGCAAGAACCGGCCAAAGTTCACAGGGAAAATAGAGTGCGTGTTCCCTTTGAGACGCCAGATCTGCTGCTCAAAACTTCCTCGATATGCGCTGTTGCGCTTTGGATGGAATTGGGACTCCAATACTGAGTTCAAATGGAGGTTCGTGCGCGATCACTTCATCGTGTATTGAATGACTTGTGTTTGTCTCTGTTCTAGTAACCGGTCATTTTGATCATTGGTTGGTTGTATTGCGACAAGTTAGGCTGCGGACCGAAACCTTTCACTGTCTTGGTCCTGTACGGCGATGCCACAAGTGTCCCGGAGGAGATATTCTGAGGCGCATGTCTCACCCGAAGCTGCGTATTCATGTTTCATCTTCGTAGCATCAATAATGGCATGGTTGGCAATGCGGGCTCGTTGAGGGATTGAACCCACTATCCTTGCTACAGCGGGCACTGAAGTAGAATCCTACCATGGACTCTTGATCCTTGTACTTGGCCAGAGAAGCCTTTGGACGCCTTGGGGCCTCTGAATCACTTCTTGCTTCGGAACCGGTTTATCTCTCTTGCTCTTGGAAATTGCAGGTAAGGCCTGCACCAAAACCCTTAGCCAGGCGCTTAAGGGAAGTTGTGATATCATTAAAGCTCTCTGCTGTGACCTTCAGGATGGCTGTGTATAGTCAAGCTTCCGTCTGGAAGTGCACGATCACTGAGCAGTGTTGTGGCAATGGTATCACATAGTTCCGCATATCCGGTTTCTTAGATCTCGTACATCGCTGTAGTTGCCTCTGTTGAAGGAATAAATTCTTGCCCCCACTAGCCATCTAGTCAGCTTTCTTGCATTCATATAATTTGCACACTTACTTTCACCAGAGTGGTTCTTTTGAGAGTCCGCAGCCATCTCAACATATCCTGTGAGAAACCAATCGGGGATACAACACTTAATGGGGTTTCTGCTTCCTGAAATACTGGAGTTAGACCTATCTTGAAGATCACGGTATCAGTAGATGACTTGCCTGGCTTCTCAGAAGTCTCTATCCTGCGTGTTTTCAGCCGCCTAATCAGAAGCGACACTCCTTTCCTCAGTCGGAACCAGAATCCTGACCGAAAGGCACCAAGTCACCTCAATCTTTATAGCTCTATGGTAAGGGAGTACTCTGATAGCGCTGGTCACAGAGGAAGAATTGAGAGACCCGTATCGAGGCTTCAGCCACACTGAGTCGTAAGACTTCTATAGCAGACAACCCGCTGCAACAAATGATCAGGTTGAGAGAACCTTAGCGGTGATGATAGCATCAAAAAAAGTTCCAGATAAGGATACAGTGACAGAGTCTGTTGGTCAGTAGGCATGTCCGAGCCTGCATATGTAGAAGGTAAAATGAATGCAGCAGTGGGTGGTCTCCGTTAGCAATGAAATTCTAGCGAATGGCTCCGCCGACCTTGGTGGTTAGGGAAGGGGGCCAAGGGTATTTATGATGTTTCCTCCTCTTACAGTACACCATCCTTACAGGACCTTCAGGCACCCAAAGGACATATGACAGTCCGGCTTTCTGATCTTTCCGATCATAGCCGCAATGGTTCAGAATTCACACAAGTGGACAGTTTACGGTTTAGCAATGTTGCGGTTATACTCATGGGTCAGAGCATCAGCTATGGCTTATGCTTTCGCAACGCGCTCGGAATCTTAGCCATCGACACATCGACATATATAGATTGTCCCAAAACCCGGTGATCATCAGCCCGGAGACTGCATGATCTGCTCTACAAAATCGTTTCTCCCCTTCCTTCACCAAACGCCAAAATATCAAGGTCGTTTGCACTTCATTTCAAGGTACTTTCCAGGCTCAACCCCAAAGAGTATCGATCTGTAACTGAATATAGTCGTTTGAATACGGCTCAGCCGATGGTATGCCATCCAAGAAACAAAAAATCAGTTTTGCAGCCAGTATCTGCGGTTCTTATCATGTGGGGACCAGACCACTTTCGACACCCGAGCAGTTTGGTATTTTAGGAGGATTACCAAGACGTCTATATGCGCTGGCTCCGATATCAGAAACCTGGAATCGAAGCGTGCTGCACTTCGGAGTTGGAAGGCGATCTAGCAAATAATCATAATTTAGCGTGAAATAAGGCAACCTGTTCCTATCGTGGGGACCTTCGTGGAGGCCATGGGATACGCCGAGTACAATGGGAGACACTAGCGAGCGGAGGTGATTGGACTTTTCCTGGCAAGGTACACTTATCGGTGTCATTCCAGGAGGAGGCAAGTATCATAGCCACGGCTCAGCGGGAATTATAGTCTAGTTAGTACTCGATAAGTCTTCCCGAGAGGTTGCCAAAGAAGCAGTAAAACACCTCTCATAGGGCTTAGTCGACATCATCCCGCCGAATTTATAGAACCACCAAAACAAAATCAAAGCTCGAATCGAAGACGGAGCAGTAACCCACCATATTACACATTGTCTGAGCTATACCTAAGATATTATCCCACCTCACTGAAACAAGATATATCACCCCCAACAGGGAAACTGGCCGACATGATCAAGCTCATTCATTACATCACGTTGATTTCATGTCATACCAAAGCCTATATCAAACCTACCTCCCCTGGATGAAATCCTAATCCAACGAACTACAACCTGCCGATCATCAATTGACTTCAATCGACATCAACCCACCCACCAACCCCCAAAATGCCAACAGCCATCGTCACCGGCGCAACCGGTATACCTCCCCCATCCCATCCCCATCCCCCACCAACAACCAACCATCTAACCCCCTCCTCCTCCCAACAGGCATCCTCGGCCGCGAAATAATCAACCACCTCTCCCGCGACCCAACCTACACCAAAATCCACGCCCTCTCCCGCAGCCCCAAACCCAGCTCCCTCTCACACGTCCACCACGCAAGCATCGACCTCCTCTCCACCCCCACCACCCTCTCCACCCAACTCACCTCCCAGAATGTCTGCGCCGACTACCTCTTCTTCACCGCCTACCTCCAAGAAGGCGACGAAAAGGACCTCGAGCGCATCAACGGCGACATGCTGGAGAATTTCCTCACCGCGATGAGTCTCTCGGGCGCAGAGAAAACCCTAAAACGGGTGGTGTTGGTCACGGGGGCGAAACATTACGGGGTGCATTTAGGGCCGGTGAAGAATCCGATGGAGGAGAGGGATCCCTGGGTGGAAGGGGAGGGGAGACCGCCGAATTTTTATTATAGGCAGCAGAGAATATTGAGGGAGAGGGGGGAGGGGAGGGGGTGGGATTGGGTGGTGACGTATCCGAATGATGTTGTTGGGGTTGCTAAGGGTATGTCCTTCCCTGTTGTTCGGTCTGTGTTCTATGAGATGTTGGTGGGTCTATGGGAGTAAACATACTAATGATACATGTTCTACGCAGGAAACTTCATGAACCTAGTCACCGCCATCGGTCTCTACGCCAGCATCACCAAAGAACTCAACGCCCCGTTCATCTTCCCCGGCTCTCGGATCTTCTATCCCAAAATCGACTGTTTCACGTACTCGCGTCTACATGCCCGATTCTGCGCGTGGGCCGCGATCACGCCCGCATGCTCGAACCAAGCATTCAACGTCGTGAACGGCGACGCGCAGTCCTGGCAGACGATGTGGCCGCGACTGGCGGAGCGATTCGGGGTTACGATTCCGGCGGATCAATTCGAGGCGGAGGATGAAAAGGTCGTTCCGTTGATTGAGCGGCCGCCGCTGGAGGATTATGCGGCGACGAGTGGGTTGAAGGGGCAGGTTGAGAAAGGGGAGGTGCGGATGAGGATTGATTTGGAGAAGTGGATGAAGAGGGAGGATGTGAGGGGGGCGTGGGAGAGGGTAGCGGAGCGGGAGGGGTTGGAGAAAGACGCGTTTGAGAAGGCGACGTGGTTTTTCTTGAACTTTGTCTTGGGGAGGAATTATGATTTGGCCATTAGTATGAATAAGGCGTGGAAGTTGGGGTTTCGGGATTGGGCGGATACGTGGGATGCGTTGGAGGAGTGTTTGGATGAATTGGAGGAGGAGAAGGTTTTGCCTAGGACGGGGAGGAAATGAAGAGGATGGTGGTATAGAATGTAAGGTTAAGGTTGGAATGTTGGGGAAAGCTAATATTGTTCCATCATCGAGAACATGACATGAAGCCGCGTGGTGGTGCCAATCAGGTGTTCCGTGGGACAAAGCAGTATTAAGGTAGCTTAGGGTTGACTGTCGCCCTTATTGGACAGCTTAACGTACGCGCATTCTTTCATGAACCCACAGTCCACCCCCCATGCATGGCCTGACCTGACCAGAGCACGCGGCTGGCGGCGGATGTGTACCGTGGAATCCCTTAAGTATGCTTCGTATAACCCGCACAGCCGCTACACTTTGGTGATCGAGGGCTTTTGCATCAGCCCTCGTCCAAACATCGACCTTGGTTTCAATCACAAGAACATGTCGATCACTGCAGATCTGGAGAACCGTCCGCAGTCAAGGAGGCTTCCATGTGGCCTCGAGTCAATCAGGTCTTGTCTGACGACTCATTTGCTGATCCCACTTCCGTGGACGCCTGTTGATCTACAGTTTCGATTCCTTGTACGGTAGGTGCCGCAGGGATCTCACTTGATCGGGCGCCAGAGGCCAACTCACGAACCTGGCGCTCTATACGCCGTCAGCATCAAACTTTAACGTAACCGAAAGAATGAAAGAAAGTTTTCACAAGCTCTCAGCACAGAGCCGCAGAAAAAAATGATAAAAGAAAATAAAAAGTAGAAAAAGAAAATCGCGCACCTAACTCGCGGATTCGTTGTCGGAGCATATGGTTTTCGCGCGTCAGCATGGCAGCCTCCGCCTGGTAGAATGCGCTCTCATCCCTACTCCCCCGCCGGAAAGTGCTCTCACCAATACCCGCAGTCCAATCCGGTCCCTCTGGCCCGCTAGACGGATCAATCAGCGGTCGGAGGTTGGGCGAAGCGGCTTGACTAGACGGACGGGAAGGTCGTCGGCTAGACAGGGATGAAGGCAGCTGAGTTGACGCCCGACTACTGGTTGTGGGGAGCGGGGGGATTGGGGGGAAGGGGGTAAGCCGTTCCGAAGGAGGCCCGGAGTCGTCCACAACCGCCTGCGAGTGTTGCTGTTGCTGTTGGAGATGTTGCAGCTGAGCTTGCTGGCTGCGGATCATGTGTAAAAGTCGGTTCTAGCCATCGCCAAGAATTAGGGTCAGTAACTTTTACTTGCAGTGGTGCGATAATAAGAATGAGCCGAATAGTGACACGGGACGGTCGGATCATACCACTTGTGCTTCTTGTTCTTGTTCTAGTTCCTGATGGAGCTCCCCCAGCGACGGCGCACGCTGATGATGCGGGTCCCCAGTGGCAACGGTCGGGTTGGCCCCGGTGTTGTTGTATGGACTGGAGGTGTGCAGCCCATTATGGCCTAGGGAGGACCGATGCTCGTGGGGGGTCAGGGGCGGTTCCCCGGGGGCCGAGTCGCTAGCGCTGTTATTGCCATTGTTCAGGATTGAGCTGGAACCGGCAGCGGACCGGCGACGTTCCGACCCTGGCATGCTTGAGCGATGATTCTGGGAGGGTCGATGGGGCAGCTCGGTGGCAATGGCGTTGTGATGGTTGTTTAAGGGAGCGTGATCCATGTTGGCCAGAGCTGAAGAAAGGAGGCCTGGCTGAGAATGCGGCGACGATAAGGGGTCGGACAATGTCGGGGGCGGCCGATGTTGACGCGGGGAAGACGAAGTGGACCGGGTCGGGGACAGCGAGTTGATATCGGGCGACATCGTGTGCACACTGCACCGGGTGAACGGTCAATAAAGGGTCTCTGAATAAGACAAGGGTGTTGTGCAATGTCAACAATGCCAGACGACTCTTCTTGCAAGACGTGTCGAAGAGAGTCCAGACCACCGAAGCTGTCAGTGTGTCTTGTCTGCAAACACTCTCTGCCATGGGCCAGATCAACAATGGTCAATGGTTGCGGTGGATTGCAGAGCGGCTGCCACATTCCTGCAACAAAGGCGGGGTGTCCGTACCCGGCAGGCGGTCAACACAAGTGTCTGACGCTTTGCTGACAATCACGGGATGGCTGGATTCGGCCTAGCGCCCCGGCCACGCTTGTACCGGAACCAGGTCGGTCTGGCCCGGGGAGCCTGGAGACTTCTTTCCCTGGAAACGGCGATCAGGCCGACCGGGTTTTCGGTCAACTCCCGAATACCACCCCATGCACGTGAACAGATCGATCTGATGCCTCGGGGAATTTTCTCAGTAGGTGTAGATGAAAATCCGGGCAATGTGGCAGCACAATAATGCGATCGAACATTCTGTTGACCCCTAGTGGAATGTTCGCTGGGCCAGGGGGGCTCCCTAAGAACCCGGCACAATGGACTCCGGCCTTGTCTGTTCAACCAGGGGATCATCCGCCACCTCACCTTGGCGTCAAGTCTTAACCAACCTTGAAGGCGCCGTCGGCACCATCCGACCAAACAAAAGCCACCGCCATCATGACCTCGGTGCTAGGCTGCTAGGCTGTTACTACCGTGACAAGTACACTGGTTCCCCAACCACCGCTCCTACTGGATACAGATGGCCGGAATCCTTCAACATTCCTGATCAAATCGAATTGACGTGGGGAATCATTCAGCCTATCATTGATGATGCTGTTATATTGATATACCATAAGACTACTGTGTGTGAGTGTGGCCTCATGGACGGAGTACATAGTACTACTCTCCATAGGCCTCGTCAACTCCACTGAATCGCCAGACCAATGATCCATCCCTCCTGTAATCCCGATCATCCTGGGGTTGCCCACCTAGTGAGTAAATGGGCGGGCATGGTGTACGTGCGAGGGCCGGGGGTTTGTCAAAAGTCTCTGTTGTTACATGATACTGGTTTTCGTTTCGCCTGTCATGGTGCTCGATCCCTGACAGGTTTCGATACAGCATTCTGGAACAGGGGCAGATTGGGCATTCTCCCTAACATGCCTACGGGACGATGACCACATGAGACGTCCACTTAACCCGCGATGACGAAGAGCGCACAAAACAAACACCAGGATACAAAGAAACCGATGACACATTTGCAATACGTGAGAAAAGCACTGTGGGTGCCGATCGTCTTGGTCACGGCCGCCTTGACGTCACCCCCGGCTACCCCGAGGCCAGCTAGTCAAACCCCGTGGGAAACTGGAAGGGAAAAAATGGGTCCAGGACAGAAACAGCCTAAAAAGCGGAACACAAACCAACGCCATGATGTTTTATTCCACTTGGCTCCAAAAACATGGTCGGAAACACTACTAAGAACTAAGAAGGAATTGTCTCCTGCCTCTAGGGTATCTTGTCAGGATCCATCTGCTCGGGAAACCACGCAGTCATGCAAAGCGCCCATGGCCACCTGGAATCCCGGCCCCTTGCGTGGGACACTTTCGCGCCCGCATTATTGACAGCCTGGACCGTTTCGACCTATACAGAGCATCTGTCTGTGAAGTCTGGATTTGAAAGTCAAAAGAGTAGTCGCCGCGAGGTGTCCGCAATCTCACACCGCAGCAACCCTCGCGCAGCCCGTGCCGTGGCAGACAGTCCCGAAGCGGGCATTCCTGAGATGGTCCCGTCGGCCCAGAACGGCTCCGGTAGTTGTAATGAATATCGACCACCGCCGAAGTGGGGAAGCCGTGAGGACCTCCCCGGCCACTCCTGGCTCTGGGGATTCGTCCGGTTTGCCCCCAGAGGTCAGGCGATGAGTGATAAAGGAATGATGTTAGCCCCGATGGATCCGTCCGGCAGCACCGTCCCAGGTCTACATCGAAAACGACTGGCTGGGTTTGGTCAGCGTGGCAAGTGGGCTCGTCGTAGTCTGGTTTAGGTGGTAGGCTTGGTAGTATGTCCCTCCAACGTCGCTCTTGATTTGGCAACCCAACTGCATCATCAGTCGGCCCTAACCGTGTGCGGCCGCCTGCGGTGTCAGAGCCAGCCAATCCCCCAACACCACTTGAGAGATAACGCATTCAAGGCCCTTAATTTATTCATGCCGGCCATTTTCAAAATCCATGCGAGTGTACCCTAAGTGCAAGCCCAGTAAGCCACAGGGAGCACAAAAATTGGTGGGAGGCGAAACAGAAAGGGGGGGGGGGGAGGAAGGGGGAAAAAAAGTGTAATAAAAAATAAAAAAAAATAAATAAAAAAAAATAGGTCCATGCATGAACTAATTCCCCATGCCCCGAGGCACACAACCCCCCATCGGAGACACCTGGACCGTCTGAACTTTAATTGTAGAATTGTTGGGTTTATTGGCAGAAGATGAGTGACCGGTGGATTGATATAAAGCAGAGTCACGCCTGCAGTGCTGCCTGTGTGATCCATGGATGTTGTGGTAACATCGCCCACTTTGTTCCCCGATACCACTGGTTACCTGAATATAAGTACTATACCGGGACCCCCATCGTCCTTGCCTGTTCTGGGGTACCTGCCTGAAAAAGTAGTCGGGTGCTAGTACTGGGCCAACCGGACCATTTCTCCTGCCTTCTTCCTCTTCGGGTCTAAGCTGCTTCTACCATCTGCTACTTCTACTTCTACTTCTACTTCTGCCTCTGCTTCTGCTTCTCTGCTCACCATCACCCGTTTTCACTTGTCTGTCTGACGCATACTCAAAGCTCAACTCTTCTGCTATCAGCTTTGATCTGTTCGTCTCACGTTTTAACCACTCTTAGTTACTGATCCTGTCATCCTTCTTCTTTTCTCTGTCTTGTCTGGATTGACCGTAGGTGCCACCCATACATCCCTGGTGATCGTCACTCCGGTGGCTTTCCCATTGCCTGTTCTTCTCCCATTTCATTTCAACCCAGCCAAATACAACACAGACTGATCTGGCATCCACAGGGCGCGTCATGGCTGCTCCAGGCATTGACATGAGTAATCTTGAAAAGCCTCATGAATCGGAGGCCTCCTCCTCGACGCACACCGATGCAATCATTGATCCAGCCACTGAAAAAGCTTTGGATCAGCATCTAAAGCCTCCGGTGGCGCCATCCAGTCCTAACGGTGGGACGACTCTCCATCAGTTGGAGAATGCTTCCGAAAAAATTGAGCTCACCGAGGACGACTGTTACGATCAACTTGGCTATGCTTTCCCTGCTTGGCGAAAGTGGATGATCATCTCAGTCATCTTCCTCGTCCAGACCTCGATGAACTTCAACACTAGTTTGTACTCGAATGCCCTTGGCGGTATCTCTGAAGAGTTCGGCGTCAGCATGCAAGCTGCCCGATGTGGCGCCATGATATTTTTGGTGCTTTACGCCTTTGGCTGTGAGCTGTGGGCTCCGTGGAGTGAGGAACTTGGTCGGAAGCCCATCTTGCAACTCAGTTTGTTTCTTGTTAACATCTGGCAACTCCCCGTGGCTCTTGCTCCAAACTTCGCGTCCATTATGGTAGGACGTGCTCTTGGAGGTCTGAGCTCCGCTGGTGGCTCGGTTACTCTGGGTATGATCGCAGATCTTTGGGAAGCTGATGACCAGCAATACGCTGTCGCTTGTGTGGTTTTCTCATCCGTCGGCGGCTCAGTGATTGGACCAGTTGTCGGAGGGTTCGTCGAGGCTTATCTGCCATGGCGCTGGAACATTTGGATTCAGCTTATCTTTGGAGGCTTTGTGCAGGTGGCACACTTCCTACTTGTTCCTGAGACCAGAACGACGATCTTGATGGATCGCATCGCCAAGAAACGGAGAGAAACCGGCGAGAACCCGAACATATACGGACCCAACGAGCTGGTGCCGTTCAGGGATCGGTTTTCGATGCGCGAAGTCCTCAGCACATGGGTTCGTCCGTTCAAGATGTTCTTGACCGAGCCAATTGTCTTGACTCTGTCCCTTCTGAGCGGTTTCAGCGACGCCCTGATCTTCATGTTCATCCAATCCTTCAGTCTTGTGTACGACCAGTGGGGTTTTGACACTGTGACACTAGGATTATCGTTTCTGCCCATTCTTGTGGGTTACTTCATCGCTTGGGCATCATTCATTCCGGTTATCAGAAGAAATATTGCGGAGCGTCGTATGAAGCCCGATGATGAGCGTGCTCAATACGAGTCCCGGCTTTGGTGGCTACTATACACTGCGCCCTGCTTGCCGATTGGCTTGATTGGCTTTGCATGGACCAGCCTGGGACCTCCTGTTCACTGGATTGGAAGCATGGTTTTCTCTGCTATCGTTGGTATTGCCAACTACAGCATCTATATGGCTACCATCGACTACATGATCTGCGCTTACGGGCCATATTCCGCCTCCGCAACTGGTGGTAATGGATGGTCGCGTGACTTCCTAGCTGGTGTGCTGACAATCCCTGCCACCCCTTTTTTCGAAAGTAAGTACCTTGTTCGAAGTACATGGTTTGGATGGTTCTGACAAACATACTGCAGACATCGGTGGAAAATATCATCTTGAATACGCCTCCACGATTCTATGTAAGTTCTGCGCCCGAGGGTGCCCTATGAACGGTGAGGGACTAGAGACTAACATCTTCTCTTAGTTTGCATCTCCTTCCTCCTCGTCGTGGCGGTTTATGTTATCTATTGGTATGGGCCGACGCTTCGCAAGCGATCGCCCTTCGCCCAACAGCTGTCCGACGCGAGAGTTGAGCTTCAGACATCCGGTCGACGCCTCTCTAAGATCCCATCTGGCTCGAGGGCGAATTCCTTCGCACGTTCGCAACAGAACCTGCGTGTTCGTTACACCCTTGGGAGCCGCCCTGGAAGTTATGTGGCATCTCGCCCAGCTTCAAACGTCAACTCACGAGTCAATTCTCGCCGGAACAGCCTGTCCCGTTAAATGTTGATACGGACCTTTTATATAGTCTGCGACCTTAAGTCGCCCGTCTACATTCTTACGATATTATTATTGAGACGATTCATGAGCGTTGATACCAAACATGGCCAATGCATCGGCTGGCCATGATGTTCTTTGTGTTCCTCTTATCACCGGTTGAGCATTCAAATTGGATACGTGCTCTGGAATTTAGGTAGCTGGGTAACTGGGTTACATAGGTAGTTGGTTCTCTTTTTTTTTCTTTTCTCCTCTCATCCCCTGCACTGACCGGGGCGATGGCGTTGGATAACGGTGAGAGATGCATTTGCTTTACTTTCGAGCGTGTACTAGTACTAGGTTAGTTAGGTTTCCCTGTTTGTTGGCTGGTTCACCTAGCTTGGCTAGGTTTCTCTTTGATTGTCTTGGATAGCTGGGTTAGATAGGGCTTTTTAGTTGGCTAGATTAGTTAGGTTTTCCTTTGGTTGTTTGGTTATCCTCGACTGGGTGGGCGGACCACCGTTTGCAGCCATTGGGCTGGAGGATCATAGATAGGGTTCTTGGGCCATGAATCAAAAACAAATTGATCATTGAAAGTATGATGCTCTTCTCCGGGTGCCGTAGAATGACGGTAGGGATAGGAATGGACGCATCATGGCAATGTAACCCGGCGGGAGCAGAACCATGGAGGGTCGAGATAAGCAGACCGAGCAGATCCGGATGGCGGGGAAGGCCACCGAAGGGTTGCAGTGCTGCAGAGATGCAAAGCCGGCCCAAGCCGACTGATGGATGGAATGTGGGGACCGCCTTGCTTCATCCAGCCTTCTGGATTCGGCCGAGGCGGATTCGGCGGGGCCGAAAGGGATGAATGGATGCAGAGCCGGCCTTGGAATATCGATGTCTGGGGCTGGGCTGCGCTGAGCCGGAAAGCCCGTCTCTATCTATCTGCTGCTCTACTATCATTCAGCCTACTTCCAGGTGGCGTTGGCCGTGTACCCCCAAACCCCAGGATGAAGATCCTGGCTGATCTTCCCTAGACCCTGTGTGCTTTGAGTTTGCTGATGCAGGTACCCCGGGAGATCAACAGCCGTCAAATCAGGTTTTGGTCTTTTGGTGTGTCAAAATATTCGGGGGGATTTCTAGAATGATTGGGGTCGTTGGAAGATCCAGTACGGAGTATGGAGGAGTACGATTGAACATACAGAGATGCCACTTTTATTGGATAGGGTGCTTCCACTGTAGGCTACAGATGTATAAACTGATGTTTCCCAGAATCCATACTTTCAAATAATTTAAATGTCTTGCTTCGAAAAGCTGCTGGTTCTTGGTCGAGTGGAGGTAAAAGCAGACAGTACAAGTGACCCATGTCCATATTTTGCACATCCGGTGCTTAGCTCACGGACAGCTATACTAAAGAACAAAGGACTCGCCATGCAATGACCAAGTCACGGGTATTAACAGGCACCAGACTGACCTGGGCACTGGGGTTGCTTGCTAGGGCGGATGCAGGCGCCATTATGCCGGCGGGAGATCGACCCGTCCGCAGCCACACGAGGTCACGTGCCGGGACTCGGTAGCCATGGTCGACGCTTAGTGCTACGAGACTCCGACCGGCTGCCAGCAGGCGATTGACGTTCTCTACACCGTCCAGCATGGAACACGTATCTAGGGTGGTTCAGCAGCCCCGAACGGTGGTCTCTCGCCTCCAACGTTACTACTTCCACCGCCGGTACCATCTGCGAGTCCCTTCCTCACCCGTTGTTGTCCCTGCCACCCATCTCCGACCAGTACCGCTACTCCGCACCTACGCTGCCACCACTACCACCAACCCTTCCAGTTCTTTGATCACCCCTTCACTTCGGATCGCTTCGCGTCACGCTTCGACCATGGCGGACCCACAATTTTCCGAGGGCACTGATGCCGAGCAGGCACGCCAGGGATTGCAGGCGCTGCAGGAGCAGGGATGGGCATTGGACGAGGACGGACAAGGCGTGAAGAAGACGTACTATTTTCGGTCATACTTCAAAGCGGTGGTAAGACATTCTCAACGCGGTCACATTGATTGAGAGGTCGCGAGATAATCTGACCCCTGGAACCCAATAAATACAGAGCTTTGTCAATGTGGTCGCGTCGCAGAGCTCAACCAAGAAGCACCATCCGACCATGACTGTGGTAAGTGCGACCCATCACCACGAGGAAAAAAGGGGGAGGATCATAAAAGACAAACACCAGGAGATTGCGACTGAGGCTGATCTGGCATGCTAGAGAATTGGATCGGTCGATATCCACTGGACTACCCACCATCCCCGGGGGCTAAGTGAGAAGGACCTGGAAATGGCGCAGCATTGCGACGAGGCAGCGGAGCTGATGGGGGCAGTGGAACAAGGACAGGGGAAAAAGTGCGCGCCGGGGCGAGACTAAGGGGATCGAGATCCTAAGTTAGATGATGAGGAGCTGGGGTGCAGTGGGACGAATTCCTTTGTTGGATGGAATGGGATTGTGTGGATAGAATTAGTGATTGAGTGGCGTAAGGAGCTGAGAGGTTCATCTTAACAGTGAGTACTAGTATTAATGTCAAGTATTAACCGCGTAATATACCCAACCAGCTTTCCCCCCCCAAAAAGGCAGGGGAGGCGGGCGGATCTTAGTCAGCATTCGACCTCCTCCTCGTGGTCGTGCACTATTCTGGATGGGGTTAAGCCCAGCTAAGCTCGTCGTTGACTTGACTTGCTGGTGATCCTTTCCTGAGAGAACCAAGGAATGTGCCACAAGCCCGTCCATCCAACCAGGTGCCCGCCTGATAGCGAGCATCTACATCATCGCAGCACACACGGACATCACCTGTCACTCGGCAGCAGGACGCATCGCCAATAATTGATGTATTCACCCGGACCAAATCCAATTGGACTAACCCACTAAGCCAACTTCCCCTCCTCTCGAGTCCTCTAGTTCGCCCTTCAACCGACAACCGTTGCCCGGAAAGTGGGGACTGCAAGGTTTGGTTCAATTCAGGGGCATCAGAATACTGACTTTGCATTTCATAATAGTTTCGTGTCCATCGGTGGATGTCCCGCTCCGTGATCATGCAGCGCCGCATTGCTCGCTTCAACAGCTCATGGTCTCACTTCAAATCCCTCCTGCTCGGTCCAGATCTCATCCTGTCTCCAGCCCCATCCCCAGCTCAGTCAACCCCCCCTCCTCCACTCAGGGGGTTCGCTTGCGTGCGCAGACCGTTTCAGATCTGCTTGTCATCACCACTAGCCGTCTAGTCGCTGGCTAGGCCCGACCGGGCAGGTTCTATGGACGGGCAATCAATAATCTAATTTAATCCCAGAAACCTTGGGCTGCGCGGGCTTGCCTGGAGCCTGTTTCGTCTTGTTTCGCGTTTGCCCGTTTTTTCTTTGTCACACTTTCATCACCTCCTTCTCTTCTCTCGTTTACACACACTCTCTCTCTTGTGGCAATTCCTCTACTCCATACGGGCCCTTAGACTCGGTCGTTCGAGAATGAGAGTTGCCTCGCCTCAAGATCTACTCTAATCTGGCTGTTTGTTGATCCAACGCAGTCAATTCGTCGCTCCCTATCGCGCACGCCCCAAGACCTCGAATCCATTCGTATCCACCATCCACAAACCAGACCGGGTTCATTATACCACATTGCTCCGAAATCTCCCCTTTTTATACATTTTTTGCTGTCCCCTATACGGTCGGAGATGATCTACACTTGATTCCATCAGCTTGCGATGACCCCGGACTGGTTGTTTCCGAGCGCTACAATCATTCTTTATCGATCAATGAGGCTCTCATCCATGACGCCTATCTCTAGTCGCGCCATTCGTTAAATATACCCAAACCTGCTGTGATCAGCTGACGTATGCTATTTCCTACTGATATACCCATTCCAATCATTATTAGACCGCAGGGCTTCCGACGTTGGCATTCCGGACATACATTGAAAGTCTGACGAAGAATGACGTTGGATCTTCACTCCCCTCAACAATCGGTCAGCGAGCGCAGAGGCCAACGATTGGCCCCCTTGCAAACCAACTTCAGCCGTCCAACCGCACGCCCGGTGCAGGTTCCATCCGCGAGACCACAGCGTCCACGGCCCTCGGACTACCAGGACGATGCGGAGGCAGGCGAACGAGTCCCATTGCAGCCAGCGCCAGTGAAGCGCCAGACATCCAAGTCCAGCCTGCGGAACATCTTCGGGCGCGAAAAGTCTTCCCGTAAGCAAGCCGCCGACACTAAGCTATCGGGTATCGAGGAGGTACAGCAGCAAGGCACACAAGCTGCATCCGAATCAGCACCAGCGGCTCAATCCCCGACTGCCACTGCTACACCTAAGACTACCGTATCCACGGCTACACTCCCCACATCCCCGACCACGACAGGATCGCAAAAGTCCAGGCTCCCCTCAAGATCTCGCACGAAAACTAGCGACGAGAAGCCTGCCGCAGGCGAGATAGGATGGAAACCTCCACCGCTTTTCCAGGCATATCCGCAAGCAATCAAACATGACTGTCTTCCCGTTCCAGCTATGTCGGTAGACTCCATAATGCGCATGCATGCCACCTCGAAGGCCAAGGCTGGCTCTCGTGACGAAGAGACCCTCAATGGAGAATCTACGGAGGATGGGGGCGCCCGGAAGAAAAAGGAAGACAAGGAGAGGAAGAGACACATGCGCACCCTATCCGAGACCATGAGCAAAGCGGAGTGGACCCAAAAGGTTTACGTGCTAGCCACCGCCGGTTATATCTTGCAATATGCCGGCTCGGGAAAATACGACCGACTACCAGAGAAAATGTTGCAGCTTGGTCCTCGAACTGTGGCTTTTGCTAGCGATGCCATTCCTGGGAAACACTGGGTGCTGCAAGTATCCCAGACTGACGAAGATGGTGCGGATTCGACCAAGCCTCACCGGTTCCGTTTTGGATTCAGTAGATCCCATTCCAGACGCTTAGACCGGTGCTTTCTTCTCGTTTTTGATCATCCGGAGGATATGAGCTCTTGGCTCTTGGCCGTTCGGGCCCAGATAGAAGCTCGGGGCGGCAAGAAGTATGTCTCGGAGAAGACAGCTGACGACGGCTCAGAGCCGCAGCTCCAGACCAAACCTAGTGTTCGCCAATTGGTGACCAAAGATCCCAACCGGTTTTCTACGATGCTTCTATCTCAGCAGTCTACATCTGGAGAAGAAAGGGACACAGGTGTCAGTGACCATTCTCGTCGGAGCTCCTACATTTCCGTCAACCGCCGGTCAGTGGTCATACCACCGGCGTCTGAATCTCGCTCCGGATCAGTATCCACCACACATACAGAGATCTCGCCCGTAAGCGCAACCGGGCGATTCTACTCATCTATCGCCGGTGCCAGTTTCCCCAAGCCGGCACCAAATGGTAGCGTAGCAGCAGCTTCACTGGATGGGCCAGCAAGCCCAACCTTCTCGAGCTCAACGAAGCGGCGATCACTGCATGTGTCATCACCGACGACAACAAAGACGAACGCTGAATTAGCTGCTGAAATCCCACGGGCACAGTCGACACAGCCAGATCCTGTGCTTCGCAGCACCTCGCCGCTGGCCCCGAACTTTAGCGTGCCCTCTTTCAGCAAAAGGTTCACCGCCAGGTTCGGTCCACTTCAGGTCCCGCAGGTGTCACAGATTCCCCCAGCCCTAGAGGACATAGACGGGAAAAGCACTACTGCTGCTCTTTCGGCGTTTCCTTCTCCGCCCCAGTCTCCGGGCAAGATTATGAACGGGTTCCCGCAGGAGGATCTCAACGAGCAGCAAGAGCAACAGCAACAAGAGCAGCCGCAGCAGCAATGGCCGCTTCATGCAGGGCAAGCCAAGAGACCGCCACTACGCGTTTCCAGCTCTCAGGACTCACTCGCAGATCCGCAGCGTGTGGCGGATCCCAGAAGCCATCGACTCTCTCGCATGCCGGGAGGCATAATGCCTAGTACCGCCCAAGTCCCACGGCCAACAACTGCTGTCAGCGGAGGGCCGACTCATGGCTCACATCTGGGCCCAGACATGGGCAATGCGCGTCGCGATCAGCAACGGACCCGGGGTTCTGTTATGTATCAACCCGATCCAAACGTCCGTTTGCCGCCAGTGGCCATGGGCCGTCGAAAGAGCATGCCGGGCCTCATCGGACCGCCCGCGGCGCCTCCTCCCAATTGTCCATTGCCTAAAATTCCTTCTCCTATCGACCCACAAGCACCTAACTGGGGCGAGTTACCCCCAGAGCTACGGCAATGCGTCTCACCTCCTCCGCTACAAACTATTCGGGAACAACGGAAGAGCTTCGCGCCGGCGCCAGGCGGTCGCAGCATTCAAGGACGAAGCGTCTCCCGGCAGTCCAAGCTGCCTCCGATATAATCGACTCCTAATCACTCCTTATACACCCATCTGTTCGCATGATGAATCTCATGTTTCAAACGAGTTCATCCTACCCTTTTTGACCATTATGCTTCCACGTCGCCACGGCACGACTCCTTTCCGTCGACTTTGACAGTCGACGAGGTCGATCACAGTATCATTCCATAGCGATCCAGCGTTTCCACCTTTTCATTTTACATCTGATACCATTACTGATCTGTATTTATGCCCCTGTGGGATTGTCTTACCTAGCTGGCTATTTCCTTCCCGGGTGGTTCGAAAACGATAGATGTTGCTATTTCGTTTCTTGTTTCCTTCTGATTTGTATTTACTCTACTACTTAAATATTGCTAAGACCACATAGAACTAATACCGTTGCGAAAACCTATCTAATTCGTTGTATATTTCACAGCAACTATATCACCACGGCACCATCCTCTCTTCAAAAGAGAGTTCCCCCACCCAAGTTCCCCTTCAGTCTCCTCACCACCACATCCCCAATCCCAATAATACTAGTTATGATCATCCCCATGCACCCACCACTAAACAAACGATCAATGATCACCGACCGACCGAACGACCAAACGACCCGCCGGCCCGGCCCGCCGAGAATCACCCGTCTTGGCTCCGAGGTTTTATTATGTAATATCCATCCCCATCTTTGTTTCTCATTGTTGGAAGGGAAAGGATATGAATGAGGAGGGATGTGATCGTTTTTTTATGAAAGGTCGATGGTAGATGCTTGGTTGAGTGTCGGGGCAGCAGGTTGGTAAGTACGTGGATGTTGGATTGAATGGAAGGAAGGAAGGAAGGAAGGAAGGAAGGAAGGGAAGGGTATACTTAACGCTTCGACAGTGATAGAACCGTTGATGGGAAATTAGGAGGGTAGCTCTGAGAGAGAGAGAGAGAGAGAGAGAGAGAGAGAGAGAGAGAGAGAGAGAGAAATAAATTCAATATATACATATGTTGAATTTCTCCTGCATGTCATTCTGATGGTATAGTAAAACAAAATGAATGAAGGAGGCGATGTTGATCATGTAGTCTACTGTCGGAATCCAATGTGGAATGATGGGGTTGCTTTATGAGTAGTAGTCGGTGATTGGTATTTAGATCTGAATGTCTTGTAACCAAGAGTAACGGGCTACTTTGTGGCGATGCAATAGTTCTAGGTCATTGGATAAGTACTCTGTAGTGAGTAGGTGGTAGATAGGTATGCGCTGCGTAACTTGATCGAGTTGCGCACAGCACGACATTATGGATAGCTGTTTACAATGGAGGTATGATGGGTGCTCTTGTTTGAAGCACCACGCTGTTTAGAGTGGGATCAGGTGCTGTAGTGACGAGTGCACTCTGTACGATGGGTATATAGTAGACACCATGGAAGAAGAATGCATTCGTAGCTAGCTGAAACCCAAAAACCGAATATCCCTGCCCGGGCAATAATAAAAAAGAAAAAGAGAGAAGTAGGAACAAGAGGCGTGCAAGAGTACCGTACATTTAGAAAGGATCAGAAAGAATTTACCGGATCATGCCATTTGGATATCTCGCCCACGTATAGGTAATAGTGAACTCCGTAGTCAACTGTATGGAACAAGGTCAATTACTCTTCGGTAACTTCCTCCACTCGGGGTGCTAGATCGCGTTTCACGGCGCCCGAGGCATCCGATGCCGCTGTTGCTGTTGTGGTGGCGGATGGGGTGGAGTCGTTTGCTGTGGAGGTTGCAGGTTGAGATTCTTCGCCTGCTGCCTTCTTGGCCTTCTTCGACTTTTTCTTGTTCTGGGGCTGCGTTAGTTGTTGTCCTTGGAAAATGTCACGGCAGCTTACCTCTTGCCAGCCCCACAGGGGCTTGAAACTATCCACAAATCCAACGTCTTCGAACAGGTTCGGGAAGAGCCAGAGACCAGGGGGAACCGCAATGACAGTGACACAGAATAAGATCAGACGGAAAATCGACATAGCAAAGAACAGACCCAGCAATCCCATCATGCCCACACTCAGATACCACACACCCTGTCGCATGAACATCGGCCACAAGGGGAAGAGAACCACCGCAAAGATTCCGGCCACCACAGCCGCGGCCATGACCTTCTGCTTCCACTGCGGTCCCTCCCACAGCCAGACGTAGTGCATCATGGGGTCGGTTTCCTGATGCTGCTCAATGCGTACCGTCCACAGTCCCTTGACGCGAGTCTTGGACTTGCCGTGGTTGTGGCCCGCATGGGGATCAACCTTCGTCACGCGTAGAGCAAGGAGCGACAGGGGAAGAAGCTTGAAGACGTTCTCTGCAGATGCGCGGTCGGTGACGGGGGGAAGAAGGGAGTTCTTTTTGGCAGCCGCTTTGGCGTAGGCGGGGGATTCGAGGGCGCGGATGGCACGTTTCACTTGGATCAATCAGTCATAGTCCTAGCCAGTCGCCAGTACCAGTAAACATACCTTTGAACATTTCCTTTCGCTGACCGTCCATGATACAAGTCCGCGTCTTCAGGTTCTGCGACCGCAGAAACCCAGCAACAGCAAGCGCCTTCGGGTCGGGAGGGTTGTTCGGGTTCACCGGGACCTGACGAGTCATTTGCTGAGGCTGGGGTTGCGGAGCTGCTGGCAAGTTCTGTCCCGGTTGGGCTGGCGACTGAGGTGGTTGTCCTTGAGGCTGTGGTTGTCCTTGTAGCTGGGCCTGGGCCTGGGCCTGTGCTTGCGCTTGAGCTTGCCGTTGGGCCTCGACCTGTCTCTGGTGGGCTTGAAGGGCTCGCATTCTCAGTTGGGCGACGTATTGCTCGGTGGTCAAGCCGTGTTTGACAGCCTCAGCAGTCAGTTGTTCACGCTGCTGTTTGGCGAATTCCTCGGGGGTCATGCCGCGCCTGGCAGCTTCAGCGGCGAATTGCTGTTGCATGGCCGCAATCTGCTGGGGGGACGGCTGGCCGGGCGCCGCCATGGTGAAGGAGAGGGGGTGTGAAGACGCGGGTAAATCGGGGGGGGGGGAAAGAAGTGCAAGAGCGCACAGCGCAGTAACTCGCAAAAAGAAGGGGGGTGCAAAAATGGGGGGCGATGGATGAGATGGCAGGAAGTCAAGTTGGCGGGAGACAAAAAGGCCAGATGGTGTTCCGCCGCCAGGGTCCGTCCCGTGCTCCGTCACCGCCTTCTTCTCCGCACTCCTTTTTGCGCCGCTTCAGCCACCATGAATGATCATCTATGCATATTCCCTAGGCTGCCATAACTGTCCCTTCAGGCCTCTGAGACTGGTTTCTCAATCACCATCCCCGGTTCCTGGTCGGATGTAATTCGCGCGCTGATGTGCTGCCTGCCGCCCGCAGCTCCATGTCATTGACTTTCACCTCGGATGTATCCTTGAATGCAACGGAGGCAGCTGTCTTCCTCGTGAGTCGATGCTCCACCATCACTGCAGGAACCCCACCACTGACCCTCTCTAGAGTGAACGAGATGTAGCCGGCCAAATTCCCATTAACTTTGTCACTACGTCCGCCGTGTCACTCCGCGCAGCATGTTTTGGAGACAATGTCTTCGATCGGAACTCCGCGGGAAGATGCATCTCCGACTTATTGGTAATCGGATACCGTCGCTTTCTCGTCGATGTTTACTGGTCCCCTGACCAACGGGATTGGCTGTTTTGTCCGGTGTCATTCTCTCAAGATATTCCCGTTGTGACCGTCTCGTCGGCCTCGTCAGCCACATCTACTTCGACGACGGCAACCGCATCGACCAAAACCGCCCAGGCCACTGTCACCGCGGTAGCCAGCTCCTCGGGGTCCGTGCTATACGAGCTGGGCCCGTATCGCTGCTCGATGAATCTCAACCTCTCCGACCTAATCAACGTGTTTCATGATTTCTTCCAGACGTACACCTCGGAGCTGACCGTTTATACACGATACATTTCTCTTAACTTGCATGCGGCTGCCAGCGCGACGAGCCCTACCGAGCCAGCAGTATCGGTGACTGGATCGCAGCTCCCCACTGGTTCCGAGTTCATCAGCGCTCTCTTCGATGAGCGGCTGTCTTCCTACATATATATGCCGTCAGAGCTCGCTTACGAGCGCGCCAACCTGAACAAATCCTGGTTCGAGGTTGAAGACGACTACAAGCCTATCACCGAGTACTTTACCATTCAGGAAGACGCAAAAAAGGAGCAAAGTACTCCTGATGGCTGGCCATGCGGGAAATACCTCCAACTGGCGAAGGAGAAGCGCCTACTCATCGACTATGGGACCATCGATTCCCAAATGAAAGATTACAACCAATCCTACATGGGCGACGTGATCTTCCCGTCTGGCTATCTAACATCCACAATATCCGTATCCCTCGACGCCGACGGAAGCCTCGACACCGGCTGCTTCTACAACCCCGACGCGACCACCGTATCCCAAGTCAACAACTCCTGGGCACTATCCGACTACATCCCCATCCCATCCGGGCTCAGCCAAAACTCAACAATCGCCGCAATGACCACCGTCATCTCCAATCTAACCGCATGCGGTCTCACCCCAGCACTAAACAAAACCCTATTCAACCAAACCGCCGACACCGACATCCAACCCTACGACGAGATCTCCCTCTCCACCTCCTGGGCCTGGGGCATCGGCGAACCCGCCGACGCCGCCTCCTCCGACGACAACGGTTACGCATCAGTCGACCGCTGTGCCGTCATGGACCTCACCAAAACCGGCCAATGGCGCGCCGTCAACTGCACAGAATCACGGTACGCAGCCTGTCGCGTCGGAAACCTGCCCTTTACCTGGCAATTATCCACCTCCCCCAATACCTTCCGAGAATCCTATAATCACGGCTGTCCCGCGAACACCACCATGGCGATTCCCCGGACCGGGTTGGAAAACACCTACCTCCATCAGTACCTATTGACACGGACCGACGTTCTTGATCCGTCCTCCACGCTCGAGAGCCAGACGAACGTCTGGGTGGACCTCAACTCCATCGACGTGGAATCATGCTGGGTAACCGGTGGTCCGGACCATGGGTGTCCGTATGCGTCGGATCCGCAGCAGTTGGAAAGACGGACGGTGCTGGTTGCGGCGATTGCAGGGATTGTGATCTGCATTATTGCTGCTTTGACGTTGTTTGTCAAGTGTAATGCGAATCGCCGGAACTCGAGAAGGAATAAGCGGGTGATCAAGGGGTGGGAATATGAGGGTGTGCCGTCGTAATATAATTTTTATCTTTCTTTGTATGTATTAAATGTGAATATTGTTGTATATAGATTCTATTTTACTTTAAAAGACGTAAGCGGTGTATGAGAGGAGCAATGCAATCTCCGTTGTGGATGCTAAACTAACTATCTGTACTGTCTACAGTGGAAACAAGGGGGAGTATCACCAGTAAATCACATAAATCACATCAATCATTGTCAGAAATCCTCATGTCCAAGCCATATCCATGAAATTCATCAATCCAATCGAGGAAGCGTACATTCGTCTTTTTCTTGTATTGTTGTTCTTTTGGTGGTTTCCGCACGTTGATGCTATAGACCCGCAAAGCGTGCCCACCCAGCCGCGCGGATAGGTGTGGCGGCATTCTCGTTCTGCGGCTTGCTGACCTCAACTCGGCCCTCCTCGGCCACTTTGCCGCTAACGTCACGTCTTCTCCCTACTCCGAGTCCGGAAATGTAGTTTCCATATGACGATGACGAATTAGCATGGCTGGCATCGGCTCCTGAGTTACTAACGACGCGTCCCTTACGATCGCCGTCGATGGCAACGGAATCTGCATATGGGACGTTCAAGACGTTAAGGTCACCATCATCATGCTGCTTCAGTGCGCCGTAGGCGTTGAACTTCTGGCCCTTTCTGATCGTCATCTTGTTCTTCTTGGGCGAGAATTTCGACTCATCGCGGCTAGCCTTCCGAGGAGTATCAAGTGCCGGTGTGTTCGAGACTCCATAGAAACTTGCTTTCTTCCGTATGCTGTCAAGGAGTGGTTCTTCGGCAGGAGGTTTGGGCGAAAGGTTTGGAATGTCAGTGAGCACCATGCGGCCGTTGCTCGGGGTACGGTTTCGACTTTGGTCCACTCTGGGCTGAGGTGAAGGTGGATTCAGCGCCAAGGGATTAACCCGAAGCGAGTTCCGCGTATCTTCGTCGAGGTCCTCGTGATCCTGGAAGATATCGATCCGTTGATCGCCAAGATCCTGCCCAGCGTTATCGTAGAGTCCTTGGTACAGCATGTCATGCACATCATCGCTTCCATAGTATTCGTTCGCCGCGATCGACTCGTATTCTCCGTGCGCATTCTCAGTGATGGCTTCGCCAATATTCAATCCGTACCGCTGGGGACTAAGCCAATCCATAACACCACCCTTTGAAGAAGCTGGGGTTTCGGCCCGACTGTACACGGAGGAAGGGTCGCGAGGAGCTGGGTGCTCGTTCTGGGGCTCATCGACAGGTGTAGCAGTCCGTGATGGATACACAATCCAGTTATCTGAAGCTGGGCTCACGCATTGTGATCTGTTGGGAAGATCGGGGGACGGTTCACGCACTGGTGAGCCATAAGGGATTGAGGTAGTGGGTCTAGTAAAGATATCTGGGTTTTCTATAGGCGATGCGATTGTGATATCATCCGCAATATCGTTTGGTTGATGGAAGGGAAGATGTGGGATGGTCTGGATGCGCGATGGGCGGTGGAAGGAGGGCGCGTGTTGCGGCTGCGTTCTGTCGGTGACACCAGAGGGGAATCGGCTGTAATCGTTGTTAAAGGACGAATTGCTGCGGGTATCGATGAATGGCACGTTGCGAGGAACGCCGATCAGTGGGTCTTCGCTGGAAATGTTGTCTGAGCCCAAAGTGGACTGGCTGGCGTGCTTCTCAAGAATCTCAGACTTGGTCCGTTTGAGGGGACGGGCAGTCAAGTTGTCTTCTAGCGGATTCATGTCGGGGGGCAGTTTAGTGATTTTCCGGAATATGATACCCAAAAACAGGGATATTCCCAAGGAAATCGCATGCAATGCTCCATTGATTATACCCAGAAGAAATGTAGCCTCTGCAATCTTTGTTGTCACGTCAATATTGGTGCCCAGCATTGTAGTCCAGTCGTATGCATTGTCGGAGTATTGCCTGTAGCCCAAATAGGCTGCGAAGACGTAGAATGGGACCAAGCCGAGATCGAACGTTGCTGCAAATAGCATATAACTGGCCTGTGAGCCTGGAGGCCTAGTGATTGAGGAGCGGCTCAGGTTATATATGCCATAAAGAGTGTGTAGGATTGCGACGGCTGGCTTGAGGGGGTTAGAATTTGATCGAGATAACTTGAGGTCATATCACTTACGCCAACTCTGACGATCCAGATCACGGTTGCTGCGGCATTTTTAATCACGATAGAGCAGAACAACGAACCGAGAGCTCCGATAAGAGCGAGTACGCGCAGCCCGAGCTGCACCTTTCGTCCATAGACCACTCGACCCTTTGTTTTGGGACTCATTGGAGTCCATCGCGGCTTGCTATCTGTGATGTTTCCCTGCACATACAAACATTAGTGCGCAGAATCTGGGGCAGGCAGCTGCACACTACGTACTGAGTCAGAATGACTATTAAGGTCAACCAACGGCCCTTTCACCTCAGGCTTTGGCGCCGGCCGAGTCCAGCTCGCCTGGGTCACAGCCTTCGGGTTGAAAGGGATTTCGGGTTGACTGTAAAACCGAGTCGAAGACGGGTAGTCATAAAGGAATGGAGGGGAATTGTTGTTGCCCATGGTCGCTATGGAAGAAGCCCCAATCTAATATCGAAGGCTTGACCCACGCGATGAGCGGGGGAAAGGAATGTGCACAGACGAGTTAAGCTTAAAGAAAGAATGTCGGGTTAGACAAGTAGTTTGAAGGTGACAGAAACCACGGGGAGGAGAGGTACGAACCGTGGGACGGGCGGAGGAGGGTCAGGAAGAGATGGAGACAGGGCAGCAGCGATAGCAAGAGGAGCAGCAGCAGCACATGCACCACATCGTGCATCTGCCGGAGCAAGCCTCAGCTTGGGTTTCTCCAACCACGGGCTGATCGGAGGATCGTCAACACGCGATTGTCGGCGCGGCAACCACCCGATAAGCCAGTCACGTGGGCCCTCTTATGTCATCGCCGCTCGGAGTTAACCGTCTCTCCTCCGTCCGTCCAGTCCGAGCTGCCTCTTTCCTCCATCTCGTCGGCACCACCATGAATCTCCAACGCGCTCCCTATGTCTGCGCCAATTGCACAGCGCACATTGGTCGCGCGCCTGTGCGTTGCCTTTCGCGTCGGCTTCCCCTGCGACCAATTTGCCAGCCGCGCCAGTACAGCCAGGTGGTTCAAAATGATCGACCTTTCCGCGTTGCCGTGGTAGGGTCAGGCCCGGCAGGCTTCTACGCTGCATATCGACTACTCTCCAAGGTGGACCATGCCATGGTAGATATGTACGAGAAGCTTCCAGTGCCCTTTGGTCTCGCGCGGTATGGTGTAGCCCCCGACCACCCGGAAGTTAAGGTAACATCACCCTCTGGTGAGTCAAGCAACGGGCACTACAACTGACACCATGTGGTCTCCAGAACTGCGAAGACAAATTCACCGAAGTCGCTACATCTCCACGGTTTAATTTCATTGGCAACGTTGAACTAGGCGAAACCCTCCCCCTCAGCTCTCTCAAGCCCCACTACGATGCCATTCTCTTCGCATACGGTGCCCCGAAGGACAAAGAATTGGGAATTCCGGGCGAAAAGGCGACGCGCAATGTCTACTCCGCTCGAGAATTTGTCGGATGGTATAACGGCTTACCGGAACATCGCGATCTTGCCCCGGACTTGACCGCTGGTGAAAACGCAGTGGTCATCGGGCAGGGAAATGTGGCCCTGGACGTTGCTAGAATTCTACTGTCAGATGTTGATGCTCTGCGGAAGACGGACATCGCTGAATATGCTTTGGAGGAACTGGCGAAGAGCAAGATTAAACGTGTCCGGGTGGTTGGCCGCCGAGGGCCAATGCAGGTACGATCGGCTTCTTGCATTTGCTGTACCCATCATATGCTTACCTTCCTCCGGGAACCAGGCTGCATTCACCATCAAGGAACTCCGCGAACTGCTTCAATTGCCGTCGGTAGCATTTGACCCAGTACCCAAGGAACTCTTCCCTCCGGAAGACGTTATGTCTGCCCTCCCAAGAGCACAGAAACGGCTGATCCAGCTTCTTGCAAAAGGATCGGCCAATGACCCTACGACCTCTACCAAATCCTGGGCTCTGGACTTCCTTCTATCCCCAGAATGCCTTCACTGGTCTCCCGTTCATCCGTACCGTCTTTCCCACGTGAGGTTCGCGCGCAACGAGCTGGACCCTTCGGACCCATTCCTCGCTAGCGCCAAGGTCACGCCCAAGTACCTATCCAGCGGGAAACGGGCAGAGATCGACATTCCTGCAAACACTTTCTTCCGTAGTGTCGGCTACAAATCGCTACCATTGCCCGGCCTAGAGGATCTAGGTGTCCAGTTCGATGAACGACGCGGAGTGATCCCTAACGACGGCTTTGGAAGGATCACCACTCCCGTTAACACAGGTACTAACGAGCAGCTCCCTGACGGCTCCCTAATCTCTCATCTGCCAGGACTGTACTGCGCTGGCTGGGTCAAGCGCGGACCTACTGGCGTTATTGCCACAACCATGATGGATGCGTTTGCCACGGCCGATGCCATTGCTGCCGATCTAAGTAGTCAGGGAGACAAAGCATCTCTGCTGAACTCGCCCGGCTACAGCTCCGGACTCGGCTGGGAAGGCGTCCGTCCCGAAGCCGAAAAGCATGGTCTGCGGCCAACCTCATGGGAGGACTGGCAGCGTATCGATCGTGCCGAGCGAGAGCGTGGACAAGAGAAGGGAAAGGTTCGCGACAAGTTCGGTCGGGTAGCCGAGATGCTCGAAGTCTTGTCATGATACGATATAACGAGTGGTTTATATAGATCTGTACAGTAAATATAACTCTAGAATCTCTCCGTTCACACGTTAACGTTGTTTCATATTCAATTCAACTATGCTGATATATGTATGTATGTATGTATGTATGTCCCATGCTATCATGATATTAACAATTAAGGAGAGTATTTGCGCTGAGCATTCATCGTAAACCCGAAACCACAAGTATTGCCATTCCTCCTGCTTCAACCACCATTTATCCACGCCGATGTTCATCCCTGCCAAAGGCTATGGAAGTCGCTCAGTTGGTAAGGCAGAGGCTGGCGTCGGCCGGAGCGTAGGTCGCCGTGACGCGACCGTCAGCGACGGCCTGGCCATTAGTGAGCTTGTTCATGGCAGTCAGGCCGATGTTGAAGCCACCGGGGGCAGCATCAACGGCGGTGATGTAGACCGTGGTGCCTTCGTAGGTCAGAGCGTAGCACGCGCCGCAGTTGGGAGAGTTCCAGCCCGGAATGGTAGGAGAGCCGCCGATGTAGGGGAAGCCGGGGAGGGAGCCGAAAGTAGGGTAGCCCTTGGTGACCAGGCCGTTGTCACCGTCGGAGCAGGCGGTTGTGCTCAGGGAACCGCTGGCATCATCGTAAGCGGTGTCGTATGAGACAGAGACGGAGGTGCCGGTGGCCGAGTCAACGGGCACGCCAAGGGCCGAGGAGAAGAGGGCGATGAGAGAGAAAGCAACGGCAGAGGTCTTCATTGTGATAGATAGGTGAAGATGACTGTTGTATTGGGTAGTGTTTGTTCTTTGGTAGAGTGGTGGTATGGAGGATTGATGAGGACTGAATGAGGGGATATGTCGGGGCTTTCAGGCTACTTATATATGCCTCGTTTCCCTTCACGCTTCTCAAGTTTCTCCGTGAAGCTGCAGTAGCGGTGAATACGGCGATGAATGTTGTGGTGTCCGTCTATTTCCGGAGCCCTTGTCAATCGAAGCTGCCATGGCTCCATACGCTGGCATGGGCCTGGGAGGCCTGATGCTGTGAATAGCAACAGGGTCGTAGACGTCATGTCTGTTTACCAAACTAGGGCACTGACGGGTATAGATCTGCAAAGCATCAGCCCGGAGTGAGACAGTCCCCTCATCGGTGGCGGGCAACACTGCATCAATAGCAAGCGGAGAGACATGCGGGGGGCGCAGTGATCGCGGCTTAGAACATCGGAGCCAATAAGAAAGGTCTTGGGCCGGACCGTGAATGAGACATACAGCTTTAGAGGTCTTGTCTTCACTCTTCCGTCCGGCGTCTCCGGCTTAGATGAGGCGGGTGACTTGTCCTGCGCAGGTGGTCTGTTTATAGGCCAAGAACCTACTCCGTATTCATAGACCAGTCACTAAACTTGGACGCTTCCGGATCATGCAACAACCCGCCAAGCGATGCGGGTTGAGATCCGCATTTAGCCGACAAACAAGCAGCCTTCTTAGGCATCAGTGGGATGACCCTGGTTCACTGTGCTCAACATGTGTGGAGCGCAAGTCATAGCCCACGTCCGTGTTTGGAAGTTTACAGCATGAGCTCTGGCCGTGTAATGACTTTACTCCAAAGCAGGCCTTCTCCAACTACCAAAAGGGAAGGTTCACGAACAGCACGCCTTAAATAAGGCACTTGAATGCCAAGGCAAAGAGGCTCCCAGAAGGTCTGTCTAGCTTGGCTTTAAGAAGCAGCTCGCTGTCGATCAATCCTGCGGTATCCGAAATCGGAACCTGACTGGGTGAGCTTTCGGGTATGCTGAATATTTTGCATACACGGGATGCCTGATGCGTCTGGAAGGGGAAGAGACGACACACGTGCTGTTGGATGGGCGACTGTAGAGACTTCTAGAGTTCCAATATTCAACATGAAGTCCTCATGAGCTCAGCTTCGGCTACTGTTCAGCAACCCTCTTGCCGATGTGACACTGTCTCAGCGACGGTTGTATCCGTCGCGCCTCTTGGCCAAGGCCACAATCGGGCGAGAACTATCCGAACGGGCAAGTGGTCGGAAAACCCCCCAAAATGCCGAGGCCAATTTCAGTCAAAAAGCAGATCGTGGGTGGAGTGAATTGCGCGAACAATGTAGATCCTTGGCGACCATATAGCGCGACCCCATTGTTAGCTTATAAGTGCCAGGCCGGAACCGCGACGAATGCCGGAGACGGAAGGTAGATTGAAGTGGTTTAAAGATACTGAACCACTGACAAAGTCCCGTGGGCAGATGTATCTACCACAAATGAAAGAACCACGGTTCCGCTGCAGTAGTGGACAGAGCCCTTCGTTAGTGCCCAGGATAGCAGTTCCAGGCCAGCTCAATGGGCAAGTATGGTTTCACCGGATAGGGCGTTTCAATGCTGACTACTCCCCCGCTGTTTCCCTTGGTTCGAATCACTAGACCCTATTGAACATATTGGATCAGCGTTCGAGCGACGTGAAAACACCATGTTAAGCTTTCGGCCACTGTTACCAAATGCTCGGTCTCCCCTGAAGATCGTCGTGCAATAACGCGGGTGCAGGATGCAGGGCTTTTCTCCTTCCTCCCGGTCTTGACCTGAGCAGGTAGGCAGGGTAGTGATCTGGCGATAGATATCTCAAAATGTCCATGCTTCGAAGTCCATCATTGCGATAAGCTTTTAGGAGGGCGCAGGAGCTAGCACCATCGGCACCGGGGGGAGGAATGTGGAAGGGATAGAATTGCGATCTCATCAATGAACCATCCACCGGGAAGCTTTGGGAAAGCAAATGCCGTTGAGGCTCCCTCAGGCCTCAGGTGATCTCCCAATCTGGCAAGTCCTCAACTTCGCCCGCGCCTCTTCGACTTCATCTCTCGACTGGCGGGTCACCGCACTCATTGGCATTCGCCGTACCACAGATGTGGTCTATATGCATCCCAGAAGCACAACCCCTGTCTTCCCGTACAGGCAGGAATCCAAATCTTGCCCGTGGAATTGGTCCCAGCTCGCTGGATCTCGGTAACTTTCTTTCGACGCGCCGTCGCGCTAGGTCTGCTGTGTGCCACCTAAGCCCCTCCAAGCCCGTGGACGCGCTGCTGATCCGATACCCTTGGTTCTAGAAAGTCCAATCAGAAGCCAAGGATGCCCTAGGTAGTATAAGCTACGGTCCGGCGGCTTATTTCCGCCTAATCAAAGATCATGCTCCGGAGGAGATCACCTCCGTACGCGACACCAAAAGACACCGGAGACCCCTTGGCTTCGGTTGCTAAGATGCCGTGCAGATCACCTCCCGTTTGCTCCAGCGATTCTGCAAGAAGATATTTCCGCCCCTTAGCTTGATTGCAGCCAAACGTCCAGACTTTCGTCATTCCGAGGTGGCGAGTGCACTATACCGGGCCGAAGGAGACGCCTCTCAGTGTTCGGCTAGCACTACGCTTGCCTCATCCATTGGGCTGTCGTAGGCAAGTTTCGATTGCGTGTCGCCACATAGCATCTCCAACTCCATAACCATCAAGGAACTTGAGTGTAACGATCGATCCACAGAGCAGGAGGCTCTCAGTAACGATCTAAGTCCGATCATGGCCACCCCTATCCTTCCCAGACCATTGGCAGATCGGCAATTGCTCGCTAGTGCGGGAACGTTCGACCACTTTCTTGACTCATTGCTGGCGGCACAGCGGAGAATACCATGCCCCAGGAGTGGGGCTTGATGAAGAGACCGTGCAGACTATATCCCACTAAAATGCTCACTATGCGAGCTTCGGTCCCTTTGCTACACACGCTACTACGCACTAAAGCTGGCCCATCCTTATTCATTCGCATGCTCCAGAGATTATCTAGCGATCTGTGGCCCCTTACCAAATCTTTAAACTTTTTGTGGGAGAGGAAAATAAATGAATTTCGAGGACGGTGAAAAAAAACTACGCAAAGCTTTCATGGAGACGGGACCAAGCCCAGACCCAGACTTCCTGATCCATAGATTCTCATTTTCTGGTCCGCACACCGTGTTCCAGCTTCCACTCGGAGTATGATTTATTTAAAACACCACGCCTGTCACTCCTTCCCAAGCCTCGCTTTGACCCTTGGACTTCTCTCCCTTGAAACCCCAGTTCAAGGTGATGAACCATGTTTGCTCTACTACGACTGGCACACCTGATGACCGGCGATGGTGCTGGCAAAGGGCACCTCGCTGGTCGCTCAATGACGGAACCAGTCGAGGGGAGTGATAAAACCGGGTTCATTGCCATGGGTGTGATTGCACTCTTTTCGTTCATTGCGGCCTTTGGCCTTTTGTCTTTCCTTACCTACCGCATGATTTTCTGGCGACGATACTATAAACGGCCTCTGTCTGACAACCAATACGTCGTCCTGATTTACAACCTCCTGATTGTCGATATTCAACAAGCAACAGCGTTCCTGATATGTCTCCACTGGCTTGCCAAGGGCCATGTTTACTATCCGAGTGCACCCTGTGTCCTTCAAGGGTGGTGGATCCAAACGGGTGATCCTGGAAGTGGTTTGTTTGTGTTGGCGATTGCACTTCACACGGGTGCCGTCGTCCTACGAGGACGACAACTCCCGTACCCGCTTTTTGTGGCTAGTGTTGTTGGATTGTGGCTCTTCATTATCATCCTGGGATTGGTCCCCGTGGGGATGTTTGGTTCGGAGACCTTTGTGATCTCTGAGGCCGGCTGGGTAAGTGATCAAGGGTATCAAAACATACGACGTTGCTAATTTTATCCCTTCATGCAGTGCTGGATCGGACCGAATCATGAGACCGAACGTCTTTATGTACACTATCTCTGGATTTTCCTTGCCGAATTTGGCACCGTCGTTCTCTACGGTGTCATGTTCTTCTACCTGCGACGCCGAATGAAGCAGGCCGCCACGCTCCGACAAAACCACCAAGAGAACCTGAAGCGATTGAACCGGGTCGTCATTTACATGGTTATCTACCCGCTTGTATATCTGGTACTTTCTCTTCCGCTGGCGGCCGGTCGAATGTCAACGGCTCGACATGTTATCCCGAGTCGAGCGTATTTCGCAGTGGCCGGATCGCTGATGGCGCTGTCTGGATTCGTGGATGTGCTGGTGTACACGCTTACCCGCCGCCACTTGCTGCTGGAGACCGAGCTCAGCACTACGGATCAGATGTATGCCTACACGGAGTCTCAGGCATACCAAACACACATCACTACGGGCGATGGCAAGAAGATGCGCGTCAAATCCCGGTTCCGACGAAACCACGGCATGCAGACGATCGACGACACGGTCAACGACAACCGCGACTCCTCCACCGAAGACATTGTGCGCAAGACGGACATGGAGCTGGCGGAGCTGGGCCATGGCGTGTACCAGGAGACGACGATTGAGATTTCGCACGAGCCAGCGGATCCGGAAGAGTTTCAGAAGAGGGGACGAGTGAGCGGATGATGTGGATGTGGAGATGCAGCCTGGAGCCGATGGGAGATGGCTGGCCAATCATTACACCTTTTTTACTTTCATTCTGTTTCCTATATTGCAACGATCCCTATCACGAGAGACCCCCATGATAACATACTCAGTACATACCTACTATACTAATGCAATAATTTTTAATTCAACATCACTAAATGGTGAAAGCCCCCTGATGGATGACACCTCCAGCTCGCTACAAATTCAGTCTGCTTTATCAGATTCGGGTTAGAATCCAACTGTCCCCGAACCGACGGTGTAGCATCCATCCATCATCCCCCACCCAATACGAAGCGTCTGTAAAAAAACGCCACCTACCCAATCACCACCCCCAGCCAGCCTGCTGCATCACGATCGGCATAACCACCCCACTTAGATCGAAGCTTGAGCAATCCGGTTGGGTTCCACAGCATCGGATCGCGCAGTTTAGGTTTGCATGGTTCGACGCTTTGCTACCTGATTCGTTGCTTTCTCGTCCGAGTACCTCATCCTTACCGGATTCAGCCTAGCCTTCGGCCCCAGGTCCGCTTTTCCCGACTTACCTGATGGAGCAATTTCTCTTTCGGTCTTAGAAAGTGCGAGGGGGTTAGATAGGGGAACCCAACCGACCTTCTCCGTAGAGTTATGATACACGGCTGTTGAACTCTGGGTCAGGTGTAGGAACTTGCCGCTCCGTACCAGACTCGCTGCGTGGTTGGTAGTAAGCTGGCGTGGCATATGGTTTAAAGCCCGACTCGACCCTGAAAATCAGAACATTGAACTTTATTATTACGGTTTATGTTTTGGTTCTGGGTTTGGATTTGGGGCTAGAATTTCCATGCAGCTGAAGTCGCACACTAGCGGTTGGACTATGGACTTTTGAATTTAGTTTAGTTTTCTCGGGGTTGAGATGTGGGATGGATGTCGACGTTGAGTGCGCATGTGGCCATGTGCATGTGCATAGGCACGTGTTTTTCGCCACTGCGGTAACTTTCCCCATTCGGGGTAGGATGTTTCTATACAGTAAACCAAACTTTGTCTCCTCTGTGTATCCCTCCATCAATTCCCAACCCTCTCGCTAAACATCTATACGAACATTCCCTCTAAAAGAAATCGCACGTCTAACCCCCCCAAGAAATAATAAGCGACTACGACCTAGTCAGTAGTCACCTAATATACGAATCCCCACTACGTCGTCGGTCCGTCGTATAAATCCTCCCGCCATGTCCACTTCAATCTACCTAATACAAGCCACCGCCCACCGCTCGCCCACTTCCCTAGCCGAACCGACCCTAGCCTGTATTAGTATCTAGACAAGCACTAATGAGTGATGACTGATGAGTAATGACATTTAGTCGTGCTCTAGCTACGGAGTAGTCTAGTCTAGTCTAATTGTTGCTCCGGCTCCGGCTCCGCTGGTCCGGTGTGGATGCAGGATTGGTGGTGGTTTAGCGCTAGGATGGATGGGTGGATGGATATCCCGAAGATCCCGAGTTTGGTGGTGGATGCCGATGATGGATGGATGGTAATTGTTTCTAATGGGGTCGGACAACTGGGGGTTGAGGGGATGGTTATTGGGGACTTGGTTGCACTTGGTTGATGTTAAGAGAAGCTTCTCTCTGTCTCTGTCTCTGTCACTTACACACCCCCTCTCTCTCCGTGTGTGGAATGGAAATAGGCACCTACTCACTCAAGCAATAATCTGACTGATGAAAGAAATATCCGGTGTAGATTACCTCCTCTTGGCACTGGTCAACCATCATCAAAACGAATGCGACATCGGTTTTTCTGGCTAGAGATACTCCTAAGTTGTATAGAATAGCACAAGCTCATCAAAGTAGAATAACGTAACACTCAAGGCAGCAGGACATTTCCTTCCACTTATAGATGGCGTTCATTCCAGCAGGATGATTTGATTCCTAGAATTGGACATGCATGCTGTTTCTTCGATGTAATAAGACCGAGGATCCGAATTCAACGACTGCACAGTCTTAGTCTATAACAGTAATCAAGGATAGGGTATACACATATGTATCATTTTCTCACCAGTGATTTGCTGCTGCTGGAAGCATTAATCTCGTCTTTCAGTGATATCTTCTGATAGGAGTACCTTTATTTGGCGTTCTTTGCTGACTTCGGCAACCTATGAATGAAGTCTGCAAGGAATTATGAGTTGTGATGAGTAATTAAGCATCCTTGGTGACAATGAATTGTGAAGCAACTGTTTTAGGTAGATATTATATATAGTATCAAAAGACAAATGACCGAGATTGCCTAGTAAAAGGCACAACTGACTGCTAAAACCAATCCTTAGCACCAATGACGAAACAACCACAAACACCATCTATATACTAAGTCTATCCACTGGCTACATTCCCCTCCAATGGCAAATATTCGGGTAATTGAAATAACCCCAGCAGCAATGACACCACATATCTGAAACAACCGGGTACCGAAGCTCCACCCTCTCCCCGCCATCAGCATGACATGTCTTTCATGAATCCACCGATATATTAACTACAGAGTAGTGTGTATTTGGTACGGAGTAAGTCATATGCGGTGGGTTGGAGGCTTGGAGCCAGAATGTCTCAAACAGAACAGTTGATAATTAATACCTATGTGGAGTGTGGACCGGAGACAAAAGTACTGTCCGACTAACGCCAGAGGAACGGTATCCCCGACGCTACCGAAATAGAGGCAAAAGGCCAAGGTATGTAATGATCTATTGATAGTGTGCGGAGTAATGACTTATGGAATAGTGTGTGATAGTGCTGCCTTGTTTTGGGTGGCGAGCTATTGCAGAAATGGGTAGGGTTCGGAGACTAGTAGCTGGATAGGAACAGGTTCGTCGCTGACAGGAAACGGCTGACCCTGTTGAATGCCTAGTCTGGTTCAGTAGGTGACGGTAATGTTGGTGGCTTGGTTGGTGAACTTGATACATAAATCCGTCCAGGTTCTGCTTTTACGTGGGTGAGCAGATGGACTCGGGAACCAACAGCAGTCGATACCGTTGGATAATTGCTTTTTTTTTGCCCCTTTAATAATGTACAGAGTACTCCGTACAGAGGCTCCTTTCTGCCATCAGAGGACCGACAGGGGGCTCAAGACAAACACTACCGTCAGACAATGCTAGCCTAGATAGGAAAATGCAAGGTTATCGGTAATGAACATTGACTAGCTTTAGTCTAGCTAACGTTGAGATCCTCGCACCAAATGTCCGTCACATTAAGGTATGTCTTGCAGCATGTATCTGATTGCTGATCCTGTTGTAACGGTCGGTTGATCGATCGCGACGATCAAGGAGAAGTAGTTAGTACAAAGAGAAGATTTGTCGCTGACTAGAATTATAGCCAGACATTGGCAAACGCAAGATGGATGTCCGATGTAATGGTTGAATAGGTATTTAGCTGATTATTGATCATTAAGGCACAACAGACCTAAGGAGATTCCTCATAAAGTGACAGCATTATTAAAGATCCAGGACCTTGCAGCAGATATTGAGATTGAAAGGCCACCGCCGACCTGTTTTGCCCCTCAAGCGTGCTCCGACGGAGATGGACCTCCATCCTTGGGTTTGGATTGAACATCCTTTGGTTCGGATGGAACGGGCCGACGTTTGATCTCCTTGGGCAGCTGGTCCCTAGTCTTCTGTTCAACCTCAGCATGCATCGCCTCCTCGCCCGTTGCCTCCCCGCTTTCCAAAACGCGGCGCGCCGACTCGTTCCCTTCAACCCCTGCACGACGCTCGTTCTGGATCCGCTCTTGCTCCTGCTTCTTGTCTTTGACGGCCAACGCTGCCTCCTCCCGAGCCACCTCCCGAGCATCAATACTTTGCAGGCCAACCAGACCCAAAATCCGTCCGATCAGGAACTGGTAGCGCAGGTGGCCGCTGACAATATCGCTGACATCCAGGTTCTCGACGCCAGCCACGCCTTGAACAGGCTGCAAACCTGCAACACCGAGCTGCAGACTGCTGGTTCGGTAAAGCAAAGCGAGAACGGCATCATTCTCCGAGTACACGTTGATCAGCCGGCCGCTAACAACGCTCCGTAGACGACGCCAGTGAGGCGCATTGGATGGAGTAGGTGATCCCATCAAAATTGCTGATTCCACTAAGCCGTATGCACCCCGCTTTGCCAAACTCTGGAGACAGGAAAAGATGAGGCGAGAGCCCATCGAGTAGCCCACCAGAGTGACGGACCGCTCACCCTGAACCTTGCTAATTAGTGCATCTGCAAGTACCTCACCAGCTTTATCTGCGCGGGCTTTGGCGATACTGAACGGGTTATCAGCCACACGGGCAACTTTGAGAAGACCAAGAGGCAGCATCACAGCGCTCATGATTTGCGCGAAGATGGTGCGGGACAGAACCTGACCACCTGCCGCCCACGCAGCGCTTGTGACCAGAAGATTCATGGCATTTCCGAGTTTCATCAAAGGCTTTGTTTCCCAGCGCAGACCGAATACCTCGGTATCGGCGTCGATAACCCGCCACGGAACGACAAAATTATCCTCTTCGGTCACCCAGCCCGTGATGCCTATGGTGACTCGCAGCATATGATCATTCTGGGCAGCTTCCCTTTCATCCTCAGACCTCTGTTGAGAGCCGCGGATGGGCAGAAAAGCAAAGTCATCCACCTCACGGGCGTACTTGTCGACCATTCGTCCAGTCATCCGGCCACCATAGGCACCAAAGAGACCGCCAACGATGACTCCGCTGCCTGCAAGAGCACCTAGATATCCTGCAGCAGCGGTGGCACCGAGGCCAATACCTCCTAGGACAGTTCCAAGCCCAGCCGCAACCAGAGGCGCGGCAAGTCCGCCGGTAATGCCAATCAGTACAGCTCCTGCAACAGAGGCTGCCCCAACCTTCCACTTCCTGGAAGAGTCACGTTTTCTCCCGTGGCCTTCTTCTTCTTCAGCACTTGCGAGCTGAAGAGCCGTGTCAAGCAGCCCACGCGCAACCTTGGTTTCATCACCGTTGAGGATGGTGATATCAAGGTTCAGGCTGGAAGATACATATAACATGAGGACTCGTGAGCGAGCATTGTAGTGCTCGAGACTAAGCATCAGAAGAAGCAGCGAGTGGAGAATCAGAAGCCTTTTAGCCTTAGGTAGCTGGGCAAGAGGTGTCTCCACAGGCGGGTACACCTCACAAAGCTTCTTTAACGAACCCTGATCCTCATCGACTTGTGGCTCCTGCAACTGTTGAGGTGCATCACTGGGCTCCTCATCACTCTCGTTATCTTTATTCACAACTTCGCCGATCCTCAGCAGCACCGTGTCTCTCCAATCATCGAAGCTGGCAAGGGCCTTGGCCTCGGACTTGAGATCTTGCGCAGTAGGTTGATAATCGGATTGACTGGCCAGAACTGCAGTCTCCTCTTTCTGTGCATCTGACGGAGTAGACAAGGGATCAGTGTCGTCTTGCTCGCGTTCTGACTGGTCACGTGAGGCTTGGTTCTCCTTCGAAACAGGACCATGGAAGTTCTGCACGATTGCATCTCGCATGTGCTGCGTGATTTCCGCGACAAGCACCGTCAAATCGGCCCGCTGGGGGCGATCCAAGATGGTGGTCAAGTCTTGGTCACGGTCGCTCTTCGGAGGAGCAGGCGAGGGCCCCGAGCCGAACTTGCTGGCATGCTTTTCCTTGAATGACTTCCACATGAATGCGGGTGGCCCCAACGTCACTTCCAGATCGGATTATTTTGTCTAGCTTTTCAACCTCGACTATAGAGGGTTCGTAGAGGACGGTCCAGAGTTGCAAAGAGAAAAGGAGGTGTCGGTTTCAGCATTAGCAATGAGATCATGGATGACTCAGCGCCCAGGCCTCAGGCGTGCAATGTTGTACAATCCAGGTACCTGTCGACGGAAACCAACGGTGCCAGCCCTCCTGACTTGATCAATGAGCCATTCACTGGATGCTTAATTTCCCGTCTCGACAACAAAGAACTTCCCCTTGGTTTTGGACGCATAGGCAAGCGCGTTTCCATCCCAAATATCCCCATCCGGCCGGTCATTCCTCGGACCCTCGACTCGCTGGATCCTCTTGTTGCGTCCGACCACTCTCTCCTTAGACAAAGCTTCTCTAAGCTGTTCTAGTCCAATTGTATTCTCCTTCACCGCTTCCGGAGTTTCATCCCGGATGCTCTGTAGGGGCTCGACGCCGGTGGCATCGACGCTCTGGATCTGTTTCACGAAATGGATTTGGGATTCGAGAGTCTCGAGCATCTTCTTCTCTTCCTCCTCGTTTGCGGGTTGCGGGAGAGCTGACAGACGGAGCAGATGGCGAAGTTGCGTCGGGGTCACTGACAGAGTAGATGTCTTTGCGGAATCGTCAGGGAGCAATGAGCGGACAGACCACGTAGGCTTCGCCAGCATGGCGTCGATGTCTGCGTCATCTGATGGAGAAGAGTACGATCGCCGGGCGTTGAATCGTAATGGTTGACGACGGATCAACCCCGACAGTCGAGAGGAGCCAGTGCGAAGGAACATGGTTGATAAAGTGTAGCAGGCGCAGACAATCAGTACAGCCGCTGAGCAATTGAACAATGAACAATTGGTTTCTTTTCGGACACCTCTTAAAGTTATGCGATAGTATGCAAAGGACGGGCACGGCGAGAAGAAAAGATAGCGGCGCGACATCCAATGGGCAGGGCGAAAAGTGGCCACCGCCTACGATGACGGGCCGGCGGGGGGAGCTGCAGTGGCCATGCTGCGAGGCTGCCCAGTGCTAGGTAGATCGTCCTGCATCGGCTCTCCTCATCTTCCAAACAACCCCCACTTGGCTTTGCCCGCAAGTTGACCTCAAGCGTCACTCTCCTCCTTACCTGCTGGGCCCGACATCCTCTTCACAAGATGGCCCAAGATCCCCGAGTCCTGCTCCAACGAGTAACCCCCCCCCCGCCCCGCTGCACATCGTCACTATGCTAGAAGCACGACGATCGCTAATCTCCATGACGCACCCTAGGCCGACAAGGCGCTCAGCAGCGCATCCGGTGGCTTCAGCTTCTTTGGTGGAAAGACAGAGAAGTACGAGAACGCCGCGGATCTGTACACACAAGCTGCGAACGCCTTCCGAGTGCAGAAACAGAGTAAGCCGAGCACTCGCCCTGCTTTCTCCAGCCCCTGGTCTCTAACCTACTTCCAAACGATCAGACAAAGAAGCCGGTCTCGCCTTCGAGAAGGCCGCCTCTATCCAAACCCAGAACCTCAACGAACCCGACGATGCAGCCAACACCCTGACCGAAGCCTTCAAGGTCTACCGCAAATCCGATCCCGAGGACGCTGCTCGCGTGCTCTCCAGCGCTATTCAACACTACGTCCTGAAGGGTAATCTCCGTCGCGCTGCCACGCAACAGCAACATCTTGCCGAGGTGTACGAGGTGGAACTGGGAGATACCAAGAAGGCGCTGGAAGCCTATGAGAAAGCGGCGGAGTGGTTTGACGGGGACAATGCTGAAGCGTATGTCGCATCCTTCATTGTCTATAAGCAGGGCTAACTCTGGATGGTTCAGTCTTGCCAACAAGCATTACCTCAAAGCGGCCGACCTGGCCGCTCTTGAGGGCGACTACTACAAGGCCATCGAGCACTACGAGCGGATCGGCCGTGCATCGATCAACAACAACCTGATGAAGTGGTCCGTCAAGGATTACTTCCTCAAGGCTGGTATCTGCCACCTGGCGACGAATGTATGCTCAACATGCTATGCTCTATTTTCATAATTCTAACCCATCCCAGGACCTGGTCGCTAGCAACCGCGCCCTCGAAAACTACCGCGACATCGACACCACCTTTGCCTCAACAAGAGAGCACCAGCTCCTCATTGACCTCGTCCAGACCATCGAAGCCGGCGACCAGGAAGCCTTCGCCGATAAGCTCTTCCAATTCGACCAACTCAGCAAGCTGGACAAGTGGAAGACGACTCTTCTGTTGCGGATCAAGAACAATATCGAAGAGCAGGGAGAGGACTTTTCTTAGATCTATTTAATCCATTGCAATCCATTCCTATTCCTGCATGTTCTTGGATCTGATAAACTCCTACCTGGCAGAGTGACTTTTTGCTTCTGCTATTTTCTTTTTGATTTGGCTGGTTCCATAGTAGATGGATGCTGTCATGATTTTCGTGTCTCGCTGTCACATAATGCGGTTTACTCCTTCGTGCGAAGATTTACCTATCTGTCTGCCCTGCACTATTATCCCAACTGTTTCATTTACAACGCACTAGGTTGTACGCATAGGTGCATATGTGACCCTACTATCATCAAAGTCCGTGAATGAACAAAAGTATCATCCTGGCGATGTACTCAGACCAATAACGCGTAACATGAGGAAACTAATAAAAACGGATGGAATCGTAACTGACTAGTTTTGCTGCTAGTTCCAAGTGCGGCCGCCTTTCGGAAGGTAGCATGTGAGGACTCTGTACGCCATATATATACTCTGTCATATCACTTCACATTCACCAGCCTCTTGGTGCGCACGTACTGCCGGTTCAGAAACGCTTACTCCCGGAAATTTTCTGAGCAAGTCTGGAGTACTAAGCAACTTTGATGATGGATATAATCTACAGAGAAATACAAGAGCAACGTGAACACGAAGAATTTTCCTAAGCACACGCAAAAGACGTTGCGTTTCTCGAATCCCCCCCAACATACACCTGCCTCAACGGATAGGGACAAAGATCTCTCGCCGTCTCATTGTACCCCTTCGTAGCATGCAACACGGCAGGAGCATTCCCATTCTCCACCCAATCCATAAGTTGCGACATGGCACTATTCGGAACCGGTCCGAGGCCCCCATAGCAATGCCCCACGCCGGGTGCTTCAAAGAAGCGGATGAAGTCGTGGGCGTGGGGATCGCCCTTTAACACTTCCTGATAGTAGGAGATGGTTCCGTTGGGGGGGATGACTTCGTCGGCTAGGCCGTGCCAGGCGATGAGTTTGCCGCCGGCGGATTTGAAGGGGGTGAGGTTTGGGTCTGTGGTGCCGAGGATGGATGTGTAGGCTGCGATGGTGGAGTGCATGGCATGGAAGAATTGGGGTTGGGTCATGTTGGTGAGGTTGAAGGTGGGGTCTTGGGCGACGAGGTATTTGATCCAGGTGCCGAAGAGGTCGCTTCCGGTTGACGTGCAGGTGAAGTTGGTGGAGCATGTCGTGGGGATGTAGTAGCTGCTGATATCTGCGTCCTTGTTGACGCCGTACCAGCCGTATTGTTCGGAGATGGAGCGGGAGCCTGACCACGCAGCGTCGATGACCTTTGCGCTGGAGGGAGTGAAGGTCCGTTGGGTCCCGTTGCAGGTATAGTTCTTTCCAATGAAGTCGGATGCCTTGATGGAGCAGCGGGCTGGGAGGCTGATGATGCCATCTTCCACTCCATCGAGCCGATCACAGGCCTTTCCTGCTGCTTCTGTGAAGGCATGGACCTCACAGGGCGATGGGTAGACATCGGTGTCGTGCATGACTTGAGAGGGCCAGTAGCCGGCAGGAATGAAGGTCTGGATATTGATGGCCGGCGCAACCGCTAGGATCCCATCGAAGACGTCCGGGTACTGTTGTGCCATCATGAGGGCTTGTCGGCCACCACCCGAGCATCCGGCGAAGTAGGAATACTTGGGGGCGGTGTTGTAGTACGATTTGGTGATCTGCTGGCCGATCACGGCCATGTCGTTTGTGGCCTTCGTGGCGTAGTTGTTGAGGAGGGGCCAGTTCACATTGCCCTTGCTGCTCAGAGCCCATGACAGGTCGGTAGGAATGGTGGACGAGCTATCGCTCGTGGTCAGCCCGCCATCGGTGGAGGCCGAGGCGAATCCCTGTGCCACGGCGTATGTCAGGTAGGTGGCGCCAAAGCCGGTGCTGTAGCCTCCACCCCCGAGGCCTTGGAACCTGCCATTCCATCCTTCCAGCGGGAGCCAGATTTGAGTATGGATTCGGTCATTCCAGCCCGGATGGGTGTGAGTGACTGTGACATTGCAGAAGCTGATGGTGTAGTGACCGCCGTCATTGGTTCCGGGGCCAAGGCTGACGGCGGAATAGTTGTGAGCTTCGTGGGCTTGAATGTCGAGGATTGAAGCTCCAGGCAAGTCGGGCTTTTCGATGCTGGCTGGGGAGCATCGAGAAGCGGACGCTATGTCAATCAGGAGCGCGCTCAGGGAGAGCAGAGTGCGGGGGAAGGCCACCATGTTGATTTGCAGGTGACAGTGGATGATATGCTGAAGATTTCCAGTGCATTTCCAGTGGGTTGGATCAATGTATTATATGTAGATGTGACAGTACGACGGAGTATACGGGATCTTCTATACGCGTATTCGTACTCGCAGATGGTCGTTGCCGAACCTCGGAAACGATCGCCACGGGACGTTTGGTGGGTAAGTTCGGAATGTCCGATTTTCTATACGCGTATTTGATCCGGGTGATCTTCCTACTCTTTACTTGTGGTCTCTTATTGTTGGTACCCCTTGGAACTATATTGATTGGACCTAGGGCTCAGTCGCTCGATTGTCTCCACTTGTTCTATAAATAATTCAGTTCATTAGACTCCCGAGGATGATCAGAGACCTCTTCAAGATCTATCATATACTAGGGTGCTGAAGGACGAAGTCTTTCTTGACAGTAGGTCTTGATGATTCAACAGTGCGAAGAAGCTCGATGTTGTTTAATCCTCCAAGCTAAGGGATTCATTCAATCACCAAGATCACGCACTCTCGTGCTAGGTGAGCCAAGGAAAAGAAAGGCTAGACTGCAGCAACTATCAAATCAATTTACTCCTATGTATCCTCTAAATTAGCAACATGATCCAGTGTAACGATTCATCAATTCATGCGAAGCGACTTTTGTGGTATCATAAGTATGAAGGAAGTATGTATCTATATCGGCCGTTCCTGCAGCGAACATGCATGCGAAATCCAACGGCGTCTCCAAGCAGAACACATCACGACCCCAACGATCTTCGCTAGTAGACCACGTCCTCCAGGGCGCGAGCCTTGCGAGGGAAGACGCGCTTGTACAAGCTGATACCGATGGAGTCTTGCGGGTTGATCTTAGCGTCGAAGGTGGCCTTGAAGTAACCGTGTGTACCGAGGGATTCCTTGATGTATCCGCTGCGGCCGCGTCGGGTCCAGAGCTGGAGTGCCTTGAACCATTGGATGTCCTCGGCGTTGAAGAACATGTAGCGCACGGTGACCACGCGCTTGTGGATCTTGTAGGGGTGACCGGTGAGAATGGCGCGCTTGGCGACAACGCGGGACTGGTCTGGGGCAACGACGGTACCGTTTCCAATGAGCTCGAGCTGGTCGAAGCTGGGCTCCTCGTCGGCGGGGTCGAGAACCTCGGGGTCCTGGACCGACTTGTTCTTGAAGACCAGAACGGGAACGGAACCCCAGGTGAGGGGACCGATCCAGGAGGCGACGGCACTGCGACCGGGGTGGAGGAAGCGGTCGAACTTGTGCACGTTGTTCGGCGTGTTGTCGCCGGCGGAGAAGATGGGGTTGACGACAAGACGACGGGGTCCGCACTGGACGACGAGCTGCTCCTTGGACTTCAAGGGCTCCTCGACGTTGGAGTTCAGGTGCATGTTGATGTTGACAACAGTGTGCTTGTGCTCATGACGGAGCAGCGAGAAGAGGGACACGGGCTGCGGCCGGCTGCGGAGCTTGGTGGGCACTGCGCGCAGATGAACATCGACGCGCACACCCGGGTTGACACCTCCCACGAGGGCCTCGCGGAGGAACTTGTTCCTGGATCCCTTGTAGTCGGCGAATTGGAGCAGGCGGCGCCAATCTTCCGGCTCGTGGGCACGATCCTCTGACGTCTCCCACGGGCTGGTCTTGAAGCTCTTCAGACCTCTGAAACGGGCCAGACGCTCCCGAGCGAGAACGTTGGGGTGAAGTTCAATTTCGTCAGGGAACTCCAAATCTTCGTTCGCCTCCTTTCTGCGGCTCGCACGGAATTCCTCCAAGTCTTTGGCGTCGTCTTCGGGCGACTGGTCCACGAACATTTCTGACTGGGGGTACTCCGACGGGCCACCCTCTGTCATGGCATCTCTGTTGTCGGGGAAGACACCATCTTCAGGTGCTCCCGTAGTATCCATCTCCATCACTTCGTCCTCTTCGTCCTCCATGTCAGAGCCGGAGTCGGACACGTCGTCCAAGAACCAGGCAGACTGGTACTCGGAGGTACCCTTCGGAAGCTTCTTGGGTTTGGCGGGGATGTGGGATTCGTCGTCGGAGAAGTAGTGATGGTCGTCCAAAAGAACACCCTTGCGCTCTTCTTCGACAACAGGGAAGTCGTCATCCTCCATTTCAATCTCCTCGGGAGCGATGATGGCGATATCATCGCAATCCGCGGTGGGTGTATCCAGGAGCTGCATAGTCTCAGTCTCATCGACATTCATGGCATCGTCACGCTTAGGGCGGGCAGTGGCAAGAGGTGCTGCGGTAATCGAACCAATCTGGAAGTCACCCCAGCCAGGGATGTGGACCAGACGGTCTGCCTTCAGGCCCTTTCCACGGACAACACCAGTGACAACAACGTCGTCCACCACCTCCGCGCTGCTTTCCGGCCACTGAACATTTTCGACAAGCATCCAGCTCCGCTCGTCACGCCAGCGGATGCCCTTGGGTGTTGCTGTGCAGAGAGAGCGGATGGCGTTGGAGCACTCCTGGCGAGAGTCCACCGAGAGGACCTTTTCAACAGATGGGAAGAAGTGGTTCGCGAAAGACTTGAGGGAAGCGGCCACTTGCGGGCGTTTCTTGGCCGGGTTGATTTGGTCCAGACCCTACCAAGTTCCAGTCAGTACGAAACGCAACCATCGCAAACACCGAAGATTGAACCCACCTGAACCACGGCAATGACGTTCGAGATACCCTGACCCTCAATCGATCTGAGCAGCAACTCTCCTTGTTCCTCCACTTCGACCTGGGCGGAGAGCGCCAGAACCACGAAATCCGCCATCCGGCACACATCCATTGCGTTCATCAAGTCATACTTCGCCGGAATGTACTGCAAGGTCTGTCGGAAGCGGTCGACGCGCACCCGGGTGGCGGCATCGGGCGAGATCTCGGCGGAAACATCGACACTCTCGTTCAGGGCCTTGATGATGGCGGCCACATCGATATCGACGGAAAGCGGCACAACGGCCACATGACGCGGGGCACCATTCTGGCCGGTAAAGATGCTGACCGACTGGGCCTTCTCCTGGTGCTTCAATTGCTGCTTCTGGCGAGCCTGGTTTCTGCGATCGAGTTTGGACTTGAGCTGTTGGTGAGGGGTCTTGCGGGTGCCCCGCTCTTGTCTTTCGACTTTGCCTGGAAGATGTCAGTCCTGCTTCTGTTTCTGCATAATATCGACACCGGAAAATATGCCCTAGCGCACATACCCTTAGCCTTGTCCTTCAGCGCGCTCTTGGTGGCATGACGGGTCTTGTAGGGCTTGTTGGAGGATTTGGTGGTGGATCGGTGGTGATGCTGCACCGTCGGGGTGGGCGCCATGTTGGCACCGCTGGACCCTTTGAAGCGGAAGGGAAGAGAGGCCAGGATGGATGATAGAAAGTCGATAAAAGGCAAGACACCCGATACCGGTAATCACAGCAAAAAAGTGGCCTCCCAGAGGGATCTGGACTTGATATCGCCGGCGGCGGGTTGAGAGGAAAAAATTAGGCGGTGGAGGAACAAGCGAGGAAGCAAAGCCGCTCGGCACGGATTTTCGTCGTTTGACCCGCAGAAAAAGCTGCGGATGAGCCTCCGTTCTACCTCCATTTCACCCCCAAGGTCCACCACCTGACTGTGCTTGGGAATTTCTCCGAATTGCTTATCAGTCAGCTCGTCGCCTCCGATTTCTACTCGTCTAATTCACATCCTCACACAACCATGTCGGAAACCGCGCCGACAACCGCCGTTGCGCCGGCCGATCACAAGCGCAAAGAAAGCAGAAGGATGATGGAGGCGCAGAAGACTTACGGCCGGGGTAAATCCATCCACACCCACAGTGTCAGGGACAAGAAACTGCGCAGCAACCTCAAAGCCGTCGAAGACAAGTTCAAGGAAGCGGCCCTCAAGGCCAAGGATGCGGAGATTTTGCTCGAGCACGATGCCGGTTTCCTCGAGCCGGAAGGAGAGTTGGAAAGGACGTACAAGGTTCGACAGGATGAGATCCGCGACAGCGTTGGAATCGAGACGGCCAAGAAGGGATTCGAGCTGAAGTTGACCGAAATGGGACCCTATCGGGCGGACTACACGAGGAACGGTCGCGAGTTGCTGCTGGCGGGACGGAAAGGGCATGTTGCAACGATGGACTGGCGCAATGGAAAACTGGGATGCGAGTTGCAGTTGAACGAGACAGTGCGCGATGCCCGGTGGCTGCACAACAACCAGTACTTTGCGGTGGCGCAGAAGAAGTCCGTCTACATCTACGACCACAGCGGTGTCGAACTGCACTGTCTCAACAAGCATCTGGAGCCTCTTTTCCTCGAATTCCTGCCATATCACTTCCTTCTTGCGAGCGCTGTAAGTACTTTGGTTACATCAGTCAGATGAACTCAACTAACAGGTGATCAGCAAATGAGCGGCTACCTCAAATACACCGATACCTCGACCGGTCAAATGGTTGCGGAGCTGCCCACTCGCCTCGGCGCTCCCACCTCCCTCACCCAGAACCCTTGGAATGCCATCCTGCATGTCGGACACCAGAACGGAACCGTGACCCTATGGTCCCCCAACTCCCAGACTGCTCTCGTGAAGGCGCTGGTCCACCGCGGACCGGTTCGCTCGATGGCGATCGACAGACAAGGACGGTACATGGTATCCACCGGACAGGACCAGAAAATGAACGTGTGGGATATTCGGATGTTCCGCGAAGTCCACTCCTACTCCTGCTACCAGCCCGGCGCCTCGGTCTCCATCAGTGACCGGGGCCTCACGGCCGTCGGCTGGGGCACGCAGGTCAGCGTCTGGCGGGGTCTGTTCGACGCCGCGGCCGCCGACCAAGGCAAGGTGCAGAGCCCGTACATGGCATGGGGCGGCGACGGTCAGCGCATCGAGAACATGCGCTGGTGTCCGTTCGAGGATGTTCTGGGTGTGGCTCACGACCAAGGCTTCGCCAGCATCATTGTCCCTGGCGCGGGAGAACCCAACTTCGACGCCCTGGAGGCGAACCCGTACGAGAACACGCAGCAGCGCCAGGAGGCGGAAGTCCGCTCCCTGCTGAACAAGTTGAAGCCGGAGATGATCTCTCTGGACCCCAACTTCGTCGGAAAGCTGAACACGATCAGCGACAAGAAGAACCGCGAGGAGCGCGATCTCGACCGCAAACCCGAGGACCCGATCGAGAAGCTCAAGAACCGGGGCCGCGGCCGCAACAGCGCCCTGCGCAAGTACCTCCGGAAGAAGGGGCGTCGCAACGTGATCGACGACACGCGGGTCAAGGCGGAGCTGCTACGCAAGGAGCACGCGGCCCGACACAAGGAGAAGCTACGCTCCGAGCGGGAGAATCTGGGCCCTGCTCTGGCCCGGTTCGCCAAGCGGGAGATGTGAGGCGAGTTCGTGCGTGCATGCGTTTTATTCTTCTGTTGTTCCGTTGGGACGACGATCGAGTCGAGCTTTCAGATACCCTGCTTTATGGCGCGAGAGGCTTGAGCCTTTCCCGTCTGTCACGATTCTTCGAGCTGTCTGCATTTCCAAGGGCGTTGGGGGGGAGGGAACCGGAATGGGATATTATAAAAGTTGTTATGATAGAGAGCCTGAATCAGCAAATTTGTACATTGATCTGATTCACCGTAGCCTCGAACATTTTGAGTAGAATCAACCCTATATACCATGATCATGAATCACCCAATCAAGCCTCCTCAACACTGCCCGACCCCCTCTGCCCACCATTCTTCCACCTCTCCAAACTAACCTCATACGCACCACTCGCCTTCCAGGCACTCAAAATCAAATTCACAATATCCGAAACCCTCTTCCCATTCTTCACCTCCGCAAAAACCGTCGGCCCCCCCTCTCTCATCTTGGCCGCATCCCTCTCCATGACCGACAAATCAGCCCCCACAATCTCCGCCAAATCAATCTTATTCACGACCAACAGATCCGAGCCCGTGATGCCCGGACCACCCTTGCGAGGCACCTTATCTCCCCCCGCGACATCAATCACGTAGATGATGAAATCGGCCAGCTCGCGACTGTAGTTCGCGGCGAGGTTGTCGCCGCCGGATTCGATCAGGAGGATATCCGTCTGGAATTGCTTGTGTAGGGATTGGAGCGCTAGGAGGTTGGCGCTGATGTCTTCGCGGACGGCGGCGTGCGGGCAGCCGCCGGTTTCGATGGCGCGGATGCGCGAGGGGGGAAGGGCTTTGTGGCGGGTGAGGAATTCGGCGTCTTCTCTGTTTTATTTGTAGATTTGTTGGTTAGTGGCTTTCTGGGGGTTAGGATTTGGGGGGGAGGGTTACCTGGTGAAGATGTCGTTGGTGACGGCGGCGATGTTGTATTCGTCGCGGAGGGTTTGGCACAGGGCGAGCATCAGAGCGGTTTTGCCGGAGCCGACAGGTCTACAGGGTTCGTGGTCATGTGTTAGTTGATGGGTAGTACCGAGTAGATAGTACGGTGGTTGGCTTACCCTCCAATGCCAATGGTGAAGGCACGGTCCCTCCAGTCACGTTCCTCCGACAGAGGCATCTCGCGGTTCAGGTAGGAACCGGGGCCGTCGAGAATCTCGTGGGAGTGGCCGTGGCCGTTGAAGTCATCGTGCGAATGGCCGGCGCCGTTGTCGTGGGAGTGGGAGTGTGACATGGTTGGATGTTGCAACGGGGAGAAAAAGATGGAGAAAGAAGAGGGAGGGAAATATGGAGGGGCGGATGGAGGGCGGATGGACTATGGAGGGGTCCCCAGGCGATGGATGGCCGGCCGGAGACTGCCGATGCCGACAGCAGTGGAGCCCCCCGTTCCTGTTAGGTAATCGATAGATATAACTAATACTCCGGACAGAATGAAAAAGATGAGGGAGCAATGCATTGATCTTCGGACGTACAGTTGCAACTATCAACACAATTATTTCCAGGGAGAGAACCTGACGCCGGAACACTTCAATCGCCCAGGAAAACGTGGATATCAAACAATCCCGCAACGCTCAACTTCAGTAACGGGCCCCCGACAGGCAAAGCCTGCTGCAGAGAGGGGCCTCACACAGAAACAGACCAGTAATATCAAATCCACATAACACGGATCTCCGTCTTTCGCATGAGACATCAAATGGAAAAGGAACCGGCAGCTATGTTCAATGAACAGGAACCCCGCAGATGAAAAGCAGCGCAGAAGAAGAGCCTCGCACAGGTATCCTAAGGTACGCCATATCCCCGCCTTGTGAGACTGAAACACATGTGGAACTGAGAAGGACAAGTGAAAACCAGAAAATGAGTATGAGAAAAGAAAAGGACGCAAAAAAAGGCAATAATTATGCATCGGCAACATTACAGTGGTGGTATTAGCCACCACCCTTCTGCTTCTTCGCCCCTACTCGAGGACTAGCCTTGACTTTGGGGGCTCCCTGACCGGCAGTGCCGTTAACCTCGGGCCCAGCATCATCATTCTCCATCTTCACGGTGCTAGCACGGCGGCGTTTGTTACCCACGTTGGGGCTAGCACTTGCACTGGTCCCTTGGGGAATGTTGCCTTGGACTTGACCCTGAGGGAGCATCCCCGGAGGCCCCGCCAGATGGCTCTGGGCCGGACTGGGGTGGGCGGATCCAGTCAAATGGGGTGAGCCCTGAGCGCCCGGTAAACCCAAGTGGGCCATCGCGGGAGACGCAAACTGGTTGGGCACGTTCATATTGGGGGGCCGTGGCTGGCCCTGCTGCATCGCTGGGTTCATGGGAGCCTGCATATACACCGGGTTGGGAGCCGCCTGGCTCTGCTGCATCGAGATCACCAGGTTCCGCAGGGCTTCTGGGGGTGACAATTGAGGATTTTGCTGAGAAAACTGGAACAGCAACTGCATGTGCGAAATCGTCTCCGCCACCTACAAGATGAAAGGTCAGAAGAATACCAGAACGCACTAGACCACATAGAAAGCTTACCTCAAGGAAGCTCATCACGGCCGTGGGAACACCATTCGGGGTAACCATAGATTCGGGCAATGTAAACGCAGGCTGTTGCGCCTGTTTGGCCTGGGCCCGTTTCCCCATGTTTTTAGACACCTTGGGACTTTGTTTTTGCTGGTCGGCCAACTCCAGGGCCTGTAACTGACTCCGAGGGAGGTATTCCGTGTGGGTCATCACCACAATATCGAGCATTTCAATCTTGTTGTTCATATCGAAATGTGCCGTCATGCTTCCGTTGGTAAAAAGCTATGTTTGGTTAATACGGCAATCGCGATAAAGCGAGAAGTCAAGCAGTCATACCTGAGTTCCATTCGAAAACCAATAAATGAAGCAAGTTCTCGCACTCTCCACGATGTGGCCTCCGTGCGGTGAGTCCCTCTCCCGCGCTCCATCAACAACCATCTGGATATGGCAAATACCGCTTGTACACTGGGTGTGGTAATAGCGCGCTAAAGCAGGAGTGGCAATCTCAAATTGCTTGGAGCCGGCTTGTGGGTTATAAACACCCTGTCTCAGAACACCGCCCGGCGCATAGAATCTGGCCACAAAATTATTCCATTGGGCCAAATCAGTACCCATCTCAGCACGACCCTGTAAATCATTAGCGTCTGGTCGAGAATACAATGCCGGCCAACTGATCGGATTGAACATACAGAAATGTGGCTCAGATTTTCTGCAAAGGTGCTAAGCTGCAAGATTGCAGCGCCCTTCATGTTCATCCGTTGTTGCTGCATCATCATGGCAGCAGGGTTTTGCTGTTGCTGTGCCTTAATTTGGGCCTCCTGCGCGGTCATTGGCGGCTGTTGTTGGCCCTGTTGTTGGCCCTGTTGGGATTGCTGCGGCTGAGGTTGTGTCTGCGGCGCCTGGGGCGCTTGCGGTTGCTGACCCGGTTGCTGAGCCTGCGGAAGCTGTTGCGGGGGTGGATTGGGAGTAGGCTGTGGCTGAGGTGCGGCGGGCTGCTGCTGTGGAGGTTGAGACGTGGGTACCTGCGGAGGATTCGGTTGCGGCGTCGCGCTTCCTTGGTGTGGTGGCGGTCCCGGCTGAGGTTGAGGTGTAACACTCTGGGCGTCGTGTACGCTCTGAGGTTGTGCTGCTGCGCGCTGCTGCGGTGTCTGCTGGCCGGGCTGTCCGGCAGACGTAGCCTGCTGGACTTGCTGGGCCTGATGCGCCTGCTGAGCCTGGGCTTGCTGCATAGCAAGGAAATGTTGTTGTTGCTGCTGAAGGTTTTGCGGCTGTCCATGAGGCATCTGTTGAAGCTGCATTTGCAGATTAACTGGACGCATCGCAGGGTTCGCTTGCATCGCTGCGATCTGAGCCGCATTCAGGCCGGGTGTACCATTTTGCATCTGTACCGGTAACCCACCATGCCCTTGTTGGTGTTGCTGCTGCTGCTGCTGCTGCTGTTGCTGCTGAAGCATCATACGCTGTCTTATAAGTTGGTGTTGGTGCTGCTGGAGAAGTTGAGGGTTGTTCGCAACTAGAGAGCAAGACCGGTCAGATTGCCATGCGATCGATTTTGGAGAAGAGAAGGCCAAGAAGCTAGATAGTGCACATGGACGACCGATAAGGGGGAAGGCGTAAGATCGATGGGAAACCTACACTGCTGTGCAAAATGCGGCTGCTGGAACATATGTGCCTGAGCTGGACCGAGGTGAGAGAGGGCATGAGCCTGAACAGGACCCCCAGGCCCTGTTGTTCCAGCTCCAGGTGGCATGCCACCCATTACTGGACCGCCTTGGCTGACTTGAGGTCCTCCTGGCGCGGACACGCCTGGATGCACCTGCTGGACCATCCCAGCCCCGGGATGAGCGTTGGGATGTTGAGCAGGGGCCATTGGGTGACCCGGAGGCAGACCCGGATGCTGTGGAATGCCTTGATGGGCAGGGAATGGTTGCGCCATCATCATGTCGTGGTTACGAAGTCGCCGATAACGGGACTCCTCGAAGTCGGTGAGGGACTGGAAGGGGTACGAAGAGAGGGAAGAAACAGGATTGTGCGTAGGAAAAGTCAAGGGCTATCGTTATCAGAAAGAGGGACGCAAGAGAGAAACTAAACGACCGTCGACTATCCGGCACGCTGAGGGCGGCGTCGGACTCGAAAAGCGCGCTTGACGTGGAGGCACAACAGGCCGCTTTTAGTGCCGGAGCGGAGGCCAAGACGCAGCTGACGGGGCGATTGAGCCTGCGTCGGTATCACCCACGACCACACGAGATCTGGAGCATGGATCGGACCGGCCTAATCACCTGTGCCCACCAGATCGGGAGGGGGCGAAAATCCTACACCTCCAATGTCAGTGGGAGAGGGTGACAGGAGGAAGGTTGAGGAGGTTGGGGGGGAAAGACCAGAGGTGGTGAGGGTGAGAGGCTAGAGAGGGAATGGGTTATTATGGGTGGATGGGAATGGGATTAGGGAGGCCGGAGGTGTGGAGGGGCTAGGGGCCAACGAAAAGCGAGACGGCACCTGTCGCGATCGCCAGTTCAATCGCTCGATAACGAACGGGGCGTGCTAGACCAAACCTCGCGGGAACAGAGGCTACCCAAGAACAAATGTGCAGCCCAAGAACGGGGAAGAGGGAGGGGGAGGGGAGGGAATATCTGGAGGGGGAGGGATGAGGTGAACACAGGGAGAGCAAAGGAAAAAACCGTACGGTAGGCTTAGCAGGGAGACCGGGAACTGGAAGGGGGACAGACAGACAGCCGGAGAGTCAGTCGGAACTCAGAACTAAGAGGCCCATGGCGAGATCTTCTCTGAGGCTTTTCTTTTCCCTCTGCGCTGCGAGCGAATGGCGATGCCCGGCCACCGCGACTTATACGCTAGTCCGCTTCGGGGCTGTCTACCATCACGTGGCTCTCGGAACATTGTTCTTGCGGGCGGGCGGCATTTATTTTCGGTCGCGCAATGTTTTTCTTCTTTCTCAGTTCTTCTCTACTCTTCATGGCTCGGATGATGTGCCTCTGACTTTTCACCGGTTTTTTGCTTTTTTCCAAACTTTGTTTGCATTCAGAAAGCACCAGATTCATGTGCAATTTGCCCTGAATCAGGCTTGGATACATCACGCGCCAATTTGGCCACCAGTAGCTGTCGCAGTATAAATGCGTACTGATACATCAGACCACTAGACTAACTGATCAGGTTGTGCTGCAAGATCTGGTTCATCATAAGGTTAGTTCCATATTTTTTTCTGCTTTTTGTCCATCCCACACCCTTTTTTCGAAGATGATAAACCACTTTTTTCTTCTTTATCCTCTGAATCGTCCATGAGGAGACATTCGGACCTTCCTTTCCCGGTTGGTCTGCTACTTGCCAGTATATTCGGTCTGAGAAAAATTCTGCATTTCTGCACTTGTTGTCACTTGTCCACGTCATTGATCATTGGCTGACAATTTCCAAAGCAAATCTTAGCATTCATTATCTTGACGTCGAGTCGCTTGGCAATGATTGGTAGTGGGGTCCAGGGTCTTGGTCGCATCAGGCTCTGCTTGGATGTCGATCATGATCTTTGGCTAGCGAAGGGAATTACGTGCAGATTAGTAGTTAGAATGAATAACAAGCCATGTGTTCTGGGTGATTCGATGCGCTCCTGCCTCTTGTTCCACGTAGATTGGGCGTTTGTTGCCGTATACCTGTCGTAAACGGCGTCCGTCCGCCTGGGAATGCAGCTGACTGTGACGCCCCCAGCATGGATGATGCGTCCCTTCCCGTTGACTCTTGACGGCCTCTAGATAGTTCACGGGAATCAAGCTTAATTCCCTGCCTGTTCCACCGAGCCTCTTGCAGCAGCCACCGCCCCTATCACGTGATATCGCACCCGCCGCTGACAAAGGAGGACCACCCGCAAGGAACAGTCCAGAAGGCAAGATGAAAGTCCTGCTGGCACTCATCTCCTCGCAACTTGGCTGATGCAGACGGTTGTTCCCTGCAGCATCGCCAGTACCTCAGTTTTCTAATTCCGGCGGCGTCGTTTGCCCCGGATGTATTCGTCAATGCACCAAGGCAGGTTCCTTCGGTCTGTAGCACGACCCTGCCGGTTCATCGCGCATCGCCGCTATCCCGCCGCGGTTGTCTCGCATTCGCGTCGGTTCCATCTCTCGCGAACATGGCTATCATCAACACCTTCCGATCCCCATAGCTCTCGAGATTCGACCACGGAGAACCTCCCCGGTGACATCCCTACTCACAATGCCGAACCTACACTAGCAGGCCGTGGCACTTCCGTCGCAACACCGTCAGCCGATCGAACGGCGAAGAAGGACTTAGGTCCCTACGGTTCGGCGATTCGCAGAGCATTAAGGAATAGACGGGCGACAAAGGAGTGGACCGCTCCGGTTGCGACTGTTCCGGACTGGTTTTACGAGCGGAATACGGTTGTCAATGATGGAAACAGAACCGGCAACACCGAGTTATTACAGCAAGTGGAGATACGGTCGTCACAAGCCGAACCTGAAAAGGAGGCAAGCGAACAGCTAGGTCATGGCGGCAGTGGAGAAGAACCGCCTTCGTCTGAGGGTCCTGATGCTCCGGAGAATCGGTATGCTTTGACTGAAGCGCTGTGGGAAGAGCTTTGCGCATCTGCCCGGGCAGGGTTGCGACTGCCGCCAACCAAGTACGCCCAGGAACCCTCCGCACGAAAGTCACACCTTGTCCTTCAGTACCCCGGCACCGATGGCATCTTGTTCCTAGACGCGGTGGTCAAGAGGCTAGCTCAGGAGTTGGGCGCGGATCTGGTCACTCTCAACGCGCAGGACATTGCCCAGTTATGCAGTGAACAGGACCTGGCGGACATTGGCACCACAACCCCCATCAGATCGCTTGGCTACGAAGTGTACCGGCCGTCTATCTCGGACACCTGGCAAGAAGACGGTCTGCACGAAGGGGATGCCGATGACGATGCCATTGACTCGCCGCGCAATTTCCGGCCAGCTCTCCGGGGTCCCAAATTCATCACTATTGAGACTGCCCGCGACTCTGGCGATATCGCACTTCCCAATTTTCTGGGGCTGAAGTCCTTGGTGGCCTCGTTCAATTCCCCAGTGGAGAACTCCGCTGGCTCTTCCTCGCAAAGCCCTGCTGACCGAGCGGAGGACAGGCGACTTCGGCTTGTGCGTGAGCTCCTTTCTTCATCCAGCAAGTCATTGAAGCAGCTGTCGCCAGCGGTAGCAGAAGATGCAGACTCTGCTGCTCCCGAAGGTCTACAAGGTCACAGCATTAGCCCAGAGCGCGATGTCATAGTTCAGATCCAAGACTATGGAGACATTCAGGCCACCCGCGAGGGCGCCAAGTTCATTTCCCTATTACAAAAAGCTATAGAGGATAAGAGAAAAGCAGGCTCTAGAGTCCTATTTATCGGTACCTCGGCGCAAGAAGCTGCACCCGATTCGGATGCTGCGAAGCTCATGCACAACGCCTTCGACGACCAATTCTCCCAGATGCTGGTCATCACTCCCGCCATGAAGTCGGAAGCGGCCGAACGCACGTTTGCGGAAGATCGGAAAAAGCGAACACTCGACATTAACATCCGCCACATTCAAGATCTGCTTCGGACGCGGCTCGCCGAACAGCCCTCGGCGCTCCAAGACGATGTTTTCCGCGACCGAGCCTGGCCCTTGGACTCATCCCTCGTGAAGGAAAGCGGCCTCGATGAGCGGTACTGGCCGTACAGCCAGGTTCACTGGGCCACCACCCTTGCCCTCGGCTCTGTGGGAACGGATGGGGCTTTCGGTTATGACCACATTCGGCGAGGAATTGAGATGATGCAGAAGACGGAGCGTATTAGAAACGACTGGCTGCAGGAGAAAATGCCTAAGGCGAAAGCCAGCGAGACCGGGAATGATCGGGAGCGCTTGCTGAGCTCATTACGGAAAACCTGCAACTCCCACGAGAAGAAACTACTGACCGGAGTGGTGGATGCGAAAAGCATCCGGACCACTTTCGCTGATGTCCATGTGCCCGCTGTGACCATCGATGCCTTGAAGACCCTGACCTCTCTTTCTCTGATCCGCCCCGAGGCGTTCACCTACGGTGTTCTGGCTACGGACAAGATCCCTGGCCTATTGCTTTACGGACCACCCGGTACTGGTAAGACCCTCCTCGCGAAGGCTGTGGCCCGTGAAAGCGGTGCTACCGTGCTGGAAGTCAGCGGGTCGGAGGTCTACGACATGTATGTTGGCGAGGGGGAGAAGAACGTCAAGGCCATCTTCACACTGGCTAAGAAGCTGAGCCCCTGTGTCGTGTTCATTGACGAGGCCGATGCTATCTTTTGTTCACGCACGGGTGCCAGCAGCCGGACATCCCACCGTGAGCTCATCAACCAATTCCTACGGGAGTGGGACGGCATGAACGATATGTCGGCCTTCATCATGGTTGCCACGAACCGACCGTTCGACCTTGACGACGCGGTTCTCCGGCGTCTCCCCAGGCGACTACTTGTGGACCTTCCGACTGAGCAGGATCGCCTGGCCATCCTAAAGATCCACCTGAAAGAGGAGACCCTGGACAGCACGGTCGATCTGGCGGAGCTGGCCCGTCGCACGCCTCTGTATTCCGGCTCCGACCTTAAGAACCTGTCTGTAGCAGCCGCGTTGGCCTGCGTCCGGGAAGAGAACGACCTGGCCGCTCAGCACCAAGGCGAGGAGCCGTACCAGTATCCCGCACGACGCACGTTGACGTGGAAGCACTTTGAGCGTGGCATGGAGGAGATCAGCGCATCCATCAGCGAGGACATGTCGTCGCTCGCCGCGATCCGCAAGTTCGACGAACAGTACGGCGACCGCAAGGGCCGGCGCAAGAAGAGTCCCGGCTGGGGCTTTATCCCGGCTGGCAAGGATGAGGCGGCAGCTGCCGTGGATGCGGCGCGCGTCCGGACCTGAAGCGGTTGGTTGGGGTTGGAAGCAGTGGGATTTGAACAGTTTTGGGTGTTAGCCACATAGATCAAGTGAATTTATCATCTTCGCGTTTGTCAGGACCGGGTCGGAATGGGCTGGAAAGGCAGGCGAAGCTGGACAGGGCTGGACGGGACGGACTTGTATACTACTCATTAGCGACACGAACCTGAATGTACCAATATAGCAGACGATACCACTCCGATCAGAAGGAGCAATGGGAGAACTTGGTAGACAGGCCGACGTATGCAGGACAGCCCCGACATGAGGATCGGCAACGGCGCCGATCGCAGCACGCGGGGGAAGAGGAGAAAAGAAGGCCGATGATGGCAGCCACCGATGCAACACGCGGGCTTTGAATGAATGACATCGACGAAGCGGCAGCCCCTTGGATCAGCCAACCTTCTTTGCTTTCCCTTCCTTCACCTTGGCTCACCCGCCACCATCGCTGGCGTCTCCGTCCCTCGCTGGGATTGTCTGATTGTTTGGTCTTGGACTGGCCTGGTCATCTGCAGATTCTCCCACACACTGAGTCTCGTCTCCTCACGCGACAAAACCCCCGCCTCCTTCTCTCCACACGCTACCCCTCTTCTCTCCCTCTCCCCGACTGCAAATCAGATTCCTCACAATGTCAACAACCGAGGCCCGCGACGCCGCCATCCGAGACGCAAAGCGCTACGTTCGTGAAATCGTCCGCAACGACTGGGTCTTCGAGCCCTCCGCTGAACTAGGTATCGCTCCATTCTCGTCTCCTCCCACGCCCGAGCAAGATGTTCTGGAATGGCGTCTACGCGAATACGATAGCTCCGGCTCCGAGCTAGAACCGCAGTCCTCTCCTACCATCGGCGCTGCAGCTGGACAGCAGCATCCTGGCTACAATGCCTCCGAGCTCTCCAGCCCGCTCGGGACCCCGCTCGGCGACGACTCAGACCGCAGGCGCAAACGGCGGCGCCAGATGGAGGAAGAGATGAAATGGAACCCGGGTCTACGAGTGTGGGTTGAGCGTCGAGACGCATGGTCGGGAGCTCTTTCAAAGGAAGAGATTCGGGCCAGGCAATTGAAAGCCCAGCAGACTACGGCTGCGACGCCCACAACTTCCTCCTCCGAACAACCGCAGAATGCAGCGGCAGCAGCGACCACCGATACCACTCCTCTCCTCTCCACGTCACCATCCAACTCCCAGAACGAGCTCGCTCTGCGAACGGAAGCTTCCCTCAGCATCGCCGAGAATGATGGCGCGCTCCCACGGCCGCCATCTCGCGGCGAAGAGCCCTCCACGGCAGCAGAGCAACCACCCCCGCCACCCCCCGCAGGAGACGACGCGCAAGAAGGAACCACCGCCTCCGCAGAGACCCTGAGCACTGAACCGGACTCCGCGCGTCAACCTAGCAGCGAAGACCCTCTCATCCCCGTTGTACCGTCCCTAATCTCCAATGCCAACCCCATTCGCGCCTCCATCACCCCGGCTATGTATCCCTCCATCTACTCGAAAGTCGTCGTCCAGGGACTCACTCCCACCGTGCCGATCAACCTCGCCGATGTGACCAAGGCCATGGTACAAGGATGGAAAGCGGACGGCCAATGGCCCCCGAAGCCCACCTCAATCGTGCTTCAGGATACCGCGACAGTGCGGCGCAAGCCCGAGGAGGAGTCTGCCGCTGCAGCGGGTGACAAGCCGCCGTCGTCACCCGAATCAAAAAGACGTTCCGGAGTAGCCAGCGCAGTGCGCAAGGTCTTCCATTTCTCAGGCTTCCATCCCCATCACCCGTTCCACCGGAGAGGATCCAGCAGTCAGCAAAACGACGGGGGTGCCGGCGGTGCAGATGGAGGCGTGCATAATTAGTTCCGTACTACGTAGTACTACGGAGATAACAACCCTGCTTTTCCTTACGTTCGATGCAGTGTGCTGTGATCTGGTGGTATGGTGGTATGGTGGTATGGCATGTAAATAAAGCTCTTCGGTTCTGCTATGAACCACGACGAGCTGACTTCTTTCCCGACTCATCACCATTGCTTTCTTATTGCTATCTATCACTCCCCTCTCCCCTCTTACCTGTTGCCCTTACCTCCTCCCACTACCACTACCATCACCACTACAACCACCCACCAGTCTCAGTACCCACTACCCACCACCTACCCCAAACACACATCCATAAGACATGAATGGACGCTGTGCATGTGTACGCTTACTTTTGATACTTCATGCTTTATGCGTTACGCGTTTTTGAGAGAAAAAGAAATTGCATGAATAATTGATTGATTAACGGAATAGGGACTAGCTCTTTCCCCTTCCCTTATTAGCTTTCATATATCGTCTTTGTTTGTCCTTTTCTATCTATCTGCCTAGTGCCTACCTATATATTTACGTATAATATATCGACTTACTTACCCGGCTCGCTGGTTTAATACGTATGTGCCTACAGACAGGCTTATACTGTCCACTCCCTACTATAAACTGTCTAGATTGGAAATTGAAGATCATATAGTTGACTGCTTTTCATTCAGAGTCTATCTCGTGATGGGAGTATCCAAGTCAATTCGTCATCTAGGAATGGAGTAGGACTTGTGTCATAAGGAATACCAAGTGGTTGTTGAGCGGAAGAGATATTGTATCGGGGATATCATAGCCCCCGCAAAGATATTCATTCAATAACCAATGGCATCGACAAGGTCAAGTGTGTAGAGCACATCTGTGGAGACCTTATCCGAATTCGGAACTCCCAACGTGAGTCCAAAAGTGTGTTCGGATTCCGTACCATCAAGGAGATCAAGACCTCGCATGACGTCGAGGAACTCCTGAACAACGGGTCCGAGGATCTGCTGTGGTGATTGTTCGAGTTCCACGGCGACAGATGGTTGGATGTTGATTTCTTGGGGTTGGTGGCCGCCTCGTCGGGTGAAGTAGTATTTCTGCTGATGGCGGGACCAGCTCTCGTTGAGGTAGGATTGTAATTCGCGGGCCGCGGAGTGGCGAAGTTCGTGGAAGAAGGGTGGGTTTGTGGCTATGGATGAGATGGGGTCGCCGGTGTTGAAGGCATCGGGATATTGGGGGAGATCGTACAGGTCTGTTGTTGACGATGGCTGGTCGAGATGGGATGTGACGAAGAGGATGGAGTGGTAGAAATAGTGAATCTGAGCGAGGACCCTTTGGTCCATTTCGGCTGCTCGGTCTATATAGTCGATGACTGGCAAGGCGGCCGTGATCATCTTGATGAATGAGGCGGCGCTGATGGCCACGGCAGGGTCCTTGAGCATGTTGACATTGTTCGTGACATTCAGGAGAACAGCATGTGTTGCCTGGAAGACAGAGTTGAAGATGTTCCAGACGGATGCGATACAGGCAGAATCGGTCGTGTCCACATTGAAAAGGAGGTCCTGGAAGACGAGCGTAATAGTCTGCATGAGGGGTCGACTAAGAATCCAGCATGCTGCGTTGCTAAAAGATGCCTCGAGGTAGGCCGGGAAAACCGCCTGCAACAATGTCGCCCTCAAGGTAGGTTTGTCGGGAAGGCCAGATTCATAAGTTTCAGTCATAGATGCGTGAAGCTGATTAACGAGGTAATCCTGCTGTCCGTCGATCGCGGCTCGCTCGGAAACGCTCTGAATGAACATGATGAGCGTCTTTGCTACTTTCTCCGAGGAGAGTTTCGGCTCGTAGCTCTTCAACCGGGCCACAATGTACGTCGGATCCCCGGAAGGTAGTGGGAATGAAGCAGGGTCGGTAAAGAACGAGTCGATAGGGCAGATATCCCGGCTGTGCTGTTGCAGGAACCCGACGATGCGGTGAACAAAGTCCACGTAAGCTCCTTGGACGCTGGCTGCACCGTTGCCCAGCTCCTGATAGTTTGCCTTCATAGCCGACATCATTTTCTGGATGATCTCCCTGTAATCCTGCTTGGTAGTTGAGAGTTCTCGGGCGTCTATATCTTCCAGCACTTGGAGATGTGCACGCATGTTGGCTAGGATACTCGATATCAGAGACACCCGGCGGTGGCTGAGATCTTCCAGGGTGATCACGTATCTCCCTTCTTTTCGGTCCCTGGCGAAGGGCAAATTCTGCAGTAGGGAATCCATCGATTCTTCATTTAGCAAGGCTTCTGTCAAGCGGTGTTGGTATTTCAACATCGAGACTCGCTCTACCAAAGCGGACAACCACATCCCAATGACCTGGACTTTACAGTCCACTATAAAGCGAGGATCTTTTTCGATGCAGCTTGCCAGGAACAAAGGTGTGAATTTTCTCGTCTGGATCGTCAATCGCAGTGACATCCAGGAGTCGCCGTTGTACGGACTGAGGTAGCTGTCCCAGTGGCGTAAGCCATGTTTGACCAGTGTCTGTGCAATAGATGTCCAGCACTCCACGACATTGAGCAGAATCGCATCTTCCGGACAGTAGTCCTCTCCAAAGCAGTTGGATATAAGCCGGAACGCAGCTGGATGGAAGACCCTTTCGACATACTCGACTTCTGGCGCTGTCGGTGGAGACTCATCATATGCAGCCGCAATATCCGCCCAATCTCCATACTCTTGACTGTCTTCATCCACCGCCGCAGGAGCACTTGCTGCTTCGACTGCCGGTGAAATATTGCACTTCTGGACATAGGCGACGATCACTTGAAGGGTATCAGAGACTGTCATGTTGACACGAGCAACTCTGGGGTTAAAGAGAGCCAGTAGCGCTTTGATAGGTGCTCCCAAGATGAGCTTGTGAGCATGCTGCAACGTTGGTGCCGAGCGAATAGCACCATGTAGGCCACTAAGCGCTGACTTCAGCAAGGACTCGATTTGCCGCTGATTCTGCGCGATCGTTTTCTCAACTAACTGATCAGAGAATTTGTTATCCGCAGTGTTCTGTGCTTCGACCTCTTGGCGCGCAAGTGCATGCTGCTTCAACAACTCGGAGACAAAATAGCCGTGCCAGTCAGCAAATGCTTCCAGTCCAGAGACCTGCTCATCCGTCGAGAGCTTGAAACGGACAAGCCTAGTCCATGACCGTAAGCTGATATTGCATGTCTCACGATGCGAGCTGGCGGGATTGACAAGATTCTTGATCGTCTCGAGGCGAGGCCGGCACCCGTCAGGGACAGCGTAATACAATGTACACAGGAGGTCATGGTGGTTCCTCAATGCGTCCAAATCCTCTTGATGTATTGGCTTTTCCTTGGGATACACGCGGCCATGGTTTGGTAACAGGCGCCATGCAAAGTTCCGAGTCTTCTTCTGGTCATAAATCTTTGACAGGTAACGCAACCCACTTGCAATGATTTTCAGCAGGATATGGAAACACGAATCTCCTGGTTGCACTTCTAGGGAAGGGTTCCGGTCCAGTTCGTCGAGGAAAGCAGGAGACTTATAGCCTTCTTCGTGCTTAAGATTGTACAAGGTGTTCTTCGCGAAGAAATCATAAAGGGTATCGAGAATTTGTTTGCAGTCTCGCCATCCCCAACCATTGATGAGGTGGAAGCACCTATGGAACAGGGCCCTGCAGTACTGGTAGTATGAAACAGGCTGCGTCATTGATGTGACCTGATAGCGATCTAGCACTGGACGTAGCAGCATCTTGATTATGGGCCAGTTTCCGTAAGCCTCCCAAAAACGAGATCCTATACGAGAAATGCCAGAAGCATCAAGTTCATCCAAAGGCAGAGTGGTGAGAACACAGTGCCATGCCCGCTCCAACTGGTTGACATCCGTCAAGCTACTCATATCCCCATAGTGAATCGAATAGGCCTCTGCCAGAAACTCCTGGAAGCGTCCTTTTAGCTTATCCGTATTACATAGAATATGCCGAACAGTGACATAGGCCTCAGCAACGGAATGACCGCTCTGGATTCCTGCATCACGCTTTTCAGGAGACTCAATGTCCGCGAAGAGTCTGCGGATACTTGCCTGTCCCAGTGAGGTTGTGACAATTCGGATGGCCTGTTTGGCGGTTCTGTTTAATACTTCCAACACTTCATCGGCAATGGTATCATTGACGAGATCATGCCCGGCAATTTGAAGGATTTGGTATGTAAACACAGTGTTGTACGAGCAAATTGCCGCTAGAAGCTCCACCTCACGCTCGGCTTTCGCGGACGATGTGGTCAAGGTATCATTGAGCTTGCAGACAAGGCTCAAGGCCCGCCTCACAAACCCTATCCTGTCGATGGGGTCAACGAAGGAGAGCGCATCAGTGACATACTTGACCACTGGCCTGTATAAGTTGCAGGCATCTTTTTCACTGTTCTCCAGTCCTGCGTCACTCCTTTCAATCCATTCGATCATCTTTTCAAAGACTGTTCCCAGCTCCGAAGACACGGCATCATTCCATACACCCCATCGATAGCTCCTATCTCCAACTCTGATCGGGTGGTGACCGGCATCTCTGTCCAGGTCACGCTTGAGGAAGTTAAGTGAGCGAGAAAAGTCGCCACTTCCAAAAAATGTAGTTTGGTGGAAGTACGTCCCTGTGCACAATGGAGCGATGTTGAGCTCTATGCTATATGAGGGTTGAAATCCATGCAATGCGCCAATTGGACTGTCACCAGCCAAGTCTCCTTGTTGCCTATGGAGTTCGGGTTCTGTTAATTCCATGGCGAAGGGCTGTTGATCTTGGATGGCATCGACTGCGAGCCGCTTCGGTGGCCGCTTTTTCAACTGGCGTCGCGCTTCGGTCTGGACTCCTGGCAGCCTGTGATCCAGCTTTTGACTCGTGCTCGTATGCTTGGGCCCAGCTGGAGCAGGAGACGAGCTGCGGCTCGAAATAAAGCGGTCCAAAACCAAGTTACCCTGTCGTACTTCGGGCAGACGCTTACGTCGATAGTCCCGATTGAGCAATGAGAGAGACCTTTGAAAGGACAACGATGAGACAGGCTTGCCGCGTGGGTTTTCTACCTCGAGCATTGCAGGTCGCGGATCTTGCCGTGTCAAGGAAGAAATAGCAAGGTTTCTTCGAACAATCCACTTGTTGGGTCGTTGCTCGGGTTGCATTAGCTTGCTAATGTTGGTCGGCGCCTTGGCCATCTGGCCCGGAGCATGGGCATCTGTACTAGCATGCTCATCAACTGCACTGACTTCCCCAGCTTGAGGTGCTGGAGAACCATCATTCGTACGGTTTCCACTCGTTCCTCTAGTCACTCTTCCCTGAAAGACGACAGGTCGATTCGTGGAGAGAGCGGTTAGCGGCTGTCTTCGAGCCACCTTAGCCTGGGACCGGGGCTGGGGCTGAGACTTGGACTGGGAACGAGGCTGGGGCAGTTTTGTCTGTTGGAGCCGACCTATTTTCCATTCGTGTAATGATTTATTGGCATCCTCCGTATCGACACGTGAACTGAAATTGAAGACTTTCCGAGAGGGGCTTCGTCTTCCCTTGTCTTGACGGGAACGTGCTTTTCTTGCAGCAACCCGAAGAAATTGCGGTTGCTCACTGCGAGGTCGAGAAGCAACATCTGGCGCATCAAGGATACCTATTCTAGGTAGACGTGGCGTGGGTCTCTTCTGCTTGTGAGCCCCGTACCCGGGATCAGTAAGCCTTGCCTGTCTCTTGAGCCGAGGACGCTTAGGTGCATGAGCAGGGCGATCATTGTTCCCCTCGTCCGTTGGTCGTTTCTTTCCTGGCTTTCGTGGTTTCGACGATGAAGTGGCACGATGTACTGGTGGGAACATGTAATCGATGCGATTGCCTTCTGGGATATCATCTCCGGGGCCATAGTCATTGAACGAATCTTCAAGTCCAAGACTCGCTACTAGTTGGCGCGAGGTGGTCGTGTCACCATCGTTTCCGCCTTCGCTCTCATTGCTAGAATCCGGATCAGCAAGCTGTCTTAGTGAGGTTAGCTGCGCGTTTGGTCCTGGTGCTTTCATGGTGTCGGCCTTTTTCGTTATTTTGCGCGCAACACCTTTCGCGTTGTCAGTTCTCGAAAGCACTCTTTCACGATGTCGCTGCGTAGCACTCGGGCGTTCCTCTTGTTGTTTCTGGTCCAATCTCAGCCATGATGCCGGTAAGACCCCTTTGATTCGACGTGATAACTGCCTGACAGAATCTTCATCGTGATCGTTGTCCGCTTCGCTTGCATCCTCGGTATCAGAATGTGATCGCGCATTGCTTGCATCAGGGCCATCGTCCGCCTCGGCCTCAGACCAATCCATGGGATCCGCTTCCTCTGGAGCATTAATCTCCTGTCCCAACCCCGGGGTGGCGGAGATTGAAGGTGGTGTAAAGCCACGAGGGAAGCGAAATACAGTTGAGGGTTCCGGAGCAGGCGACGAAGCGACGTTCTCTTCAGAGCGCGGTGGGCTTGGGACACGAAAGGTCGACAAATTGTTCCGGTGCATAGGAGACGAGTTCACAATAACTACACTTGGCTGCGGTAGATACCGTGATTGAGGACGATGGTCATCGTGAGGCCTGGATATTTTGCGCCTTTTCGGCCGGCGACTTAGCAAGCCACCTGGGGAGTGCCCCAATTCTTGAGAGCCATGCGACTGTGAAGGCTCCGGAGAGTTCCTAGACCGTCTCCTCTCTGCTGAATGACGAGGCTCTGCCGGAGACGACGGTGGAAACTCGAAATCTGCTCCAAAACTATCGCCCATGGTATCAGCATTGTCAACATACTCCTTGCCCTGACTCTCATTGGCTGCAGCACGCGCCGCTTCGTCCTGTGCCACTCGCACGGGCTTGACACCTCCTGCGCGCATCATAGTCCGGTACTTAGCATCTTCCAACATATACGGATGTAGTTGGATAGCTTTGCGCTCTCGTAGTGATCTCCGCGCTGGCGGCGACATTCCCCGTAGAATTTCATCCGGAATATCGAGCGGTGGTAGCAATTGCTCAATGAGATCCCCTGTTGGCTCATCCGGTTGTTCGTGGCCATCTTGGTCACCCTCGTCCAACCGAAGGGAATCCAGGGATGACAAAGGCGATGAAGGAGCTGAGATATTGTGGTCCTCCTCGACTTGCCGCGGTTCGCTGTCATGGTCCGTCCTCGAGTACACATGGTTGGGTTTCCTTGAGAGTCGGTGGTCAAATTGCAGTGCACCTTCTGAACTCGGGATGTCCCATATATCGTCGTTCTCTTTGGCCGGCGGGGTAGGAGGTGCGCTAACAGTGGTGGTATCCGAAGATTGCGTAGGCAGGCGAGAGTCGTCTGTCTTCACACTAGCACGAGGGGTCTCTTCATCCTCAGGAAGCCCAGGCAACGGTTCCTCCGATCCGTCATTCTCATCGGCGGTCTTCGACGACGCCGCAAGAGGCTGCTCATGCTTCTCAGTCTTGACAGAAGCATTATCAGAATCCGTCTGAGGGGTCACAGGCCGTTCGCGATCAATATCGGTGCTCTGAGAAGCGTGTGGTTGTAGCTCATGTTGTACATCGTCCTGGGGTTCGATGGCGGCTTCCTCCGTGCGAACTGAAACTGCAACACCAGTATCTGCAACCGTATCTTCGACCCCATCGTTCAACGTTATTGTCTCCTGACTGTCGAGTCCGTCCTCCGAGTCCGAGTCCGGTACGAATCCTCGCTCCCGCCATGATTCCATTTGTATCCTGGGCGCGGATGGCCCATCTCCCTAGATGTTCATCCCCTCGTAACTGCAATACTGCGCTCGCTAGATAACCGAGACGGATGGGGACGAAAAATTGCTCTCAGATCTGACCAGTCAACTGGTGGTCGTGCCACAGATCCACAGGGTCGCAAGTATATGTCGAGTGGTTAATTGAGGATCCAGCGGTGCTGGTCGATTCGACGCGTCGAAAATGTGGGGGGGGAGACGCGACGGGGCTTAAGCTGTTTTTAATGTCGGGCCTGGCGCAGTTTTGGCGATAGCTCGGCGGCACCGGCCGGGGCTTGGCCAGCACTTCACTCCACGCCGCACCATTGCTAGCTCGAACTTCCGACATTGAATTCTCCAACTACCACTAGTGAATCGGCATCATGAGTCGGAATTGGGTTCCTGCGCTTATGGCCATTGGCATGGGGGTTTGGACTGGTAGGTGCAATGCCCACGCATGTGATGCCATCAGCTTGCTAATCGTCGGGTTCGCTTGGTTTGCAGGATACTATAGCTTCCAGCCTGCGTTGAGAGACCTACAATCCGGGAAGGAGAGCAATACTCAGTAAGTCACACCCGTCAAGTCGGCTTTTCTTTGCGCATTGTTCCCTGTGCTGATGGAAATGATTCGCCAATAGGACTCAGCAGTCGCCTGATCAAAAGATCGCCCAGCCGTCCGCACCCAGTTCGAATGGCGATTCAAGCAAACCGGCAGCATAGCTTAACGAAACATATCCCTTCGTGAGTGCTTATAGATTGGAGCTGAAGGATGCGGTTTGGTCTGCGTTCGCCGCGACGCCGCTGCTTGGTGGTACTCTGCTGAGACACCAGAAAGCACCTGTCCATCCGGAGGTCCGATATCGTACGGAATGCGAAAACTCCGTGGCATAACGGCATAGAAGTATTGGTAGAGGCCCGCGCTGGTCACATCAGTGACAGCCTGTTGTGGCTGGATAAGCTAAGAGATTCGAAATTCACCCAGACTATATGGGTATGGCGCGACTGTATATATACGAGCCTTCACACCACATGTGGGCAAAAAGCTCAGGGTCATCTACTGTCAACTTCAGGACATGGCTGATCCCTACTCCTCGAGACTCATTGGAATCATTAGATTAACTGAAATTGTACATCCTTTACCAAAGTATACAGAAGCCTATGCCCTCCCTTGGAATAGTTTTCAAACGCCCAGCTCCAATTGCGCCCGTCTTTCCATGCTAGCCAGCTACACCTCTTGCACGAGCTTGCCGGAGCCATTGCCACCAAAGACACGGCCTGCAGGTATGCCGAGCCACTCTTCTGGCACGCCTACCCTGCTACCATCGCGTCCACTTACCCATCTCACCATCGTCGGGTCTGGCTTCTCATACTCCTGGACCTCCTGCTCTGCAGAAGCTGCTTCGGCGGCCTCAGCAGCGGGGATGCGCCCTCGTCGCTTCGGCGCCTGCTTCCGGAGAAGTCTGTTGATAGTATCCATCTGTAATCTTAATATCAGCATCATGACAAAAAGCGATATCAAGGTCTCATCCAGCTGCGGTTTGCGACAGACGGAAGTGCACGTACCTTCTCCTCCTCATTTCGCTTTTCACTTAGATTCTTTCTCCGACGGGCCATTTCGGCACGACGCATGGCACGCTCCTCTGCCGTCAGGTGCTTCTTCACCTGGGGTTCTGCTCTCAATCAGACCGAAGTTCTAAATGACCTTGCGGAACATAGACTCACCCATGGGGAGTTGCAAAAAGTCGTTACCCAAAGTTCCCCTTTGCCGTTTGGTCATCCGGCTTAGATCGGCGGTCGGGGTATCGTCGTCGCTGTCCAAATCGTCTTCTTCCTCTTCCTCTTCTTCAAGGTCCTCTGCACCACCGTTGGCCAGTATGCTTTCATCCTGGTCATCTGGCTCACCTTCCGCGTCCGAATCCAGCTCCGAGAGCTCCTCATCGTCGTCGTCATCCTCGTCGTCATTGTCCAGCTCCATCTCTTTCGCCTCTACACTTTTGACTGCTCTTCCAGCCGGCGCTGCAGCTGCTGCCGATTTCGCATGTCGTTTGGAGATTGGCGGCTGCGGGGGCGCATCATCCATGTCCAGATCTCCATCAGCATCTACGTCATCATCGTCTTCACCTGGCGCATCTTCATCGTCCACCTCATCTTCCTCCTGGTCTTCCAGGTCATCTTCGTCGCTTGTGTCGACTTCTACAAGCTTCTTTTTGGGCCTGCTAGTGCGGGGCCCCGTCACAATGGGGTTCTCCGTAAAGACGTTAACCGAACGTCTGGTTGACGCACCACTCCGAGTGCTACCACCCGTAACTTCACGAAGCTTGCTCGACGGCATTTTCACAGTCAAATGGATCGACTTCTTAGGTTCCCCGCTCAAATCAGATGCAGCGCGAAATACCGTCACCGCCGGGGACGATGCCGCAGCTCGGGTGAATCTCGTGGGCCTGGTGCTCGTGTTAGCCTCCATGCTCGGCTGGTCATCCCGCGCAGGGCGGGACCGTAGAGAGCGACGTAAGGACATGGTGGCTGGAGGATTCCGGAGGATTTCTCCGCGACCAAGATGGTGATGGCAGAAGGGAGATAACGATCACGACGACAGAAAGCCAGATTTATCAAAAACAGCAGTGGAATAAACGCGCACGGTGCGGTGGCCAGACCACGGGGAAGCACTGATGGAAAACTAGGAAAAAAGCAAACAAAGGCAGTTGGGAGAGGTGGAGGTTAAATAGCAGCCGTGATGATGGGAAGGCACCTGAGGGAAGTGGGCACGAGGGCGGAGGGGAGGGAGGGGAGGCAATGAGGGGAGTGAATGAGCGCATCTGGAGGTCAAGAGGGAGGAGGGATGGATGGATGGATGGGCAGAAGCAGCGCCAGATTACCATCATCCACCGCTAATAACGACTACGTGGGCCAGCGTTCAGGATGAGCCATGCACTCCGGAAAGGCACAGGGCATCCACCCCTATCACATCTCTGACAGACGCCACTTGGACATCCCCCCGCGACATGGACACCGAGCTGGGGCCAATGGGAGCATTCTGACCCCAGACGTCCAGGGCGTTGGGTAAATCAGAGGCGCGGTGAATCCAACGGCGCTGCCGTATCTCGCGCAACCCGGACCAACCTAGGGATTATTGCCTGGACTGGCCCAGCAGGGGTTTCCCGATGGTGCGCCGACAGGAATGACGAGGTCCAGCCATTTAAAAAGGGGGGAGGGGAGGGGAGGGGGGCGGCGCAACAGCAATAATAATCATCCGTAGGGTCGCCGGTGATGGACGATGAAACGAAGGAGAAGGCAGAGCTGGGCAGGAAGGTCAATACGAGGGCGACTCACCGAGCAGTGGTGGTCGTCCAATGCAACGCCAGTAAGACCTCTGAGGGTACACGTATGGGATGTGTCGGTACCTGATGAAGCGACCCAAGACCAAAGAACAAGACAGAATGAACCGGCGCGATCAACTCGGCGTAATAATGATCAGGAAGAACGAACGGACCAGGCCTGGGGATCGCCTCGCGGACCCGTGATGCCGTTCTGCCAGGCGGTCGGTATCCTTGGCCTCTTCTCTCTCTCCCATCCTCCCATCCCCGACTTCCCGTCCATCCAGTCTCTCAGCAAGCATGCCCTCCACGAGTTCAACTGGTTCCCGTCTATGTTTCACTCCAGTCAGAAGTATAACGCGACTCTTTGTCTTTCGTGTCTCCTCTCTCCGGGGGTGGAAATTTCGTCAACCCAAACTAGATCCTAGTCCGACTGCTACTGTCGCTATAGATCGGACAATATATTTCGAGTGGAGAGGCTAGTAGCCGTAGAGTAGCATCGCCGTTAGTAGGGAGATAGCACTCGACCAGCCAGAAGCCACCGTATCGCCATCGTGTAGCTGTATCCAACAATTGATTCACCTAGTGGTCCTAGGGTTCCAGTGTCATTTGAATTAACCTCGCTGGCCAAACTCTCCCCAAACTTACACTGGCCAAAAGGACTCCGTACACCAGGTGTAGACCACCCGTACCGGCCCCATACATACAGCAATACAGCCGAGGTCGGGCAACCCTCCGTCCCTCTCTCCGCCTCTGGACTATCTTCCCTCACATGGTTATCTCTTGCCTTCTTCTCCTCTCTACATCTCCTAATTGCGCTCCCCTTACACACCATGGCAGATTCAAAGCCGAAATCATCATCAATCCCTCAATGGCAACAGCCTAACAACGCCTCCAACAATGACTCCGACTCCGCCTCCGCCTTGTCCCCGACCTCCGATGAGACTCCACGATCAGAGCTCATTGAGCAAGCAACCAAGTTCCTCGAGGATGACTCCATCCGTGACGCTCCCACCGATCGCAAAGTGACATTTTTACAATCTAAGGGTCTCCGAGAGGACGAGATCAACACCCTTCTCGGCATATCGCCAACTTCCAAGCCGAGCGATACCACCGAGGAAGAGAAGGCCGCATCCCCAGAGACCACTGCTTCCACCAGCACCGATCCAGTACCTCCAAGCAATGCCTCAGCATCTTCATCTCAGACTTCTTCATCATTACGCCCCACCGCATCTGCACCACCTCCAGCACCAGCTAGCAAAGCCAACAACGCCCGCGACATTGCCCCCATAATCACCTACCCCGAATTCCTCTCCACGCCCACCAAGGAACCCCCGCTCGTAACCCTCCGCAGCATTCTCTATACCCTCTACGGCGCCGCGGGTCTCGGCGCATCCTTCTACGGCGCGAGCGAATATCTCATCAAACCCATGCTGGCGAACCTAACAACCGCCCGGCAAGAGCTAGCCGAAACCGCCTCGACGAACCTCAAGAAGCTCAATGAAAAGCTCGAGCAAAACGTCTCCGTCATCCCAGCCAGTCTCCTCGACGCCAAAAAGCCCGAGAAGGACAGCGACTCCGACACCGAGTCCATCACCTCTGACCCCACAGAGCTCTTCCACCGCGACGTCGCCACCCAGACAACATCCTCCGACTTCGCCCCAACCTACTCCACCACCACAGCCAAAGACACAACCACTCCCGCAGAACCTATCGCAGCAGTAGATACCCACATCAAACGCCTAGAAGTGATCAATTCCCACCTCCGCGAGTTCTCCGACACGGAGAAAGAATCCAGCACGCTGGATAGTACAATGCGCACACGACTGAACGAACTACACCACTACCTAGACGGCTTAATCTACAGTAAACCTGGATTCAGTCCACTGTCCGGATACGGGATGTACAGCACCCCCGGGATGGATTCAGGCAGTGGCACCGCAACCGGCGTGGGGAAGGCCGAGGAGGATGCAATCGCAAGCTTCAGAGCAGAGATAAGGGGTGTGAAGGGTGCCTTGCTAAGTGCGAGGAACTTCCCCGCTGGTCGTGGGGGAAGAGTCGGCGGCGTAGCGGGTCGGTAGAGACAAGCTCCTGTATATATATATTCCTCGATAGCCTCATGCGGTCCTAAGACCGCTTTTGGAAATTTTGGTATGATAATTGATGCATTCACGGTTCCAACATATATACGCACAGGATATATCATTCGACCCTCACCAAAGCATACGACTACAATTTATGTACACTTCTTAGTACCAAGGCACATGTCCACTCCTTTTCCTATGGCAAATCCGAGCGATCGAATAACAAAGTGAGTGGGAGCATGCCACAGATGGTGCACATCCGACTCAGCCGGAACCGAAGATATGTTCATCAGTTTATAGTACTATACTATACGAGAACGGAGACGCTATCTTACGAAATCGGACAGAGAGACCATTGATTTATAATAGGGATAAGAGTAAAGTCTACATGTTCTACGAGACTAGATCCAACGATAACAGAAAAACATATTTATAACATTGACATATGAAGGACAATTCGCAAGCAAAACCCGGCATGACCGGAGCATATCACGTAACCGGTGACGGGCGAATGGATCGTGAAATGATAAGGAGCAGTACAGTGAAGCAATAAGAAGACTCTTCTTTCCTTTACATACAACTCATAATCGTTTTCTTTTCTTCCAAACGTAGCCTCTTACTTCATGTTGTTTACGGGGTGGCCCGACTCATGCTGATAAGACGCTTCACACCAACCTATTGAGAAATTGTATTAGTAGGAGTTACTGGAGGAAGACTGTGAAATACTCACCATCCAGTTGCCGCACTCGTCCGTCCTGTTAGTCATGATGTCCACGTGGATCGTCCGGGCAGTCTCGTAGTCGCGCGCTTGGATGGCGCGAGCCAGCTCCGCCATGTCCGCAATCGTGTTGGGCTTGAGCAAGTCCTCGTTGTTGAGGTGGTCGAATAGGATGCTCAAACGCCGCTCCGCATCATCGACTTGTGCCTTGAAGGAAGAGGGGGCCCGGGACTTCACGCGCTGCATATCTGCGGAGAGGATCTCATAGATAGGCATTGCATCTGCCGGGATGTGGGAACGGTCGCCCGGGGCTTCAAAGGGTCAGAACCAATGGCATGATAGAAGTGGTATAAGGGGTCTACTCACGGTACTTCGGTGCGGCGGGGGCAGGCTTTCTTTGCGAAGATGCCGTGCTTGGCCGGGAACCGGGGGCGGCCTGAGGCGGCGGGGCATGCTGCTGCGCGGGCTGCACGTGTGGCGGAGGAGCACCCGAGACATACTGACTCGCGGCCGGGGGCTGAGGCGCGTACGGAGAAGCAGCCGCCTGCGGGGGCGGAGGAACAACCGACCGAGTCTGCAACTGCGGGCTGGCTGCTTGGGCTGCTGGGCTAGGAGCATACCGGTTGGACGGCGGCGGCATGGTAGGCGGTGCGTTGTATGGAGACGGGCCCCTAGGGATGGATGCTGGCACGCCCATGGCAGCGGCCGTGGGAGGAGACTGGGGCAGGGAAGCGTAGGGGTTGGCCGGCGGAGGAGGCATCGTAGCCGAAGCCGGCTGGACGGTAGGTGGCGAGGTGATCCGGGGGGGAGGAGCAGCGCCCTTTGGCGGAGGGGGGACTGAAGGTGCCCGCTGACCAACCGGTGGAGGGCCTTGGGCAATAGTGGGCGACTGGTTGGGGAACGGCGACGAAACAGCACCAGCGGTAGCGGCAGGGGTGGACCTGCGCGGCGTGGGAGCTTTGGCAAAGCCTTCAGGCAGGTCGTTCCATGCGGGCAGGTTTGTAGCGGTGGTATACGTGGTAATGGTGGGAGCAGGGGACTGGTTGGACCCTGCGCGGGGAGGCGGCGGCACGGTGCCGCCTAGGGGTTGAGCACCGTAAGCAGGTGCCTGTGGTGGCTGGTATCCTGCAGGAGTGTAGCTGCTACCGCCAGTTGGGGGTGCATACGGGTTGGTAGGCTGCAACGGCGCGGCAGCGGTAGGAGGAGCATAAGGGTTGGCAGCAGGAGCAGCAGTTGGCGGAGCGTAGGGGTTGGCAGCAGGAGCAGCAGTGGGAGGAGCGTAGGGGTTGGTGGCAGCCGCCGCCGGAGTGTAAGGCTTCGGAACAGCAGCTGGAGTGACAGGGGAGTAAGCTCTCTGGGGCTGGAAGGCGTTGGGCTGTGGGAGAGGCTTGTTAATGGCTGCCCTGGTCGCGGTAACGGCGGGTTGCGCCCTCTGGGGCGTGGCCTGTCTCGTAGCCAGCTTGATACGGTTCCGTGCGATTTCAGCTTCGGGGTGCTTCTCCGGGACAAGGTCAAGGTACTTCTGCGCAACTTGGAGACGTCCGTGGGTTGCGACAACGTCAGCATACTCGATGTACTTGTCGTACAGGGTGCTGAGCTTCCAGTCCGACTCCTTGGAGCGTTCCGTGTCTTCGAACTTGGTGACCTGACGGAAGATCGTCACCTTCTCGATGAGCCCTTGCAGAGCACGGACGTGGATCGAGAAAGCGGAGTCATCCGCAGCATCCTCAATGGCCTTGTGCTCGTTTTCACGTAGCTCCTCAATCCATATCGCCACGACCTTCTCGAGCTTGGATCCGGCCAAGAAACAGAATGAAGCATCTTTGCGCAGACCCTGCTCCTCAGTGTTGCGGAGTTCCTCCTCCAGTCGGTCACCAAGAGCCTCGCAGAGGTCGGCAAACTCCTTGTCATCGGCGAAGGTGCAGAGAGCTGCCATGACCTCCTTCCAGTTGGACAAGTCCGCATTGTAGACGACATCCCAGAGGTTCTTGCCGACAATGGAAGCCAGAAGGCGCACGTAGTTGGGGCTGTTGGTCTGCTTCTGGAAGTAGTGCTCCTGGGCCTTCTCAATGCATTTGGGACCGCCACAGATGGCAATCATGAAGGCATCGGACAGGCGATCTTCCTTGAGGGCGACATCAAGCGCCTTCTCGAAGTCTCCGAGGAGCAACGCCCGGGTGATGCCCGTGTCAGCCTCGGTCTCCGATCCGTTGAAGATATGGAAGGGGTTGTTGGTCTTGGCACCCTTGGAGGCAGCCAGGTCGGACAAGAAGCTGTCCGCCTCCGGGTTGGCATCAAACATGGATTGCAGGCGCCTGTGCTTCTTGGCTCCCGACCCGCGGGATTCCTTCGCCGCCTCCCCGTTGACTTCGTCATCCTTATCCAGCCCGAGCTTAGCCAAGCTATCGGCGGCCTCGTCAGTCTGGTCGGCAAAGCCAAGGTATTCGATAAGACCCTTGCGAGGGTTGTTGGAAATCAAAGCTTCAATGACCTTCCAGTCAGCCTTCTCCTCGTCGGTGGCTGCGTTAGCGGCTCTGCTTTCGCAGATGCTGCGCAGATCACCCTCCTTGAGTGCGTTTTCGAAGGTCTCAGTCGACTTTCCAACAGCTTCATCAACCTCAAACGGGCTGATCTTGATCTTCGACGCACGCTGTCCCTTCTCGACCAGGTTGACCGAGACCACTCTGCCTCCGAAACCGAAGGTAGCGCTGCATGGCCGTTCAAGCCACTTCGGGGGCTTGGGCAACGAGAAGCTCGAGACCTGGGGCTGGGTCTGGGCCTTGGCGAAGAAGTCCTCGCCATCCAGAGCCTGGTTCTGATCAGCGATGGCCTGTGCAGATTCGGTGCTGGTGTTCTGGATGGTCTGAATGGAGATCTTTCCATCGAACGACGCGGTGGCGAAGAAGTTGGGGTTGTGCGGGTTCCAGCGAGTCTGGAAGGTCCAGTTGGTAACGACGGGGAATTCGCCATAGGCATGTCCGGTTTGCGGGTTCCAGCACATCGTGCGGTTGTCTTTGCCGGCGGAGAGGAGCAAATCGGGGTCCTGGGCACACCAGGAAAGCGACAACACACCGAACTCATGGCCGCGAAGGGTCCTCTCGGGAGCATGTGAGTTGCGGAGATCCCAGACACAGATTACCGGATCGGATTCGAGAGGAGTCGCGGTGACAAGTTTCGTAGGCTATACTGCGTCAGCCCGGATTGCATATCCCGAGTGATGTTCATGAGCGCCTTACCTTCTCCGGGTCCCAGGCCACAGCGCTAACCGCTTTGCGGCCCATGTTATTAAGAGTCAAGCTCTCCTTCTTCGTCTTGACATCCCACACAGTAACAAAGCCTGCACTGCTACCAGTGACCAGGATGTGTGCAACCTTCTTGTTCCAATCCAAGCACTCAATGTCGTCCGCGCGGGCAGCCGTGCCTCCGAGTCGGTATGGGTTCGCGATGTTGTTCAGGTCGGAGATGTAGAGCTGTTCAAAGTGTAAGCATCATCTCCTAAGCCCGTCTAGCCCATGTAGCCTACCTCGCCCTTTGCACCACCGGTTGCCAGCAAGTTCGAGTGTTTGGGGTTAAACTGCAGAGCTTTGATAGCCCCTGAATGTTTCGAGGACCTCGAGATCAAAGCCTCACTTGCCGAACGTCAGCCAATTGCCCGCCAACTGCATATCGCACGCCGGTCAACTCACCTGGATCCATCAAGCAGCTTGTCGGCATCCCATAGATCCAACGAGCCGCTCTCGAGAGCACCGGCTATGACACCCCGCGAGTTATCTTCGGATTCGGTCCATGCTAAGTCATTGAAGCTATCGGAGCAATCCAGTCAGCCTAATCGGCATCCCTTACACGGCGGAAGACGGAATAGAGGCAAAAGGTAATTACCCGGAATCGGTATCGATCTTAGCTACCGGCTGTAGCTCGCCGCCGGTCTCGTGGCGGCTCAGGGCCAGATCCCAGAGCTCGAGACATGTCTGATTGGAGAAATCGACGTCAACAGCACCGGCCCGAGTACCAGTGGCGATCAGAGGCGAGGCAGCGCCGGGGGACCAGGCGAAGGTGGCCGTCCGGGGAATCTCCCTCAGACGCACCATGGTGAGATGAAAGGAGCGGCGGGATAAGGAAAGGGTATAGATTAGGAGAGGACCAGACTCGAATTAGGAGGGTCTGGCACCAAAGGTCATAGAAAGCAGGACGAGGAGCAACACCGGGAGCAGGGCAACCAAAAACACGAGCAGCGAAACGACCCAAGAAGACCTCCCCTCTCTAGTGCAGGAGAACCGAGGGGTGCATGTACGGTCAGTAAGTTGCCAAGTATGCGATCGAGAGCGTCACTGCAATCAACCAAGTGTCCTCCTGGAGGCGCTCGGGGGGGCTGCTGGGCCCCTAAACCGCTTTGGGCCCTCGCCAAAACACCGCCCCGGGGCACCACGTGATATCAGGTTGCTCCGTCCCAGAAAGTCGGGCCAGCGCGCGGTCGCTTTCCCCTCCTCTCCCCTCAGTGACGTCTTCCATCCTCGTCCCCTTCCGATCGCTACCCCGGGACCATGAGCGAAAAGGCTCGTTTGAAATGTACCGTCTACGTGGGGGGGCTGGATCAGGCCGTGACGATGCAGACGCTGGCCGAGGCATTCGTTCCTTTTGGTGAAGTCGTCGATATCACCCTCCCCAAGCCCGATCTCCCCAACTCCAACGAACTCCACCGCGGATTCGGCTATGTGGAGTTCGACCTGCCCGAGGATGCGAAAGAGGCGATCGACAACATGGATGGGAGCGAACTCTACGGCCGGACGATCAAGGTTGCTGCTGCCAAGCCGCAGAAGGATAGCAACGAAGGGCTCGGCAGCAAGACAGCTATTTGGGAGCAGGTGCGCAGCGACGCTAATCTGAGCTATACATCATATGCTAACTGGGTACGAAACTACAGGAGGGCTACCTGGCCAAATACGCTGTCGATGAGGAAGACAAATTGGCCGCCGAAGAGGCGCAGGCCAACGGGAACGAACGTCAAGACCCCATGCAGGGATTGGAGGAGCTGGACGTGGCCGGACCCAAGCCGGAGTGAGCGCTTTAACGACGCAACTCGCGCCAGGGAATTGGCGAAACGAAAAAGGAAAAGCAGAGAAGGCGGCGACAGTAATATGCGATATTACTCCATCAGAACCCTTCGTTTAAAGCCGTACTATTTACACGCGCTCCAACCCTGAGCCTGAGCAATTTCGAGCATTCCATTCTTCTCTGCCGCTGCGCGACAGGGTCCAACTATCCCGTGCATGATACAGATCGCCGACAAATCAACCAGAGAATCGCCCATTGCAATTTGATTCAAATGTGATGGTACATTCTTAGTGGTCACGCTCCTCGGGGCTGTTGCGGTAGAGACGGAGGGTCTTGTCGGTCATGAGCTTCTTGGAGCTGGAGTAGATGGCAGCACCAACGGCGACACTGCAATGGAACTGTGTCAGTGGGGGGCAGGCAAGACTGCGGGAGTGGGAGGGGAGGAGATCGGTGGATCTTCCAGACATGTCATCTAGAAGCCATAGGATATCGGGCAAAGAACATACCCAAGGACCAGACCTGTATGATTCAAGAAACTGTAATTAGCCTAGCCTTCTTCCAATGGCAAGGGGTTCTCAACCGCGACGTACCGAGAGGGATCAACTCCGGGGGGATTCTCTTCAGAGTGCGCAGACGCTGAGAGATAGTGTGGGCTAGAAGCCAGGCGTTAGTCCAATTCCCACTCCAACACAACAATCAATCCGTGACGCCTCTGCCAAACGCGCAACCGGGGGGAAGCCCCATACCGCTGTGGTTTTCCTTCTGCAAATCGGTCAGCCATCATGTCAACCAGTGGGCGTAATTTTTCCCTTCGGCCACGCCCACACGGGGACCAACACCACTCACAGGAGCAGGAAAAGCAAAGGGCCGAGAGGCCTGCATGCGCAGAACACGAGTCGGGAACATGGCGAAGAGCTTGGGAAGGGTGGTGGTGCAAGAGACCGGAGGTAGGTGTGGGATGGCAAGATCGGAAGTGGTGACGGAAGTCTGAGCTTGCTGGAAGGGGAGGTTGAACCAATGGGCCGAGGGGGGAACTTAGGTAAGGCAGTCGGGTGTGTTTAGGAAACCTTGGCGCATGAGTGGCTCGCTAGGCCTGAGGCGGTCACTCGAACTTCCGGCTTCACTGCTTCACGGGTCATTCCACTCCACCGGCCGCAGAACCTCCTCTCTTTCTCCAGATCTCTTCTCCCCCTCCCCCTCCGCCCTTCCCCCCCAATTCCCCCTCAAGTTTCCTTCACGAGGTTACTACTTTCTCTACCGTCACAATGGGTGCCATTCCTGAAGCCGATCCCGATGAGCCCGTCGAGACCAAGCCCTTCAAGTTCGTGACAGGTGAGCTTTCCCTTCGGGTCCCAATGGGGTCAATTCGTGTTGTAAAGGAAGTCAATTGCTAACGATTCACAGCTGGTATGTTTACTATAGGATTTTGAGCATCCGCGTCGTTATCGCGGCTGTCGTGATCGAGATTTTCGTGCGCTGACACTGGAGGTGATGATAGGCTATGACGCTCGTTTCCCCCAGCAGAACCAGTACGTGATTTTCACCTCTAGACTCGGTCCTAGCTCCGCATCCGTAACTGACCATCTCCCCACAGGACCAAGCACTGCTGGCAGAACTACGTCGACTACCACAAGTGTGTCACCGCCAAGGGCGAGGACTTCCGCCCATGCCGTCAGGTAACTCACCTCGATGTACATTGCCAACCAACATCCTAATCACCGCTGAAATAGTTCTACCACGCCTTCCGCTCTCTCTGCCCCAAGGCCTGGACCGACAGATGGGACACCCAGCGCGGTATGTAATCAATTCCTTCCTGTCTATCAATATCACGTCCCTTTGATATCCACCCTTCCCCCCCAAGGCTCCCATCAGCACCAAACTAACACTTTAACAGAGGCCGGCAACTTCCCCGCTCGCCTGGACCGGTAGATGCGTAATCGCTTTCCCTCACAGTTGATTGAATTTCAAGTGTTTTCCGTGTCTATCAACATGTACTCTACCCTTAGTTGATCCAGCGAGAAATGTTAGATCCGGACCCCCAGACACGCCAACTGGGGAGATGGGTGTATATAGACTCGCGTAGTTGCAATGAATGTGCGAATGTCTAGCACCCTGTAGCTGTAACCCTCTATACCCACCATATCTTGAACATCACATGTTCCTTTGACCCGGTATATGCCGACCCGAACGGACCGGATAAATTCTCCCACCTACCACTAGTACTACTGATAGATTATGAAGTGTCCGACCAGGTAAATAGGTACCACTAGGTCACATTAACCGCGGGCAGATAAGCTACAAACCGCCGTACTCCGAATACCAACCCAATATCCCGAAAACGGAGATCGTATGATCGGCTTATCTAACCACCTCCTTTTGCACGACTTCTGTCTGCAAAGCATGGGTTTGAACATCACATGATGAACCCTACCTGGAGACTCCCTCGCTCATTTTCCCAGCCAGTAGCACTTCGTCGACGAAATCAAGATACTTTCCTGTGCCGCTTTCTATTCACATCCAAGATCAGCCGTCACCACAGAGCCTCTCCGTCACCACACCCATCACGATGCCTTCATGCCATGGCTCACGCGTCAAGGGAAGATCTCTACCACCCTGAGGTAGATATTGAAGATCTCGAGAACTATGTGCCAGGCGGATACCACCCAACTCTCATCGGAGACACCTTTGGTAGTGGCCGCTATACCGTCGTTCACAAGCTCGGGTTCGGTGGATATTCAACCATCTGGCTCGCCCGGGATCAGCAACGCCAACGCTACGTATCACTAAAGATACTGACTGCGAGAGCATCGTCAGATAGCCGCGAGGGGCAGATCCTCACCTACTTGATGAAGAGCGACCTTACCCATGCTGGAAAGCAATTCATTCCGCCCCTACTTGACCAATTCTCGTTTCACGGTCCCAACGGGCATCATCGGTGCTTGGTCGGAGAGCCTGCTGGATGTAGTATTTCCAAGTCCAAGGAGGACAGCACAAACTTTATGTTTCCCCCGGACGCTGCTAGATCTATTGCCGCCCAGCTCCTTTTAGGGTTGTCTTATCTGCATGCAAATGGCGTATGCCACGGAGGTGCGGATCTATGCAGCGCCGTTTCCTGATCCCGCATACTAATCCCAAGCAGATCTCCATTTGCGCAACTTTCTCTTACGCATACCAGACTTCGACGGCCTAAGCACAGCCGAGCTATATCAGCGCTTCGGCGAACCCTCCGAGGTTCCAATCCGGCGAGTGGATGGAAAGCTCGGTGAACCCCACGCACCGCCGCACGCCATCTATCCCATGGCTATGAGCATGCCTGCCAACGAGCTGGATAACCCAGAAATCATCATCTCGGATTACGGAACGTCCTTTGTTGTGTCACAAACCCCCTCACCGACCCTCCACACTCCGGCCCTTTATTCTCCCCCAGAAGAGTTCTTCAATGAACCCATCACTCGACCCACCGCAGCTGACATATGGACCCTAGGGGTCAACTTGTACGAGGTCTTGGGCGAGCGTCCCCTCTTCGAAACATTTGCCTGGGACCGAGATGACATTGTCGCCGAGATGATCAATACGCTGGGCCAACCGCCCGTGAGATGGTGGAATTGTTGGGCTAACCGCTCCGAATTCTTTGAGGCAGATGGGTCATGGGTCACTGACTTCCGCCGTATCAGCACTCCCGTCTTCCGGCGGCTGCGTCAGCGCCTCTGGGACATGGGCCGTGGCGAGACGGAGCAGACGTGCCAATGGGACGTTGCGGGTGGTGAGCTTCGTGCGCTGGAGAACTTGCTTAGAGCGATGCTGGCGTTTGAACCTGCGGAACGACCGACCGCGGATCAACTCCTCCGGTCGGAGTATATGGTGAAGTGGGCGTTGCCTGCGTGGGAGAGGCAGAGGCAGAGGCAGAGGCAGAGGCAGAGGCAGAGGCAGAGGCAGAGGCAGAGGCAGAGGCAGAGGCAGAATAGCGCTCACTAGCAGATGAGGAGCATTGACTGTCTGCGACAAGTAGATTGATCAATATGCATCCTCCCACTCCAGCAGTTCCGATAATATGGATGTCATCATCGCCGACCTCAAGAGGCGGCGCCTGTCTATGACTCGAAGCCATTGGCTGAGACTTTCTTGGATAAAGGCGCCGTATGAAGGAGCTGTATTGCCCATTGAACCTCGCCAGGGGATGTTCCATGTAATGAATGACGGAATCAAGCGCTCTTGTCATCAAGCTCTGAATAACTAGTAGATGTGACACTATATCTGCCAATCTGTCCAACAGAACTCAATATAGCGCTCAAGGAAGTACCAGCCGAGAAAGCTAGAAGTGCTACACTCTTTCACGTGTTAAACCCTTAGAAAGCCTTGGGTTCCGACGCGGAGAAAATCGATCGTTAGCCCATTTGCAAGGGTGGTGATGGACACAGAGCTGATCACTTCGCTAAGAGATATACTACTCTTCTGGACAGGTTATATCCCCTCTGCAGGTGATACACGTCTCCAGTTAGTTAGGTTTACATCTACTATAGATGGTTCTAGGATATCTTCACCCGTGGAACAGATCTCCCTTTCTTTCTCCAATAGAAGCCAGTAATAGTAATAGCATTGATGATAATAATCCGATGCTGGAATTCTTCCTTCTTGAATCTGAACTAAAGATCCAGCCATGATCAAGATAACATTCATTACACACTACATGCTGATAGGATCCTATAATGATTTCATTTTTAAAGCTCCCCCCCCCCCCCAATGGCATCCCTGATCCCCCACTCTTCCCCAAGCGCTGCGATGACTTCAATATTCATGACTCGGCTATTCGTTCTGGTAGTGTTCCCGGGTGGGGGTTTCTTGTCTGAGTTGAAATCCATCTCCTGCTGTTCTTTGATTGTCCCCGTTCTTGTCTAGCTTTGCGTGATACCTCTATATAGCAAGATGATATGTACCGTCGGACTTCTCGTGCCTGCTTTGTTTAGCAGGACCGACAGCCAATGAAGGCACTCCCGCTTGGTCTGAGTCTTGGAGGTAGCATTTCGGATGAAGCTGAGAGAAAGAGAGAGGGATGTTGAGATGCTTGGGCTTTCTGAAAAAAAAGGAGTGGGAGCGGTGGTCGTGGACACGTCCTCCGTCTATGTCAAGGGGTTGGGTCTGCGGGTCAAGTTGGCCATTACATTCATCTGGTCATGTATCGTTTGTTCTATCAAATCCTATGTCCTCAGTGTCTCCGAGTCCGATAGAAACAAAAGCGCAGGGGAAATCCAACTCTAATAACATTCCAATCTACTCTATCTAACCATTCCACGTCTCTAACTGAGCAAACTAGATACATAGATCAAACAAAGGCAAACAACCATCCAAGCATGCACACTCTATAACAATCTGGTCTAAGCAAACATGGGTAAATAGCAGGATCTAATGTTCAGCGCAAGTTCCGTCCTCGTGGCCACGAGAAAAAGGAGGGATAAAAGGAAGGATATGAGGTGCTGTCAGAGGGGGATCAAACAGACAGACGGTTGTCATAAAACTAGAGGACAGAAGTCACGCAAGCCAGCCCGGAGATGTAAAGAAAAAAAAAGGAAAAGTGGTCTATAGATTATGTACAGAGGTATGATCACAAGTGAATAAGGAAAAAAAGAAACAAGACTTTTGTCCTCCGGTAATGCTTCGCCAAATAAGATCACAAAGAGAGAAAGAAGAAAACCGTCTATGCCGTGAACGAGGAATCGGAACGGATATCACAGATATGTGTTCAACACAACAGGCAACAAGAACAAGGCACAAAACACTGATTCAACTTCAGTGCTTGCCCGTCTCAGGAATCCCCTTGAACAAGCGGTAAAGCTTCTTGTGTTCCTCGAGGAAGATAAAGGTAGCAATGGTATGAGGACCCAAGCGGATAAAGCTAGGAACCCAGCCGCGGAAGGCCCAGGCGAGGCCCTCTTTGCGGGTGATATCGCGCAGCAAGCCAATGATGCTCTGACCGCGGCTCTCGGCGGGGGAGGCGCTCATGACGCGGGTCTTGATGACATCGACGGGACTGCAGACCGTGGTTGCGACGAAGCCGGCCATGAAGGAGGCGGTGAAGTGCGTGCTCATGTTATCGGACATGCCGAGATGTTCAATGCACAGGCGCTTGAAGGAGTCGTAGGTGGCCAATTGCGAAGTGGTCATGAGGATGGCACGGGTCGAGTTCGGCCAGACGCCGCGGAACAAGCTGGCGGCACCCTCGGTGCGAGACATAGTCACCAGACCGTGCAGCGCATTGCGGTAGTTCCGGCGCTGGGCCGGGGGGAGAGCAGCGTCGGACTGCATGCGCACGTTCAGGACATCGGCGGGGTTGCCGGCAATACCGCCGATGAAGCCGGAGGTAGAGGCAATGGCGATCAGGCTCAGGAGGCCGGGAGGCGAGTCGGGGGATGTGAAGTAGTTTTTGAGTTCTTCATAGATACCGAAGCGTGTGGTGGAGTAGGTAATTTGGCGCAACATTGCGGCCGACAGCTACACTGGCTGGTCAATTGACATCAACCCTCAGGTACGGATCTCGATTGGTACATACCCCACTGTATAGACCCCGGAGTCCGTCATTCTTGACCACATGTCCGAAGGTGCCGATCATAGTCGAGGGGGCACCAGGCCCACGGGTTTGCAGGCGAACCTATGAATGGTGAAGCGCACATCGATCAGTGTCTGCGATAACGGGAAGTATAGCACGGCGAACGCGAGAAAACCGGGGCGATCATGAAATCAACGCGGGAGGCGAAATTACCTTGACTGCAGTCGACCATTAGTTTCCAAACCGATAGACTTTTTTAGATTAGAGCTTACCAAGATCCAGAGGATGAGTGACGGCAGCGGCCATGCATGATGCTGAACCACCGAACCAGAAAGGATAATGAACTTTTTTTGCAGGGGTTGACACAACCGCCGGCTGTGGGGGATGCGACGTCTCCAACTTGGCGCCGCTTGCCATGGTGGACATTTCAGCGGAGGGAAGAAGAACCCGGGGAGGAGGGGAGAAAGAGCGGAGAGGTGGAGGGAGGGGAGATTGCAAGTTGAAGCACCGGAGCAGGGGAAGAGCAACAATAATAATCTTTCGTCTGACGAGAGAGAGAAGGGAGCGTAAGTGGAAGTAATACGCTGGTAATCTAGCTCGGCGCCGGCCATAGATCAAGTCTCCGAAGCCCTGCTTTTCGGCTGCGCTAACCGATCCTGGCTGTCCGGGGCCAATCAACTGCTCGGTTTGCCGCGGTCGGACGGACGCCGAGCGGTAATGCTCGGTAATGGGGGTATTTCAAGAAGCCTTCTCGATCACTGCGGGGGCCATGCCATCGTGATTATCTCGTGCGGTGACTTCATGTGGATGCGGTCGGTCTTTCAATTGCCTCCGATTGATGGGAACCATGAGGATGACCAGTAGGAGCTTTCTGGTCACCTGTCGGCTGACCGCGACAGTAGTACGGAGTACTCGATCAGACTCTGCGTGGTTCGCCACTACGTCACGCTGCATGTCTTATGCGGCGGATGAATTAAGGTACTATGAAGCGGCTACGCTGGATGGGTGGACCACGTCAGGGATTGATTTCGGTCTTGTATCCTGGCACCGAATGGAGATGGCGATATCTTCTCAACATGATTCTACACAGTTATAGTACAAAGGCCAGTCGCAGTATCCTGCATATAGTACATCACAGCATCCGGAAGTAGAACCCGCGGCAATCACCGGAGCTCAACTCCCAGCAAGCCCACCAGTTTCTGGCGCACCTTCTCATGCAGGTCGTTCGTCTCTTCATTCGTCAGGGTGCGCTCCAGGCTCCGGTAATTGATGCGGTAGCACATGCTCTTCCGGTGGGTCTTGGGATGGGTGAACTCGTCAATGAGTGTCACATCCTCCACCAAATCTCCTGCCTCACCGCGGACAATCTCCATGATATCATTCTCATGGACAGGTGCGGCTCCGCCCGCAGCACTGCCGCCGCTAACGGACGCGGAGGGAAGCCAGAATGCCACATCCTTGTAGCAAGCGGGGTGCTTAGAGAATGGCTCGAAGCGGGTGATCTCACCCGCTCTGAACTGGGACAGGAATCGCTCATCACGCGACCAGAACAGACGAATGTCCGGGATGTTGAAGAGGAGCATGGCGATGCGCTCCAGACCGATACCGAACGCCCATCCGACGCGGTTCGGCACGTCCGAGTTGTTCAGCAGCTCCTGCTTGATCACACCGCAGCCAAGGACCTCAAGCCAGTCTCCCTGCCAGAACACTTCCAATTCCCAGGACGGACTGGTGAAGGGAAAGTATGCTTCCACCCAGCGGACCTTCAACGGCTCTGGTGCCTCCGCGGACCCGGCGGCGGCCTTGCTAGCCTCGGTAAAGATCTTGATCACCATGCGCTCGAGGGATCGCTTGAGATGTGCCGCGATGGCCTCGACTTCCTCCGCGCTGTGGTGCTCAGCCTGAAGGGGGTTTCTCTGGGCATGGATGGTAGGGTTGGGATCCTCGACCTCGACGTCATGAGTCGGGATTTTGTTGACATCCTTCATGATCGCGACGGCCGTTTCGCTAGCATGCTTCAAGGGTTCATTATCCGGACGCTTCCAGAGCATGGCGCCTTCCATCTGATGGAAAATCGGGTAGTGGCTGCGGTCAATCGCATCCCTCCGATACACATCCGCGACAACAGTATAACCCACTTCCTCCGGGCGCGTACTCTCATTGCGACTGATCTGCTGGAAGTATGCCTGCTGGTGGGCACTCGTGTGTGTTCTCAAGACCGTCTTATCATTGACGTAGTACGTATCCGTCCGACTCCGGCCGGGGTGATCCAGAGGGAAGCCCAGGACATCGAAGTTCTGCGCAGTCGAAACGACGGGGTTCTTCTCGGTGTAGTTTCCATAGGTCGGACCGGCAAACTGACTCTCAATCAATTGGCGTGTGATGGCGAGAGGGTGGTTCTCATCGAGGTATAGCCGACGTCCAACATGGGAGAGGATTGTATCCGGGGTGTTGGTCCACTGATCTGTGCGGTAGGACTGACCTTCGATGGTCAAGGATTGCCGCGCAGAGGCCGGGGTAGCGGGTTTGCGATCAGCATCTGTGTTGTCGTTTGTCCGGCGGATGGCCGAAGAGCTCCAGGCTCTCCGCTTCACGGCCAAAGGCTCGGAGAAGTGCGAAAGCGGGAGGCGGATGCTCCGACGGGGAGATGGAATTGCCCATCTGGCGCTACTGGCGCGCAGGGCCCTCCCTGTGGCAAAGAGACGCATCTTCGAGTGCTGCGTGATGCCGAAGGCAATTAAGAGCTGGATGCGGCGCTCGACAGCTCCGAGCCGACAAATCGCATCGGGCCGGGAAAATGAGGCCCCGAGGGATATACGGCCAACAACTACTGAATTTCCAACAATTAGGTGAGAAAAAGGACAGCAAGCACTGTTTTTACTGCTGTCCTCAATATACCGAAAATACAAGTACAATTACCGACAGCCGCAACGCGTCTCATGATAGCTACAAAGCACGCGTAGACTCATCCACCGTTTGATCAATGACTTCTATTAGTCGTCTAGATCAAAACACCTGCATTGCCATCCAGGCAACCAAAGTGATGCAAGAAAAACAACATGATTCAATGCCATGCAAAAGTCATCCATATCCGGGTCAATGCCAATCCCAACATCACAAGACCACTTTTCATGAGGAAAGAAAAGGAACAAAGACACCAGCCAATGATAATATACAGAGTAGGGAGGAGAGAGTTCCGAAGCAACGCCAAGAAACAGAATAGCAGAAGCAGAAGGCCACATAGGAAAGGTGTATCATACACATGCGTTCATAGACAAAGCAGCAGTGATCCGGGCATCCCCGGATATTCTAAGCCCCGTCGAATTAACGTAAGTCGATCCCCATCATAGCGAAGACATATTTGGTATATTATACAGGAAGGTAAGACAGAGTTGAAAGTAGAGATGAAAGTGAAGAAAGGGTTATCGTGTTTGAAGAAAGGTCTAGTTGTTCTTGACGACACCGACCTTGGCAGCCTGCAGAAAATTGTCAGCATCAAATTCCCGCAAAATGACTAGTGGAGCAAGCACTTACCCGCAGGACGCGGCCGTTGAGGCGGAAACCAGTGCTCTGAGTGTACATGATGTCGCCGTCCTCCTTGCCCTCGACCTTGGCCATGAAGGTGGCCTCGTGAAGGTTGGGGTCGAACTTCTGGGCCTTGCCCTCCTCGGTGAGCTCGCTAGGGTCGTAGCGCTCAAGACCATGCTTCTTCAGGGTGTTCAGGAGAATGTTCTGGGTCATCTTCAGACCAGAGACGAGCTCCAAGAAGTCCTTGTTGGCCTCAGTCTGGGGAGCATCGAGCTTTTCCTTGGGAACGGCAAGAAAGGCGCGGTCAAAGTTGTCGATGGACTCGAGAAGATCGCCCGCAAAGCGCTGGATGGCGAAGTTACGAGAGTTCTCCATATCACGCTTAGTGCGCTCCTGCAGGTTGAGGAAGTCGGCCTTGGAACGAAGCAACTTGTCCTATCGAAAAGGTTAGAGAGGAATCATAGGCACCTTTTGTTATAGTTGAAACAGAGCAAAGGGTGGATTGAATTAGGAGCGCTCGCATGACGAGCCAGGGAGCTTTACCTTCAAATCAAGAGCTTCCTTCTTCTTCTCTTCGAGCTCCTTGCGGACCGGGTCCTCGGCCTCCTCAGTGGCAGCCTCGGTCTTCTGCTCACCGTTCTCAGTGGAGTAGAAGCGGTAGGCAGACTGGCGGGCAATTGGACGGACCACCTGGGGGATCTGTGACGTGCGACGGAGAGCCGATGTGGTGGTGGAGGTAGGGCGGACGGCAAGGAGAGACCGCTGGGCCTGTCTGAGGAAGGTTCTCTGGAACATTTTGAAAGGTTAGGAGAGGAAGTCCGTGACAATGGATGACAGAGCAGGGATAGGCAGGAATGGAGTCGTGAGGTTGAACAAGAACAGAATCGCCGATATCGAAACAGAACTTTCGGCGGCTTCAGCTGACCGCCTTCACCGGGAGAAACCTCGGGCCGGATGATCGCGTGCCTTCCAGTGGCCTTACCATAACAAGGCCCTGCGGGGTTGTCCTTGCATTCTCCTTGAGACTATCTATTTTCTCATGTCTCTGCAACCGATAAAAGGCTGTATACAAAGAGAATATCTAGCTCATGAGTGCCGCCTAGATATGGAGCACCAGATCTCTCCCATACAGGAAGGCGGTAAGCACCGCAGTGGGTAGTATACTGCCTGCACAGGCCTGTCCCACGTGCTCGATGGTGCTGATCCTTTGAAGGGAGCAATCTGCGTCCTGCAGAGGAACAGTTCCAATGCATGCCTCGCCGCAGTAGAGGATAGCAGGTATGCCATGGTGTCCAACTGAATATCTCCCAGCTTTAAAGAGTTTCATGTCTTCGTTCCATAGAACGGTGCTAGAGCAAGACCCAAAGTCTCTACAAACACTGCAAGAAGTCGAGATATGTTGGGACATGCTATATTCCACCTTCTACGCCCGGAGCTAGAAAGGATATATCCCTTTGGGCCTACGTGGTGCTTGACAGAATATCAGCAGCGCATACACTCCCCGCCCGACCTGGTCACGCTGCCAATCATTGTTCACGCAGCTTGGCCTCGACTATTTCAGTCCTCCCCCGCATCCAGCGAGACCATGTTGAGTGCATTCGTCTCACGAGATAGGCTTGGCAGATGTACGCCTGTTATCATGCATTTGAATTATCCAGTCCTCTTTCTCATCAATGCAGAGATATTGGGCCAGTATATCCCAGCATCTTTCTATGACGCAAGGCTTTGCGCAACAGCTACGTCGTATGTGTAACCGACAAGGAAGCCCCGTACTCGGCGCACAAGTGACCTCTGGCTCAGAGAATGGGCCTCGGACCATAGATCAATTTTTCGTCTTGATCAAATCCTTAGCAACATCTTCCTCCCGATCTCCTTCCTCGAGTCCGTTGCTCAGCCCGGTGGCTCTCCTGTAAAGAGGCTGATGATGCTCCGTTAAGGCAAGATATTACAGTCGGACATCCGCAAACTAGAATTAGTGGCAAGTAGGATTCCGAGTGCCATAAAGGTCGGGTCTGGGATGAGACAGTCTTCTCGGACAGCGCACAGCTGGCATCTCTGTCTTCAACGGTACGGCAGCCCCAATATGAAGGCTGGCTCGGGTTCCACACACCGGATATAAAGACCGTTTCAGGCTATAGCATTTCCCTAATTGAGGGAATATCAGCGTGCGCCTCCAATGACACGACAGTCCGACCTTGACATGTCGCCACTGGCTAGACACTATAGTGCTTAGATGGCTATGCCGACTGGATGACCTAGTCTCCTCCGATGACCTGGTTATAATGTCGTGGGCAGCACAGAAGAGGCTGTCTAAGTAGTCCAGAGCAACAGCTTATGAGTACTACTCGCCAGGCATATGATGTAGAGGCGTTGGATGAGGAGAAAAACCGCTCACATGACCCCCCATCACCGTGTCGTAAATGGGAGTCGCTTCCGGTGAGCTATTAGCCTGAACTGCGCCTGAATGCCAAGCATGGAATCCAATATGAGCCCCCACAAACCAAAGGAAGGCAACGAAAGGGCCCGTCCAGGTGGCTCTCCAGATCGATGGTTCCTACGATGGCTAAGACAATTGCTGAACAAAGACGTTGCCTAGGCTGCGACGGCACAGCTGCCAAACAGTATGAAACGAATCTGGCTGAGGCTCTTCCATCGAGTTACAGTGCATGCGCCCTCATGAGCCGCACTAGAAAGGCTTGTGCCAGTGCAAAGCCTTGCTTTGGTATAAAAGCGGCGGAAACGACGGTCATGCAACTGCCTGTCCGTCAGTATCGACAGCCTCGACAGATTTTTGATACAACGATGCATCCCATAAGGCTCCGCGTACATATGCTGTCTCAACCTACGTTTGGCTAACCAAACGCATCAGATTAATCAGATTTGTAGTGTGCAACCTGGCTAGCAGATTGGACCCTAGCGAGCGGGTGCATTGCATGATGGGGACGCATCAGGGCAGCCGAGTGGCTATGCCAGCGTACGGGATGGACGTGGTCAGAGCTCAGGGCTTAGCTAGGTAGGTTCATGCAGTGTCACCCACGGTCTCTCCAGGCAGACAGAAACTGCCCGCGGGATAGGAGAAGAAGAAAACCGATGAGATAAGCCGCATCGAAATTGGGGGGTCTCAAGGCATCATGAGCCTTGCAGGAAGCCATAGTACAACAGTCAAAGACCGCTCTGGAAATAGGAGCATGAGCAAGCCACGAGCCAGAAACAGCACCTGTGACATCGTCGTACAAGGCAAAAAAAGAGGCTGCAGATAAAGTTGTGCGGAATCTGGCGCTGCAGGGTCCTAGCCCGGGGCATTGGCGACGGTGACAGCCAAGCTGCCTCACCTCGGGGAGGCTTGGACTAGAGCTGAATACGTGGCCAATACGTCTATGCAGTAGCAGGAGCATGGTATGCATGGGCCAAGGTCAGAATCTTGCCTGCCTGGAGTAGCGATGCCGATAGCTTGGGGCCATCGCCAATTGGACTGTTGGAGAGCGTAGGTATCCGTATTCCGTGATCTGCGATTCATCACCGGCTCTCCACTGTCGGGGCGGAGCTGCATGACGATGGAGCATGGAGTGTGCGGAGAAACCGGAACCATGGACGAGTGCGATCCTTAAGGAAGACAGATAGGGGCAGGGGAGCAACTAGGGAGCAATCATGTGTCCCGGTCAGTGGGCACGACGTATGTAGTATCCAAGATGCCGGGGCTGGTGATGGAGTCATTGGACACTAGCGAATGAAGGATCATCATCCATTCAGGGACTCAGGAGTCATCCCGTTGAGACACCGAGACTGAGGACGAGGAACAGTCAAGCCACAGTTAAAATCCATCCCGGAGAGATCCGCACCGAAGAGCAGCGAATGACATGAGGGACATCGTCATGGAAGCAACCAATAATGGGGCCTCTAGTGGCAATAGTGGCCGTTCAGCCACATCTTGCCTCGGTCTGTGGCGAATGCCGCCCGCGTGCGGAGATCGCCAGGCACGAATTTGGGCAAGTCCGAATTTTCATGAGAAGGCAGTGCAAAGCCAGACGCGAAGGCCGGCGCTGCGCCTCCAAGTCGACGAAGACGGGTAGATCGGTCGCGCCTATAAGATGCAAGCGGTTGCGTCTGCAGAATCCGTCCTTCCCAGCTACCATCTACACAGTACACAGTACTACTAGACCTTCAAGATCAGATCCAGATTGGATGTTCGGGTGCTTGAGATCCACGCCTTGAATAAGCGCCCGCCAGTCGACGTCCCGCCGCTTATCTGCATTCCAGTCGCTTTATCATCGCCGCCTCCTCCACTTCACTTCACTTCTACCTCTACTCTCTACCATCGACCTTCTCATCTCTTTCTTCCTACACTCATATCCTACTACCCACAACACAATGAACACAATGACCATGAATACCTCACCACCTCAATCTCTCACCTCCTCTCCCTCCATCGGCGCCCGTCGATCCTCGGCCTCATCCCGCCCATCTCTCACCCTGGACATGACCAACCTGCCACCGCTCTCTCAACCCACGCCCCCCTCCAACACCCTCATCATCACCGATCTGAACGACCTCGTCCTCTTCCAACCCAACTCTCTCGCCGCTCTCCGCACCTACCTGGAATCTCTCGCCCCTCTCAACTCCTTCTCCCCTCTCCCCTCTCTCCGCCGCATCGTCTGCTCCTTCCACACGGACTCCGACGCTCTCCGCATCCGCAAACTCCTAACCGGCACACCGCTCCTGGACCGTCCCGTCCTCCCGAAGGTCTACTTCGGCGAACCCACCCCCATCCTCGCCGACATGGAATCGCGCCCTAAGCTCCTCGAGGCCCCTCAAATCGACAAGCTCTTCTTCATCAGCCCTCCCCCTTCCCCGCCCCACGGATGGGTCATGCGCCAGGAAGATCCCCCGAACAAGGAAGTCCACGCCAGTGATCTCGCTCACGCTCTCGCCAAGCTGAAGACCGAGCAGTCCGGTACCGCGGAGGTGACGGAGCCCGTCCCGACGGCCATGGCATCCATTGAGCCCGGGACCCCGATGTCCATGACCTCCGATAAGCGGACGGGGAGCTGGCCCGTGGCCCTGTCACAGACCCGCAGTCGGAGTAGCACGCTGATCTACCACCCCGAGGACCACGGGGGCAGCCCGAACTTGCCGGCGGTCATGGTGGAGGATACGAGCGCCTCTCCGGATGAGGATATGGATATGGATGTCGAGATGAGCCCGATCGAGATGTCGGTGAAGAAGATGCCGCCCAAGACGTCGCGGCCGCCTGTGGAACTGATGGAGGGGATCTGAGTGCAGTGTTGCACTATTCTCTCTGTCTCCGTTTCTGAGTGTTATTTTGGCTTTCTTGTACAGTCTGGCGCATCCGGTTGTTTCTACTCGGCATGCATGGGTTCCTTCTTACGCTCGGGATGCATTGTTTTTGGGCCATTGGGGTATGCAGTTAATGTTCTCCTGCTCCGACCATGGATGGCGTTTTTGGGCTGGGAGATTGTCTTGTGCACATAAAGCATTGGTTATGAAGCATTTTTCAGCATTGTTGGCTTGGTTTGGATTTTCTCTTCTCCCCTTCTGTCTATCGGTATTCGATTCTACAAACCGGTCTGTATATATAGTGGCATAAATAAGACGGGCCTACCCTTTCGATTGTGCATCGTGATACCCTCATTCCGTAGAGACAGTGCCCGCCAAGTAGCATATCTACCGGTCTAGTCAAAGAGCACCACGGCACTGTGCCGGACAATCTCCGGACCCAGCACCGCCGCCAATTCGGCAATGATCCCCTTGACTGATTGCGGGTTATCAAGAGGCATTTTCTCCCATCCCACAAGGTCCTACGAAGGTAGTTGGTCAGTTTGCATGCGTCTAGATAGCCGGAATCGGACGTGTGCTCACAATCATATGTACGAATGTTCCATGGACTAGAAGAAGCCAGTGATCCAAGTCCAGAGCCTTGACTTCGTCCATCGTCAATGCTCCGGGCATGTGCAGGTCGAATAGAGACACCTCTTCGTCGTTGATCTCGGCATCTGCTTCGGAGCGATCGTCCCCAGGGTTGCTGTCGGATTGGCGGTCCCGGGAAAGAGAGACGTAGGGCCGCTCGTCGAGCTTCTTGGAGAGTTCCCCATCAAGTGGATCCCATGTGTAGGTCTCCGGGTCTGTGTAGGTGCGTCAGCCGTGTTTTGGGGAAACTGAAGAGCTTGCTTGATAGATGCTGGGAATTACCTAGAATGTACTGTGGGCGGAAGGTGCCCTTGTAGCGCATCTTCTGGCACGAGTGGATGTAGTAGCCTGTTAGTCGACTTAGTGGGGTCCCTGCAGAGATATCGAGGGTTGATAGCCTACCCATGTAGTAATACTGGTATTGAGCTTCAACCGCAAGGGCAATTTCTCGCACTGCGCTGAGTTTCCCAAACTCCCACTGCTCGTAGTCCGGATCATAGCTGATCTTGTTAGTTGTATCCGCCGCTGCTTGCGGTCAGGTACTTACAAGATATAGACCGAGCTCACCCCAGTCGGCATGAGGTCCAGTACCGCCACGGCGATGAGCTTTCCATCCAGTCGGTAGCACTGATGCCACGACCCTAGCTTCTTCTCGTCCGACTTAGCGGGATTGGCCGGGGACCGCGTCAAGCCTGAGCAGAGGAAGCGTTTGAAGTCCTTGTTTGCCCATTTGGAGGCATCCTCTTTATGAACCGTGGTCTGATACTTGAGGAACAGCTCGTATCTTGGGGATGTAAGCCCAAGTCATCGATGATAGGCAGCAGTGTACTTACTTGGCCTGGGAAATGGAGTCACCTTCCAGATTGACCTCAAATCGATGAGCAGGCTCGAGGTGCTTCTTTGTCTTGGGGTCAATGGGCCGCTTCACGTTGCTGTACTCGGCCTCGTGGACGGCACCGAGCAGGTCAAAGTTGCACTTCCGACGCTTCTTCTCCCTACGACACAGGTAAATGAGCCCACATACTCCACCACCTTGGACATGTATACTTACTCCCGTGTCTTGGGACAGAGATATGCTGCTCTACGGATGTATTCGGGGCCTAGAACAAAATTGTTCCAGCGGTTGATTGCCTTCCGTTGGTCTCTCCTGGGCGTAAAGGCGGAGGCCTCGAGCCTGCAAGCGTCAATGGAGGTGATCGAGAACGGGACGCGGACCAATTACACACCTCATCGTATAGTGAGGGCAGCATGATCGTTGCAGGTTCTGCTTGTAGTACAGTGTCCCCGATCTAGGCCAGGATCAGCGACTGACACCCAGACGAGGAGCATGTGGCTCGCATTACGAAGGCGGACCGCCGTACCTTCTCCAGCCCCTATTGACAAGGGATTCATAATGCGCCGGGCGTACAGAGACCGAACTAGTGTAGTAAGAGGCACCTGCAGTAGACGCGCATCAGCGGTCCCATCCGGCAGCACGACGACATTCCGCGATGGACTACAATGGAGTTTTCGAGGTGGGTCGGGAGAGACATACTGCCATTATCAGATTTGCAGTAGCCACAAGAGTTGCGCTGGTAGCCTAGGCAGTCGAGTTAGGGTATGTTGATGCAGCCATGAGGAGGATGAAAAGTCGCCAAGGACCTTCGCTCGTTAATCGGAGAATATCCGCACCAGTGGGAGGACGTGATGGTCTCGCATGAGATGGATGAGGACAGTGGGTGCTATGTGTATCGTGGTGCTTTTGGCCAACTGCGGCCGTAAATGGAGGGGAAGCGGTGGATGAGGGGCAGCAATAGTACATCAGGTTTCAGCGGGAGGGGCACAGAATCCCGATCTAGATAGAGGATCGGTGGAAGAGAAGAGCAACTAGGGCCAATAACGACTGCACGGGGAAGGGGAAGCTAATCTGACTGGCTGCTTACCAAGGGGTCGGAACAGCGACAGCTTCCTCGCCTGTTCGGCATCGACGATGGGTTCCATGGCGTGTCGTCGTCGTCGTCGCAGGCAAGTAGTGCGATGGAGAACGGATTCGCTGGCAGCGCTGACGGCGGGAAAAGCAGAAAAAAAAAAGCAAATGGGAGAGAGTCAGGGGAGCGCTGGGGAGTTAATCGCCCGTCAACGAGAGAGGAAGAAATCAGGAGATTGGAGAGGGTGTTGAGTCAGTTGCAGTGGCTGAGTGAATTGAGGTTGTTGCGGCGGGAAGCGAACTACTACTGAGTGAGGAAGGCATTACTGTCAAACTTCCCCCCTCAGGCAGGCAACCCGGATACTTAAGCACGCCGGGCACTGGATTCTACAAAATCCCCTGTCTCTTTAGCAGGAAGAACTAGAGGGCTTCTACAGGTCGTGCATTATCGTAGACCTCCTCCACAGTCCTCGGAGCATGTCCCCGTCACTTCCCGGGAGGTAGAAACAAGGTTGAAGGGGTCATTCACACGGCAGAAGTTCATGATGCTTCTAGAAGAAGACCTGAGCTGCTGCAGCCCATGTCAGTGCGGCATGTCAGATCAGAACAGCCAACCCCTGGTCCTGGTGTCTCTCTGGTGACTGCGGCCGTGAGGCTTATAATTATTTCCCCCTCGTATCCTCCACGCCGGTATTCTCTTTTGCCACCGGATTGCATGGCAAACTCGGAGATGAAGGCGATGCGGAGCAGGGCGGCCTACTCCGTACAAAGGAGCGACTCAAACCACTGCTACTGCAAGTTGGTCATAGCTTTCCCCGGCAGCTCCATTGCCCTTTTCAACCAAGTACAGCGGCGGAGGTACTACGAAGTACTCCCGAAGTCGAAGGACAACCTCACTACGACGTAGGGAGGGAAGAAGGAGGCGGCGGTTCCATACGGTATGGTCCATCCCCATACAGGCCGCCGCCGTTACGATACAGGTATGTAAAGCCGGCGGTACCTAAACGGGCCTCGATCGAAGCGGAAGTTGGCCAAGTGTCAATCCTCGCGACGAATTCTTGCTGTGTCGTGGGTGCTAAGAGTTGCTGGAATGTGGTACGGTGCGCTGCTGGACGATCCTGGATTCTCGCCCAAATCACAATCCTCCTAGCATCGGCGCTCCGAAGGCAAAATGGCCTGGATTTCGCACCCGATACCCCAGACCATGACATCACGTGCAGAAGCCCCCCCAACGTCCAAGCATCATCGGCATCATTCTGGCCGGCGATGCTAGGATCTCAGGATCCGCACCGCAACAGATCGCTGCTGTGTTGTCGCATCCAGATCCAATCGCCACCGGGGAGTTTCTCAAGCCACTATTAATCTTCTGTGCAGGCGACCTCAGTAGTTCCATTCCTTTGCAGTTAGTCACCGCATTGTCCGAGCAACATCAAGTCATCAACGTTCTGATCGGCCCCATGGTTCCTCGGCGGTGGGCAGGCAGGCAGGCAGGGACATACATCATCGCCCACGCGCAGCCCGGTCGGTCTGGATGCCTTTTGCCTTCATTGTTGGGCTTTTCGCATGCGCATCCCTTGTTCTTTGTCCGGAAGGAGGTCACAGCTGCAGACAAATAGGAAAACTCAGAACAGCCACCTTTCCGGTCATTCGAGGATTTGGCGGCCGGCCGAGTGGTTTGCTGGTGCCCCGCATCCGCCCAGATCAACCTTTTTTTTTCTTTGCTGGTGATGCCGGTGACATCGGTCTGCCTTCCAATAAGCCAGCACGGATCCGAGGGGCCTAATGTATGCATGCAGGGCATGCCGTCGCATTTTATGGTATCCAATCCGTAGCTTGCGCACAGGAAGAACGGGAAAAAGGAACCCAAAATCCTCACAGGTTGATGAGGTGCATCTCCCTCGAACAATTTACCACCACTCGTCTCTGCAGCTCGCAGCTACCAAGATTATCCCTCGGAAATAGCACAACACGTAGCAGGTACCACCGGACCGCATGTGGAAGTCCTATCTGATATCATTCGTCGAATGCTACATAGAACTAGATGACTGGAGGGGGTACATCTGGGCCAACCCTAGTCGAATATCCGGCAAGCAGATCTGCTGGTGGATAATTGGAGCCGGAGCGAGCAGCGAGTCGCGGACTGTTCCACATCGAGGGACGGATTACTATTACACAGCCATCTGAGAGCAGGCACAGGTTCCGTCGTACGGCGTACCGCATCCAGAGTTAGTAAACGAGGTGGACCGATCCCGGTGTCCCTTCGGTCTTTGCTCTTCACCGTGATTCCGTTGGGCTGAACAAGTAATAGTAGACAGTACTAATAACTGTCTATAGAAAAAAGGGGCGCAGATAATAATATGTGAGTATGACAACTAGAGGGGCCGAACCTCAAAAAGGGGTGGGCAATATGTGGTCCATGATACATAGAGGGAAAGAGATTCATCTAACACGAATCATCATTCTCAGGCTGAAACCACGAACACCAGCGCTTACGGCGGACAGGACAAGGCCGGTAACTCTCCCTCAGAAAGCGATTATGCGAAAAGCCGATGGAGACACGACTTAAACCAAGCTAAATGATTTATTCCATGCTAATATGTGTCGAAGGGACTTTCAGTTCCACTAGTCTGGGGCCCTAATTTTGATAGTGCCACAGGGCCTGAGGTAAAATGATGAGCGTACTCCGTACAGCGAAAGTCGCTGGCAAGACGCAGCCGTAAGTACCGAAAGGACCGAGTCAACCGAGTGGAGAGAAAGTTAGGTAGAGAGACACGGAGCTGCAGTGCCCTCAGACAATCAGTCCCCTCCCAGCTCCAGAACGGCCAAAGCAAAATTAATTGCGTTGTGTGGAAAAGAGAACTCCTGATCCCTTGGTCCAGCCGGTTGCTGTGGAACCCCGACAAGCCCGCAGGCCCTCGGAAGACTCAGGAGCAGTTCATGGGAGGGCAACAGACCTAGTTTGGCACTCGCGGACGCGTTGAACCAACCCAAGGTGATCCAATTCGACCCAGAGGCACAGCAACAATTCACCCGGAGGTACCACTCCCAGCAGTCCCAGCATAGCGGGTAGGTAGCCAGGCCCCAATAATGGATTGCGCCCTCGGTCACACTCCACCAGCAACCTACTTACGACTTACGTAGTCGGACGTACAACTGGGACTGAGATTTACGATTAAGGCAGGGAGATGACTGCTATTAATGGATCAATCATAAAATAAATTGAAGACAAAAATAAAAAAAGAGGTTACGAGACCAGAGCGTCGCCCCTGGAACCAGAAGAGTAGTACCACCGAAAAAAAAGATCCCGGCGATTAGGATGATGACACTATAGTAAGTGCTCCAAAAGACCTGGTCGCATAGGCTGACTGGGGGGCATAACGGCGGCAGACTGTCGCGGCGGTACCTGTTGTACCTGTAACCGTAAGGTACCGGTACCTATCAGATGACCGGACAAGACGTATGGTTTGAGTAATACGGAAGGGCGGCGCGGCGAGTGACGCCAGAAAGCAGCCGGGAAGGCGAACGGGGAAGACGATCGGTATAGTAACGGGGTGTACACCAACGGTACCGCCCAGGCGCAAAGGAAGGGAAGGGAAGGGCAAAGTCCGCTCCGGGCGAGAGAGAGACAGACAGAGAGAAGAGAGGGAGAGCCTGAGGGAGTCGACCTTCCAGGCCGGATCGCGCCGCCCATTACTATCCCCAAAGCTGTCTCTGATCCCCCCCCCTCCGTCCTCTCGCCTCCCCCCCCTCCGGTCCCTCTCTTCCTCCCTCTCCTATCCTTTCCCTTATTTTCCTGCTGTTCCTCCGATTATGATGTCCTTTTATCTTCACACGTCTCTCTCGAGGTTCCCTCCGCCGCGGGAGTGATCGCGGATATCTAGTCCCTGAAACTTTTCCTCCAGACTTTTCTCCCCAAAATTCCCTGACCTTTCCTCGACCGCCTGGCCCATTTTCGCTTCGGGAACAGAAAACAACCTGACGGCTCACCGGCCAGCTCTTCATCCACCAGGCTGGGGCGCTTGTTTCAAATCCCCCGTCGTTGACCCTTTACGCCTCCCTCAGCACTCATAGTGTCGTCACGCTCGTGGCCTGAATTGGTGTCATCGACCTCTTCTTTATCTCCAACCTTTCCACTCCTTCCATACCTGTGTCGCGTGAAACGCAGCTCTGCTGTGTCCCACTGGTTTTTGGATTCTCGCTATATAGACTGTGTTATAGATTTTCTTTTTTTTTTTTTTTTTTGTTATTTTTATTCTTATTTTCCTCTTCGTTCTATTCCATTCCCAATGTTCAAAATGGCGGATCATCCGCGTTCAATGGAGTCCAGGGTGGGACGCAAAAACCAACGTGAGTGAGACCCCAGGCATGTAATCCCACTTACATTGCCCTACAATGCTGTTTTCACCGCCCTCCTGCGTCCTCCAAGCGCTTCTTTTTCGGGATCGTGCATCTTCACTTGTCGCGCAACTTTGCTGACCCTCATGTGCGTAGGGTACGGACCGAAAGGTGAACGACTCGTGGCCGGTGTGGTTCCATTGTCCGCGGACAAGACGAAGGTGCTTATGATCCAATCTGCGGGACGTGGCGGCTGGGTGCTTCCCAAAGGCGGTTGGGAGACCGATGAAGTCAGCGCCCAGCAAGCTGCCTGCAGAGAAGCGTGGGAGGAGGGCGGGATAATATGCACGGTGCACAAAGACCTGGGGTTGATCCCAGATATGCGGCCATCGGCATTGTTGACATCTACGGCCCCGAAGGCGTCCTACCAGTTCTTCGAGGTCACCGTGGACCGGGAAGAGGACCAATGGCCCGAGATGCACAAGCGGAAGCGTCAATGGGTCAGCTTTGCGCAAGCGGCCGAGGCGCTTGCCAGTCGTCCCGAGCTTCTGGAAGCGCTGAAACGCAGCTCCATGCGGAGGTAGCGATGGCGTATCATCCCCTCTCACCGGCTCAGGTGGGAGGGGAATCCGAAATATGGAGACTTGCCTGCGGGCGGGAGCTCCATGACGACTTGAAATGATTCTGCAACCGAAAAAGCTACCGTCGATTTTACTTTCTGCTTCGATTCATTTGCTTGAGTTTCGGCCTCTGGTTGGCTATACTGCTTTGGCTTTTTAATCTCTTTTCGGGCCATCGATTGGCGGCCTGACGGCTTTGCGCGCGAGGCGCACTTACCACTATAGAATCTCTGACGGAGCGTCAGCATAGAATGTTAGAGGAGTACGGTCTGATGGCGGTCTCGCCGACGGATGGAGCAAAATTTGCTGGTGGTCGGCAGGACATGGTTTGGGATCGGATCCTACGGATGGAGCGGGCATCTGCTTTTGGAGAGGGTTATTTCTTTATCGGCTTGATATACCCTTGCGACGACATTGCTGGTTGACTGTGGGCCGACAGCCGATCGGGCTTGAGAGCTGCCGACAGGTGCCTACGTTGGTGCTGGGATGGACTGCCTTTTGCTCATGCAAGCTAGGAATCTGACCTGCAACGGAAGAAAGCAAGCATACTCCTGATTTTGCGAGGCAGCCGACCACCGGGGCTGACTGTCTGCTCAGTATGTAATGATAGTAAATGTGTAGAGAGCGTAGACCGTAGACAGAAGATAATTCGAATGTTCACTCGTGCGTTTCTCGTTGACCTTAGGGCGTAGATCTTTCGTACGATGAAATTCCTCTGCGGCAAACACAGCAGACGCATTACCCGAACAGGCAAAGCGCGGGCTGCAGGTCGGCGAGGAACTTCCACTCGGCTCTGCCATCATTCACGCCATCAACAGCTGCGTCGCTGCTTCATCCTCACCACTGCCACCACTACCGTCTACCACCTCCAGACTCCCTTTCATCCCCTTCACAGTTAGCGCGTCTGCGCTGCTAACTCCACCACTACCACCACCATGGATTACGAGATGGACATCGAGCCCACCGGGCCCCAAGTCACTGTCCGCGAGGTGAGCCACCACCAACTAGCTACCTACCTACCTACCTACCATACGACTCTCAACCTCCTCCATTCATAAACCAACCCCCAACCCAAGCCAGCACCTCCCACTAACCCATGAAACCAGGCGGAGCCCAACCGCGTCGACTTCAAACTCACCTCGGTGGACCTAGCCTTCGCCAACTCCCTCCGCCGAACGATGCTCTCGGAGATCCCGACAATGGCCATCGACCTCGTGGAAGTGGAAAAAAACACCTCGGTCCTACCCGACGAATTCCTCGCCCACCGACTGGGCCTTATCCCACTAAACAGCAAAAATTGCGACCAAGACGTCGAGTACACCCGCGACTGCGAATGCGAGGACCACTGCGCGCGGTGCTCCGTGACCCTGACGCTACACGCGCGGTGCACCGGCGACGATATCATGCGCGTGTATGCGCGCGATCTCGTCGTGAACGGGGAACGGGCGAACGAGTGGGTGGGCAATCCGGTGATTTTGGACCCGGAGGGAAATGGACCCTTGATTTGTAAGTTGAGACGCGGGCAGGAGTTGAAGATGACGTGTATTGCGAAGAAGGGTATTGCGAAGGAACATTCGAAGTGGGCGCCTACGGCGGCGGTCGGGTTTGAGTATGATCCGCATAATAATTTGAGGCATGTGGATTATTGGTATGAGGAGGATCCGGCGAAGGAGTGGTATGTTTTCTCTCTTTTCTTGCTGTGCTCTGGGGGTTGGCAGATGAGCTAATCAGGTGGTGATGCAGGCCGGTATCTGCAAACGCAGCATGGGAACAAGCCGCTCCTCCCGACCAACCGTTCGATTACGATGCTCAGCCGAGTAACTTCTACCTCGATGTGGAGAGCATCGGAACCCTCGATCCGGATATGATCATCCAGCAGGGCATTACGGTGCTGCAGCGCAAACTGGCCTCTGTGATCTCGTCGCTGTCCGGCACCGAGGGCGCGGATCGCAATGGCGGCATGGGCGGAGACGACGAAGATATGATGGGCGTGCGCAGTCCGGATGCGTATGAGCCGCCGGAGGGTATGGACGGTGGATTCACGGCGTACGCCAATGGCGGTGCCAGTGCATGGGGCGCCAGTGCAGCAACACCATACGGCGTGACACCGTATGGCGGTGGTTACGGATTCTAGGTGTGCTCGTTTCCACTCCTTCCCATCACTCATCTCACAAGGAGACCAAGCGATGGTACTGAAAGACACCCACCAATCCACCAACCCACAATTCAACCAAAAAGGAGAAACCAACCAAACCAAACAAAACCAAAACAACCACATCACCAATTACCAATCACCGAAGTAACAAACAAAAGCTTACTTCCACTCAGCATCCGGAAGGAGTTCGGGGTTCCCACATTGCTTCTCTTTTCTTTTCTAATTCCTTCTGGCTGGGCGTGCGGATTTGCTTTGCTCTTCTTATCTCTATCTCTGACTCTAACTTTTGGCCTTATTATTATGCACTACGCTTCTTGATTACTTTTCCTGCCGGGCTTGACCGGGCTTGTGATATTAGATCTCATTATTACTTATCTCTACATATGGAATTGCTGTATGCTAAAAATGGACGGCGGAGGGGAGTTAGGGGAAGAAGGAGGGGGGGGGGGATATGAATATGAAAATGAATTTAGATATGGATATGGATATCGAATGGGGATGTATCGCTTCAGTACTTTGTCCAGTATTCTGATCGTAGATTGGATAGTGCCGATCGGTCTATCTATCTATCTGCCTGTCTACCTGTCTAACTACGGAGGACGGAGTAGATGGATTGGAGGAAGAAAGGGAGCTATTACAATCACATACAGATTGGGTGAAGCACACGATGAGAGGGATGAATTGTCTAGATAAGACTATACGATATAATGAGCCCTGGGAGAAAGATACTAGATGAAAGACCACGATACACCATATACCAATACCATCCGGAGTAGACCACCAACACTCCGTCCACCAACTATAAACAGGAAGAGAGCACCGAGCCAAACCAAAACCAAATCACAATCCAGAGGACCCAATGGTCCACGCAGAGCGCCGCACTAATAACCAGGCAACCGCCCGCCAGTTTCTTACCTTTGCAGACAGAGTGATGTGTAGAGAGGGCGGGGGGGGGAAGGAAAGAAAGAGATGTATGGATGGGCGCCATGAACGGGGATATGAGGAGACATGACAGGACATGCAAGATTCCAACCGCTAAATGGCATCCGTCTATGGTTTCCCTTCCCGCACAGCTTTCCAGATCAATGATGATATCCCATAGATGTCGAGGTCAATGGAGATGTAGGGGGGTGGAGGGGTGAGAGAGATGAGGGAGGAGAATGGGATGAGAAACCCGATGAGAACCTGCTCCGTGACGGGCGCCGGTGTACGCCAACCAGCCAGTTGATGCCGAGAAAGAAACAGAAGTAACCGAAGAAAGAGATGACCTGTAGATAAACGCCCACCATGTGCACAGCAGACAAGACCGAGGATGGTTCCGAAAGGACCAGACCGACATTTGTAACCAGGCGATGCGATGCAGAGACAAAGAAGAGTAGAAAGACAAGAAACGCCTGCCGATGCATGCATGATCTCGACTCTGTCGCATCACACGCCGTCAATCGCGTCCCCCAGATCGTCGGATCCGTCGGCCAGGACGGGGTTTTGCGGCAGGCGCCGGCCAAAGCCGTAGTAGAACTCCAGAGTCTTGGCTTTCTGTTTCTCTCGGACCGAATGGAGGTAATCGTAGCTGCCCTCCAGCCCGCGTATTTGACCTTCGATCACCGCCTCGACCGGTCCGAGCATGCGGCCGTGGCTACGACTACTTGACTCGACTCCCATGAAGCTGACTGAATCGTTGCGCCGGACAAGCGGGCTGACGAGTTTGCGCCGCAGCGTCTCGAGATTGACCTTGAGCGTTAGTAGACGGCCACGGTGGTCCATCAGAAGGTGTTTGTTAGTGACAGTGCGACTACGGACGTTGGCCAGCAGCCGCTTGTTCTTCTCGTATTTGCGGACCACGGCCGCATCGGGGCCGAGGACGCGAGTCCACAGCGAGCTGAGCATTTCGCCTTCCTCTCTTTCCTGGGCGTCCGACTCGCGGACCACGGTCCGTTGAAGGTTCAGGAACTGGCGGTCTATGGATTCAAAGAGGGCGAACAGCGCCGTGGAGTGTGTCAGCTCGTTGTTGATCGCCTCCTCGAGCACGGACAGCATCTCGGTAAAGGTGCGCGTCAGGGTGGCACGCGTGCGCTGGGCCGAGGTCTGGCCAAACACGGCGGTCACGAAGTTGCCAAAGGTGGTTGGAGTGCTAGTGAGTTCGCTGCCGGGCTCTTCCCCACTCGAGCCGCTAAGCCGCTCCAGCGCCCCCAGTCGCGCAAAGATATCGTGGAGGTTATCGAACACGATCGACGGCATCGTACTGGGAGGTTGCGACGATAACGTCTCCAGCTCGCGCTTGGCCCAATCCATGGCGATCAGGATGGAGTCGATGTCCCCCTCGACGTCGGAGAAGAAGCGCGCGAGCTCGAGGGACAACGACTTGAGGGACTCCGAGAGCTCATCCAGTTGGCGCACGATGATAGGCGCGCTGGTCATGTTGGTCCCGCGCACCGACTCGCCGAGATCCCAGACGGCCACTCCGGTCTCCTGCAACGCGGTGATTTGGTGCGCGCCATTCTCCGAGTAGTAGATGAGTGGCTCGAACGAGCGCGCAAACCCCGACAACTTGACCAGATCAGGAATCGCTTCGGGGATGCTGGGTAGAAACAAGGCGCGCATGAACGCGATCGAGAGAAAAGCAACGATTACAGAAAGAGCGGTATTGGATTTGGAGCTAGTGATCTTATCGAATTTGGATCGCAAGTAACTAAAGAATGCGACAAAGGGTTCGCGATGCTGAACTTCGGCGCGCACAGCGAACCGGATATCTTAAGCACGAATCATCGATTAGTCACCCGTTCAAGGGAGCTGCAGAGGGTAGCAAACCGAGGTAGATCCTACAATTGCTGAGGTTATTCCCCGATCCAAAGTCCCCTCCTTCGGCATCGGGGCTCGCCCGCGCGCCTTTGGGTCTGGGACTTGGCGATCGGCCTTTTTGCGGGGTCTCTGCATCGGCAGGCAGCGGGACACTGGCCGCGATCGTGATGTCGCCCGACTCGGCGGATTGGCTGCGTTTACCTGCGGTCGGCGCCTCGAGCGCATCCTCATACTGCGGACTGGGCTCGCGCGATTGCGACGGGCTGAGCCCCACGGATGGCTTCAGACGGAAACGGTCCTGGTCGATCGCCTGCACATAGGGCTGATGCCGGTACCATCCGCTTCCCGTCACCATATCATACCTGCGTGATCCCGGCGGGGACCAACGCTCGCCGTTGGGCGTGAGGTCATCTTCCTCCCCTTCCGACTCCTCCGAGCGAAACCCGGAATGCTGAGAGGTGAGGCCGTACATGGGGGAGCGACGAGCGTTGCTGTTAGTTTCGAAGTCCTCGAGCGACGCATCCAATGAGGGATGATCGTCGAAGGCGTTGTCAAGCTCGTCTAACATGATAGACGGCGTTGCGCACTGCAACACCAAAGAAGTCAAGGCCACTTTCGATCGCTGCGACGCCCTTACAGACGATTTGCGCAGCAAAGACAATAACTTCAGAGGGTGGGTGCTAGCAAGGCGATAGAAAGCGGGTTAGTCGCAGGCGCGCTAAGATACGGGTCAAGAAGGGAGAGTCTAATGCGCCAAGAGGGAGGACGATAAGGGAGAGATGATGATGCAGGGGAGGATACGGGGGAAGCATAGGAAAAGGGCGAGGAGTACAGATGAGATGGTCAACGGAGATCCTGCCAGAGCAATCGACGAGAGAAGCGCAGGGTAGAGGAGAAGGAGGAGGGGAGGCAAGACATGAATGGTGGGAGGGTAGTAAGTAGTCAACGATTGCGCGCGGGACGAGAACCCCCGGGGGGTACGCCTGGGTGCCTGAGGAATGGCAGGCAACGCGACCAGGCCGGCCCGACAACGAAACGGGACTCTAGAAGTCCAGAAACACCGGGGATCGAATCAGTCAGTCAGAAAGGCAGCAGCAGTCTTGTCCGGCAGTCTGACTAGTAAGTAAGTAGTAGTAGTAGTAGTAGTAGTAGTAGTAGTAGTGGTGGTGGTGGTGGTGGTGGTGGCGGGCTGGCTGGCTGTCAAAGTTGACGGACGGATCAACGGGGGAAGCGACAAGTCACGGCGGGTTACAGAGGCGCTTGCCAACATCCACCCCAAGTGCCACGGAGACCCGATTATTGGATAGCTGTTGCGGCGTTAGTGAGGGGAAGGAGATACACGCGTATATAATAATGGTATACAATGAAACGGCGTGGTGTTCAGTGGAGGGAAGGTGGAAGTCTTCAGGCCAGGTACAGCAGGATACGGCCCGCCCCTCGCATGCCTTCCACGGCTGGGATTTTATCAAGAGGAAAGAACGTCCCATGGAGGGGCGCCGCTGGTGGCTGGTCCAATCAGGCAGCTGCCGCCACGGGTCAGGTGGAATCATGGGATGCTCATCCCTACAGCCCCATCGTAGCCTCCAGTCTGTAGTCTCCCACTGCGCGCTCTCTCTCTGTTCTGCGCTTGCACTGCGGACAATGTCTTTGGTATCAGAAAGCAACCCTCTTCCACTGCTTTCAGACGATTGTCTTCTCTCAAAGAACACAATCTTTCTTCTTGATACGAACTGCTTGCCAGACGGGGGAAAAAAGCATCCTGGCGGCACCGGGCCCGACTGGTCGTGGCTTAGGTTTGCCCGCGCATGCTACTAGACTCTCTATCTACGCTTATTTCCAGTGATGATTGTGTTTCACCCCGACGGACTAGACTTGACCGACAAAACTCTCTCAGCGATAACGAGTCAAGGACCCTGGGAACTCCGTAGATACCAAAGTAGATACTAGTTTGAGCCCCACCCGTTGCGACAGTTGCGACATCGCGTCCCGAACCACCACCACCACCCTCCATCATCCATCAACCATCATCTCTATACGGCGGTCCAGCAAGCGTAGTACTCCGGCCAAATAAACTCTAAGGCACCAAGAAGCAACAGCCATTCGATGACCAACATCGGCGTGACTCGCATCCATCGTTTCTCTCTTACCTGTCGAGCCCGGGGGCCGACCACATGACCCCCGAGGAAGGTTCTCTGACCCTACCTATCACCCCCTCGATCGAACCGGTAACTTCCGTAGTTCGCACTCTTTCCCCAGGCTCGAAGGCTGAAGAGGAGGGGGGGGGGAAAAGGGGGAGTGAATCTCCCCCTCAACATCGTAACGGGTTGGTGCTGGCAACCTGGGACCTTTACCCTCCGGTCGACCGTCCATCTGGTTGGTCGGAGGGCCTCGAGGGACGGTACTTCGGTACCATCCACCTGCCTATCAATGGCGGGCTGCCAACTGGCCCAACGGCCGGTCCAATGGCCACACCGCGCTGCCCTCCACGGCCTGCAAGGATCATCCGCCAGATTGCCGGTGCAGTGGCCACCGTTGGCCGGGGAGAGGCACTACCCTGACTCGAGGAACATTTCCAGCCAGACACTACTCACCGAGGGGGGACCCCTCCTGGTCCATCTGCAGTGCATACGTGGTTGCGGTCGGGCCAGGGCGAATCCCCGGCCAGCACCGCCTGCACGTGATACTTTTGAAACACGGGACCGGCCCAGCGCACGGTCATCGGTCCGTCAGGCAGGAAAAAGCAGGAAGCAAGCAAAGCAGGCACACGCACGTCATCATGAGAGGAGATCTCTTCAATTCATTATGGTCTCAGCAACCAATAGTTAACCATGATACACAGAGAGCTGCAAGAAACACGTTCGTCGAGGACACATAGGAAACGGAGAAAAGGGAAACAAGCAGGGAATATGTAGACAGCGGTCGCGAAGGAGACAGGACTCTATTGTATCTGCATCGTTCCAACGCACGAACACCAAAGGTCTATCGCGGGAAAGCAAGGGTCGAGTATTGTTACATTCCCGGTCTGTCGGGTCGCCGAGCCTCTGCCTGTTTCCAGCGCAGTGATAGGATCAAGCAATATCCCGCAGACGGGTTCTAGAGAGGTTCATGAGGGTGAGGGAATTTAAGCGGTGCTCTCCTTGAGGTAGCTGTAAAGGTAGACATGTTAGCACCGTGTATCGCGGATCGGAGAGAGCCCGGAATGAGGACATACGTGATGAGGTCGTTGCGCTCCTTGGTCTTCTTGAGACCACCGAAGGCCATCTTGGTACCGGGGATGAACTTCTTGGGGTTCTCGAGGTAGGAGAACTGCGGAAAGCGTGTTAGTCACAGGGCTTCACAGCCACGTGCGGAATGAGTGAGCCGGAGCATACCAGAGAGTTCTCATCCCAGGTGACACCAGCCTGCTTGTTGGCGTCGGTGTAGGCGTAGCCCTCGGCCTGACCGGTCTTACGGCCGAAGAGACCGCTCAAGTTGGGGCCGACCTTGTGGGGACCACCAGCCTCGACGGTGTGGCACTGAGCGCAACGAGTCTAGTAACCATGTTAGCAAAAAAAGGTTCCCCCCGATCAAATGCCACCATGCGGCGCAGATCGAATAGAACTCACCTGGAAGAGCTTAGCACCCTTGGCGGAGTCACCTGCAATGGTTCCAACGTTAGCGGTCTGTTCGGCCTTCTTTGCCGCCTCGGCCTCGAGCTCCTCCTTCTTCTTCAACTCCTCCAACTCGGCCTCGCGGGTGTGGAGAGAGGTGAGGAAACAGTAGGTATCCCAGCTTGTCATGATGGCGGATGTAACGCTTGAGTCGTGTGCTGTGTTGGAAATCTCGTCTCTCGTTGCAGTGGTGTTTGGAGAAGCGAAAGCGAAAGTGCGCAGTTGCGGATCAGAGAGGTAGAGGTGACAACACAGACGCGCCCAAGATGTCACAGCGGACAGAGATGCCGACCACCAGTAGCCGCCATCATACGGTGACAACCCGCACGGCATTGAGTGAATGCCATGGGCGGGAAGCCAGTGAATAATGACGATGCACCGGAGACAAGGAGTGACGACACAAAGGAAAGAGTAACTGCTTACCAGGAGCGAAACCAGCGTCCTTGCCCATTTTGAATGTGTGTGGGGGTTTTTGGGGAGGGATTAAAAGGTATAGAAATGATGTACAAACGAATTGGAGGCGTGGAGGATATCCTGGGGAAAGATAGAAGCACTGGAGGAGAGAAAGCGGACGAGGGAAGAAAAACTTGCGATTCAATTTGTACAAGAGCGACCAGCCTTTGCCCCCAACACCTCCCGTGATCCGGGCCGTGGCCAATCAGGACCGAGATGATTCAGCGCAACGGGCGCTTCCGGGACGCGATGGCCGGTGTCTTTTTTGAGCCATGCCTCATACTATGGTATTTTCCATGTTCCTTGAATGGTCTCCATTCCAGATCGATCGAATTGAATGCCCCTGGGAATCCCTTGGTCCAGGCGCATTTTGCCTCCCTACTCTATCTAGATAGGACGAGACGATCCTCGCCGGGATCCTTCGAGAACCCTTCGTTTGTTCCGTCGGAGACTGACGTAGTGCCCTCCGGATGATCTCATCTTACGTTCATCCGTGCCATCTTTGTGCCTCCGTGATGATGGAATGGGCCGGTCCCCGTTGGAACAATTGGCGGTACGGACTATACTTGGAGTAGCCGGCGCTGGTCCACCGCAATGGCTGTTGGGGTCCTCCAAAAAACAGACGTTGCAAATTCCCGGCCCGTCATTTGTCCTCCGACTTTGACCGACTGGTAATGAAAACTCGTGTTGTTCCGCTCCGCCGGCTTGGTCCCGAGGTGGCCTGAGGCGAGTAAACAACCACAAGCACCGATCTGACGGATTCTACTCTATATGTCTGGGTAGCTGTATGAAGTAGGCGCATACGCTTTAACTGTTCACACATAAAATGGATACCTAATAGACGCGCTCCATTTACATCCACAGCTACTACTATGTAAAAATAATCCATCAACCCCAACCAATCACAAACCATAACCCAGAATAGATCCCCAGCCAAACAGCAACAGCAGCACACCTCCCTCACGTGATCCGTATAGCCTCCGCAACACCAAAAAAAACTACCCGCGCGACACCAAACCCCGGACAGGCACACCCTCCACCACCGCGCAACAGCGGCCATTCCAGCTCCATCATCCTCTCTCCAACCCTCCGAGCCCTTTCCCAATACCCACCTAACCCACCACCACCATGCCCCCCATCACAATCCCCCAATTCCTCCTCCCCCGGGGGGCGCCCTCCCCGCTCACCCTCCGCGCGCTGAGCCAACAAACCACCTACAGCATCACCACGCAGCGCTGCTCCTCCTCCAAATCCAACCAAAGCCAACCACGCGTGCTCGCCAAACCCGACAAGTTCCGTCCGCCCTCGCACCCCGCGCGTCGAGTCGTGCAAACCCGCAATGGAAAGGTCATGAACCCCGGCCCGATTAACTATCCGGGCCCGAAGCTCAGCGAGAAGGAAAAGGAGGAGCAGAGGAATAGACAGTACCCGAATATGTTCCCGCCCGAGGGAACGGTCATGCATAAGTTTTTGACGAATCGGTGGATTCATATTTGGATTGCGATGGTATGATTATACATCTACATACATGCTGGGCTTGTTTGTGACATGTTGGTTATGGGTTGCTAACGGGTGTATGAAATCTGTAGGGCGTGTTAACCTCCCTAGCTACGTTTACGTTCACGACAAACTTCAAGCGCTCGTCGCCATTTGCTCATTTGCTGCCGCCGTGGTCCGGGCTGTTGAGTCATCCGATCGATACGATTTCGCAGGCCGTTTCGGTGTTTCGGATGCATGTGGAGCATAATTCGATGGAGACGAGGGAGAAGCGGAGGAGACGAGTGGATGATGCGGAGAAGAGACGGCAGTATCGCATTGCTCATGGAATGGAGGAGCCGGATGAGAGGGATGAGGTTAAGGTCGAAGGGACGGAGCAGGGTGCTGTGGATGATCAGTCGCCTGTGGCGGTGGAGCAGCAGGGTCAGGATGATAAGAATGTGTATGTTGATTGGGAGGGCAACAAGAGGCCCGTTAAGAAGTGGTTGGGAATTTGGTGAGAGGGGTTGGTTGGTTGGCCCGTGGGCTTTCCCTGGTTTAACTAGATGTCGTGGAATTATCATGTGAAGACCGGTTATGGAGATTGTATATTAGCCTTTGATTGTCCTTTATGCCCTTTCGTGCTCTGCTATGTACAAGTTGGGTTCTAGTCGGTTGCCCTATCTTCATGGCGATATATCATTGATTTGCTTCATCTCGTCTCAAGCTCGCCTGTTCGCTGTCGTAGATTCGAGCTTCGTCGACATCTGTATCTTCAGCAAACGCGTAGGATGTTTCCAACCTCCACGCTCGTGGTGTGGTTGGCGGTAAGTTCGTCGACCGTCCCGGTCATTTGGACACTTCAATCCATCGTGCGACAGGTATATGCAAACTGAGGCAAGGATTTCGGGCTGGGACCCGGCTGGTGGCCAATACAGTTGGTTCAGCCCACCTGGACACCCTCCAGACCCTCAAGAACCTCTTCGCCAACACCTCCCTTCTCCAGAACTAGTTTGAGCATCTTGGCGATCGTGCGCCTCTTAACACCACCACGTCGCGGTCTCCAGACTCCCGAGACCTCTTCGCCGGTGGATGGTTCCAACAAAGCCGCCTCTTCAGCAGCCGCAGTGGAGCCCAGTGTCGCCAGGTTCTCCGAGTTCGGTACACCCGGTTGCGTGAGACGGGATGGAGGGTCGACGGTGCGGATAGAGAGCAGCTTCAGGCCCTCAGAGTCGGTGTCACGGGTGACAGACACAGCCAGAACAGTATCCGCGACAGCGATTTCTTCCCTGTTGGGATCGAAAACAACATTGTCGCCCACCGAAATGACAAGTAGAGTCACAGGAGGCCGAACTTGTTGCGTCGAGGATAGATGAGACTTCAGCTGTGAACGGGGGTATAGGTATTCGGCGGCATTCCAATCATCGTCAAAGAAGGGATCTTCCTCTCCCTTGGACTTGAGCTTGGGAAGCTTAGTCGACAAAAGCGCCAGATGAGTCGTAAGAGAGAGCAAAGGAAGCGGGTACGACAAAGGCTGAGACAGAAGTAGCACCTGCACGTACAACATTAACACCAAGCGCCTCAGAGCAGGGAACAGACACTCACATCAATGTACAACCGCCAATGCCAGCGCTTATTGATCACCAATCGACCCTTCAAACCACCCGCCATTTCACCATCTCCACCTTGCCCACCCGCGACCGATTCAACCAGAGGCTCGCGCATCATTTCCGACAAGAAAACCGGCAAGGCATCATCGTCCCGGAATCCGGGAATCTCAATAGACATTTGCACCCATGATCCATGTCCAGCGCTAGACGATTGTTTCCCCTCACCACCTTCATTATCGGCATATTCCTCTTGGGTATGTTGTGATAGATTCAGGGCTTCTGCGGCAACAACGGTCTTTTCCACCTCGGCCTTGACTCCGACGATGGCCTGGGTACCATCTGCGAAACCGACGCGCGCGCTACCGTTGGTGCCCGGAAGAATATCTGTCTCTGCAGTCAAGGGTCGGAATTGCGTAGCTGAGCGACCATCTGGGCGAATCGGGCCATCGGGGAGAGACAGCGAGGTGTAGAGGTAGGAAAGCTCTGCGGGAGAGATGAGCGGGGTCTGGGAAGCAGACGAGGCCTGACGCTGAGCTGACATTGTGGGTAGGAGATGTTGCGAGCGTCAGAGACAATAAAGGAGAAGAGGGAGATGGACGTTAGAGTGAACGATGGGATTAATTGGCAGCCCGCAGCCTGGCGCTTTAGGATGCACAAACGAAGCACTGGATAGATGTCGTTCTACTTGAACAAACTCTGGCGACAAATAAATCGGTTGCAGGGTGCTCACTAGATCAAGCCACCCATGCCGACAACAGACCTGTATAAAATAGTGCTTGCGACCAAATGAAGTCTCCTCGACTGGAAACCTTTTGACGTAGTGCTGCATTAGGAAATTCTGCCGGCGGGCGGGGAAACGGATCTTCCGTCGTTATCGCAGAGGATGGACACGAGCAACGGATCTACTAGCTTTTCTTACAATAAACAAGATGGAAATAAAAAAATAGAATGAAGTTCAGATATTGTTGTCAGACACTGCAGTTGTGGCTGTTTCAATTAGCGTATATATAAACAGACGGCTAGACCGTCGGGGTAAGTCCTATATTACAATAGTGTTCAAAGCCCAGAACCAGCCACCAGTGCTCCTTCCCAGCAAGTTGTGAAATTGTACAATGGATGAATGGAAATCTTTTGTTCTTGTGAAAGCTCGAAGTAATGCTTTCAATCCGCGCATTGAGAAGAAAGGAATGAGGGGGGGAGAAAGAATGATGAGTGAGGATCAATGCCCTGGAAATATAGAGAGGGGTGAAGGAGTTTGACAAAAGGAAATGGTCGGCTGTAGTAGTCAGCACGGGTTCGGGGAGGTGAGTATATATATATATAAGGAATGGTAGCAAACATTGCGACTCGCGCGATTGGTATCAGTAGAAGGATGAGCAATGTGCAAGGGGTGCAAGGATATCAAGGAACGAAGGACACATGCAAGCGGTATACCGAAAACAAGGTGCGAGGCCGACGGTATCTATAAAAGGGCCTTTGGGGTATGAAGACAGAACCAGACAAATGAAAGGAAACCCGGGCTGAACCGTGGCCTATACAAACATGGGTAGAAGTCGAAGCGCAGGATGGAAGAACACAGGAAATGAAAAAAAGGAGAAAAGAGAAGAAGAAAAAGGAAAAGAAGCTGCCAGCCCTCCACGGAGATAGAAAACATAGTAGACACCAGATCCCGTACGCCTTGCTCGGTTAAATTCGCCGATATTCCGCGCATGCCCACCGCATTTTTTCTCTTGGATTAAATATGAACAAGATCAGTCGAAGATGGTGAAGAAATGAAAAGAAGAGGTTCATCTCCAAGCTAGCGGCAAGTTGCTGATCCTGTCAGGAACTTAGCCGGGGCTGGCTTGGCCCATTCGCCATCCTCATAGGGAGGGGTTGGCCATTGGCGACTGGAGTTGGCATCCGTCTGCTCCTCCGGCAGGGGTAGTCGTCTGCACGGCGTGGTTTCCGAATGGCCAAAAGAAACGCCATCGCACTTGGCGGATGGGGAGGGTGTAGGATAAGGACTGGGCAATGGACGAGAATGGTCATTTCCCAGGGCCTGGCGGCTGTAGTTCGACGAGACATCAGATGGAACTTCGGTCTGTGCTAGGCGTCTAGCAGCCTTGCTTGCAGAATGCAGAACTTCATCCAAAAGCTCATCTTCCTCTTCGGGGGTCTCATAGCGGTGGATAGGGTTGTTAGACATCTGCATTGCACGCCGAGTCCGACTGGAGATGGGCCCTCCGGTGCCACTGGTCGAGACAGGACTTTCACCCATTGAGCGAATTGAACCTTGCGGCATTGACTGACGCTTGGTGCCATCAACAGGAGAAGTGATCTGCACGGGAACATTACCGAGGGCGGCCGAGTCAAGGGAGTATTTCACGGTTTGAAGGGCCTTGTCAAGCTCCGAAAGGTCAGAGTTCGGCTTCGGCTCGCTCACGTTGACGGAGTCCAAAGCCAGGGAAGACCGATTTGACCAAGGCATGCAGCCGGCGTTCGCTTCAACATCGTCCGCTGTGTTGGCCTGGTTGCGACCGGATAACCTGCGGGCTCTCTTGCGAAGGTGCGAGAAAAAGCTCTCCTTTGGGGTGATGGCGAAGCTCACGTTTCCCCCACCGTTGAGCGCCCGCTCCGCTTCTTGCCGGTGGATTTCAGCGTAGTGATTACCGTGCGAGTTGACAGAAAGCTGCCTGCCAATTTTCTTGCTCGCCTTGGAGTTGGCGCTGTCGCCAGAGTGTGCGAGAGATGAATTGGCTTGCGCTGTGACCGCATTAGAGAGAGGAGAGACTGGCCGAATCGAGGGGAGGATGGGCATTGGAGCCCCATTCGCCCAAGTGGCACGCTTACTGGGCGCTGGCTTGCTCTTGGCAGCCTGGAGCTCCGAGTTATATGACACCGATTGCTTGGACGAATTCTCGCTCTCCACAGGCAGGACAGGGCTTTCCGACCGACCGATCAATGACCTCCGGAACCACGATGACTTGTATGCAAGGGTTGGGGAATCATTGTTATCCCGGCTAGCGGATTTGAAGCTCTTATCCGATTGCTTCCGACCCAGCAGCCGAGCGGTGGACGACTTTGGGCGCAGCGGGTCAATTGCATCAGCAAAGTACTCGTGGTTCAGGGCCTGCGTGGAAGTCGGTCTGTTTTTGGGATCCCACATTAGACACCACGTAACAAACTGACTGAGAGCGGCCGGCCACTGGGGAGCCTGCAGGATACTGTCCATGGAATGGGGAGCCATCTATGATTCATTAGTCATCGCAACAGGGCGGAAGCATCGGGCAATCATACCTTCGGGAACGTAAATCCCAACTTCTGGGCCAGGCGGGAGCCTTCTCTCCACTCACCACCTCCAAGTTTAGCACCCGACTTGCTGTACCAGTTACCAGGGCTTCCCATAATCTCGCATACGCGCCAGACCTGGTCAACCTCGTTGCCACCAGGGAACAGGGGCTTCAACGTGGCGATCTCAACCGCCATCGCACCGATAGCCCACATGTCCACTGGGGCGGAGTACTCTCCTGCGCGCAGAAGAACCTCAGGCGCACGGTACCACCGTGTAGACACGTAAGTGGTGTAAGGCAGCTTGGAGTGGGTTTCTCTTGCGAGGCCAAAGTCGGCTATCTTGACTGTGTATGTTGGGGGAGTGGAAGGAGGAGTAACAAGGTTAGAGTAACGGCTAAAAGCAGAGTCATTCGGGGCGGATGTCGAGACGAGGATGTTTTCGGGCTTAATGTCGCGGTGGAAGAAGTGGTGGGCATGGATGTGGTCGAGACCCGACAAGATTTGATAGAGAATGCTCTTGACGTGCTTCCCATCGAGGGGCTTGTGGTCGCGGGCTTTCATTAGTTGGTAAAGATTGCCGTCCATGTACTCCATGCAGATGTGTAGTTTGCGTGAAAGCGGGTCGAGGAAGATATCGAGGGCTGGGACAAGGTGGGGATGGGGTGGCAGGGTTCGGAGAAAGATGACTTCGCGCAGCTCGAGGCAGGGGGCCAATGAATCAAAGGTCTTCTTCATTGTCTTGATAGCAACCTGGTCCAGGGATTAGCAAGCAAGTCAGGGAGCAAAAGAAACCTTGCGACAACATACCATGGTCCCCCGCCGTGCAACGTTGGAACCAGCGGTCCGTACACGTGCGACGGCCACGCTACCAAAGCTGCCATCACCCACTTCCTTGAGGACCTCGAACCGGTCCTCCAGGCTAGCGACTGAAGTGGGAGCAACGCTCCGTGATGAGGAGTGGTCGTAGCAGACAGTCATTGTGTCTCCCTTCTGTTCTCTGCCAGCAGAAAATCCAAGAGAACTTTTTGCGGCTCGAGTAAGGCTTGGTCAGCCGAGGTAAGGAATGTTTCGAAGGAGTATACGGCTCTCCCAGTGAATGTCGGAAGGGTCGAATTGGATCAGGTGCTCATCCTTCGCAGTTAGACAAGGTGGTGGTATCCACGGGGGGTATAGTTCTTTCCCATGGATGGAAGGGGAGAGTGCAGGATGGGATGCGATAAGGTATCAGATGCAGAAGAGGATCGGTACGAAATTGGGGCCAGAGAGGAGGGGGAAAGGGGTAGTCATGTAGTTCTCAGAGACGAAGCGAAGGTGGAGGAGAGGAAGATCTGGAAACCAGATGGAAGACCCAGAGGATTGGACGTGATCACTGGAGTGATAGGAGCGGATCCGTCTGGGTGGACACAGCTAAACGAAAGGGTGATCGGAGGCCGCCTTGGGGAGGGGGAAAGGAAATGGGAAAAGCAAGCCCCTGACGCGGTGACAGCTTTAGCCTTTACCAGCTCCAAGACGAGGAGGAGAAGTTGGGTCCGGGCCGTGGGGACTGAAGAGGCGGTCGACGACGATGCGGGTTTGGTGAAAAAGCGCTGGTGCAGATCCGAAATAATAATAATAATAATAATAATAATTATGCTCCCAAGGCGAGTAGGTAAATGATGCAGGTGGGTTTATTGAGGGGTTAAAAGGCCTGAACCGGAGGGACGGACTGGTGCTGACATGGACCAAAGGGTCGAATGAGGGTTCCCCTTGAGAATTGACGGCCGACGCACGACAGAGAGAATGTGATGATCATGCAGAGCCTGTCTCGAGGGTATCTAGTTGAGGTTGGAGGAGGAGGGGGGGG